AGTAAGTTTTCGTGGTGGGGTCGTTGATGTACTCGATGAAGAAGTGTCGTAGTGATGTTGTTCCCTGCACACATTGAGAGTAGTATGGGTTGGCAGAACTGCATGAGTAACCCTCACAACAGACTCCGCTCACACAGTTACCATATTGTGGAACACAAGAGCTGGCCGTAGTCGTTGGTTGATTTGGAGTAGTTGTCGTGGTTGGTTTATTTGGAGATGTTGTAGTAGTTGGGGTGTTTGTGGGTGGGTTTCCACAATTCGCGCTCCAACACATTTCAGGCAAATCAAATTGACCTCCTGAGCCGCAACCGAAGGAGTAGTCAAAAGAGTTCTTACCATCAGCAAAGTCATACTGAATCTGCATACCGTCCTTCATACATTGTTGGCCAGAAGCATCCTGTCTCGAAGTGAATGTGAATTTTGCACTCCAAGAACAACCATTGATTGATTTACCTCCATTGGAAGGGTTGTTGTAAGAGTAGACAACCACTGTCGCAGCACCACCATCAATCTTGATTTCATTGGTGTTATCAAACTGAGAACAGTCTTTACCTTGAAAGTTCATTGTACCCTCATAAATACCATTTCCTAGATCAGTGACAGTGTTTCCCCAAGAAACGGAAGCTGCGGGGTAACCATGATTATATGGCGTGAGAGAACATGATGAAACTTGTGTAGGACAATAATTACGTTTTTCAAGTTCGTTACCGATGTCTGCATTTGAGATCCCTGCGTTGAAAATCAACGTAGCAATCAGTAGGCCGATTTTACCAACTCTCATCATGTAATGAGATATTAGGAAACCGCTTACTCTATGAGACTCACTTGCCAACAATAGCTGTCAATAAGGTAATTAAAATCTTGAGGGTAAACGAGTTAAATTGAAGAAAACGCATGGGTTTTATCCTTAACTTAAAATTTACACGGTTCCTGCTCATCCTGCTCATCCTGCTCTTGGCTAAAGTCGTGTCGGGTATTTTGGAGAAAAAAACAAACATCGGCTGTACATCAATCAACAGATAATAACGACGGTCAGGGCTAGAACATCTAATTCAAGGAGTTGTATACAAAAATACTCTGAGCTTTTGCATCGACATGCTGGCTGGTATTATCATCGCACAGTATATCAACCGAAAACAATGCCCATCTCTCCTGACGCGACAATAAACTGGCTGGGTATTCTTACCGAAGAAAATCGTTTTGGCGGTTTTCTATTCAAACTTTTACGCTGCTGTGCTTATGCATTGTGGATAAAACTTTCTTACATGCAGGTCGGCGAATGCAACGCACAAGTATGTAAGAAAAAACACTGCAATGCCGCAGCCCAAGCAGCTGCGGTCTTTTTTTTCGTATATGTGTGCGCGCGTTCTGCAGGAAAATATTCGTAAATTCAGCTGCATTTTTGCATGCACATGCTTGCCTTCCCAATACAGCGAAACCGATTGAGATACGTTCCTTTTGCATATTACTGTCAAGTCAATAGTATCCACAACATTTCGCATGGCTGACTGGTATTGGATGAACCTATCCCAGTAATAAAATGCCCTTTGGTACGGCTAGAAATCGAACAACTTGGATTTTAATAGTAATTGTGGTTGGCTGGAATTTTCGAAACCAACATCTGTGGTAGTCCAATACTACATCTAGAGTTATGAGCAGAAGAACTTGAAAAAATTAATCATTTTCAACACAATGGAAGAGAGTAGCACTTATCTTTGATCAGCACGCTTCAGTTAAAAGTAAGAAAGGAGATTATTAACTTGTTTCAAAAAATTCTGTCGAATTTAACAATTCTTTTTTGTCTCAATCAATCCTACGAAGTTGTCTACAGATGAAAAGCATCAGTCTGAAAGTGAAACGCGGTCATACCCTCATTTTCTCTTCTACGCTTAGTAAAATGTAATTGTATACGAAAAGATGCCATCAAAACAACAAAGTCCACCTCTTAACAATAGGAAAATGATTTGGCGTTGTAAAGAGAAGCATATGGGTGCATTCACGATGCCTGGAAATGCAAAACCTCGCTATTCATTCTTACTGCCGCCATTTTATTATGCTTCCTGACTTATGTTATTATTGTCGCCACAAAAGAATTATGCTGCTACCGTGTTTACCGCCTTTCATTGCTTCATAAATTATCACGAGCCAATAGCTGGTTTCAGATAGAACGAGCTGCTGTTATAGAATCCCTCCATTCCTTATACACATCAGGTTCCGCCCCACGCCACGAAGATTGTCGATTACAATGGAATGAGACGGTTTCATGCATGTTGGCATCTTTACCGTTAATGTGATGGTGCATAAACATATTCGCGCAGAGAAATCGAAAAAGGGGTACCTGCGATTCGCGTCATATCTTGCTGCAGTGATCGCTGCAGTGATCGCGGCAAATACAAAATCACAAGAGGCAATTGAAAGTGGAACGTAGAGTCAGCCATCCTCAAAATGGGATAACCTCAATTCTAAGTGATGTCATGTAGTGAAACAAGAAGTTGATTTTCCGATCATTTTTTATGAGGTAGAAAAAATCGAACTTGTTATATTGGAAATAAACTTTGAATTTGTTGAGATAAGATGCCGAAGCCAATAATGATCGAGGGATACGAGATAAGAATTTTATCATGATAAGGCATCTTAGTAATCTAAAACTGGAAAGTTAGCCGACGTGATACATGTATAATGGTAAGTCTAGCCGCCGTGATGAATGTATCATGGAATGTTTAACCGAAGGTATAAGTGTATATGTCCCTTGTATTTATGTTTGAGAGTATTAGCTTGTAGGTTAGTTATATTAGTTATATATTAATGAGCAACAAGTATATATATAATTGAAAAAATACAACAGTTATGCGCACCCCGATCGCTTGCATAGCGGTGCTTCTGCTGGTAGTATATGCGCTGGCCGATGACTTCATCACCCCAAGCAAAATCTATGACTGGGTGACCGGGAACATAGGTTTAACTAACACAGAGAGCGTTATGGTCCTAACGGCCGGTAGCGCATATGAGACGCAAACCATGTTAAATATATGGGACCGGTGTTATGGCCATTCCGGCTACTACGTTGATGGCAGAAATTGCTTCAGTGCAGTTCGTGTCGGCATAATAAGGTGGGCTATAGAACTGGTAGGATTAGGTGTAATTACTGGCTGGTACAAACGGGACGTTCTCGACTAAGTTCCGTATAAAGTGGTGGAAGCCGGTGCTCAAACTGGTTATGCTATCAATCTAAGTGCTACGAATGTAACCACGTTGCAAAAGCGTAATAGTGAGGAGTTTAGCTTCATGGTAGGTAATGACACATTTACTTACGCACCGATGATTCTGGACGATATATTGGATAACAAGGCAAGTCTAATATTGCTCAAACATGAGAATAAAGACGACAACTACCTTGTGTCCATGCTTGAGGCTAACAGTAATGGCACCTGGGCGTTGAATTTTATGGATATTGCCCCTACTATCAAGCGTGATGGGGTAGATGGTGACCAGTACCTTAGTGGTGCTGGGGGTATAGTTATCGAGTGTCAGTATGGTGGTGGTGTTGGAGATAGCTATGATAATGATCAGGGATGGGTCGATGCTGTGTCTAAGCGCCAAGGGTACGCTCATGCCATGTCCGCAACGTATAATTTCCATCACGGCTATATCGGCAGCAGTAGTAGACTAAAGTGTGCGACAAAGATGTACACTACGGACCAGACTATGCAAACATGGCGCAATTGGAACGATGTATGGCCATCGTTCTGAATAATACCTAGTGTACTAACACAATTTCAAGTCAAAATACAATCAATATGTTCAAGAGAATTTAAATTAGTTATTAAAGTAATTATTATTAAAGAAAAAAATGAAGGATCTTGGTGCAGTTTCTAGGTTCTTAGGGATGCAAGTTTCCCAACGTCCTGGTGTGGTTTCCATGCTTTTCGAACAGTACTTAGCATGATTCTTGGGTAATTTCAATATGTCTGACTGTAATACAGTTCAGTCTCCCCTTGCTGCTGGTTCGTCCTTGGCCCTTGAGGGTAAGCTACTGTCTGACGAAGATGCTTCCCTGTATCGCAACATGGTGGGGAAATTATTGTTTGCTGCGAATACAGTGAGAAGCGATTTGGCATATGCGGCCTCGGCCCTATCCAGGTTCATCAAAACGCCGTATGCAAATCATTATGCTGCTGCTAAACATGTTCCTCGGTACATAAAAGGTACTCTCGGTTTAGGACTGGTATTCAAGAAGACCACGAGTTTCAATTTAGTTGGTTACTGCGATTCCGATTGGGCTGGTGATAAGGTGGACAGAAAGTCAATTACCGGTTATGTTTACATGTTAGGAAATACTGCAATAACATGGAAATCCACGAAACAGCAGACGGTGGCGCTATCATCTACTGAGGCTGAGTATATGGCACTGGGTGATGCAGTTAAAGAGTTACTATGGTTAACACAGCTGCTGAAACATATAGGACTTAAAATGAACAAAGTCCCCTGCATCTTTGAAGACAACGAAGGGTGCAGGATGTTATCAACGCTTCCGGTCCATCACCAGAGAACTAAACACATTGATATTAAACATCATTTTGTTAGACACCATATTTCAGAAGGAAACTGTGAAATAGTCTCAATCAACACTGATAATATGGTTGCTGATATGTTGACTAAAGTTTAACCAAGATTGAATTCAAGAAGTTTGTTGGTCTAGCTGGAATGTCAAACATATCTACAAGTGTTAAGATTATGGTGGGGTGTTGAGATAAGATGCCGAAGCCAATAATGATCGAGGGATAAGAGATAAGAATTTTATCATGATAAGGCATCTTAGTAATCTAAAACTGGAAAGTTAGCCGACGTGATACATGTATAATGGTAAGTCTAGTCGCCGTGATGAATGTATCATGGAATGTTTAACCGAAGGTATAAGTGTATAAATACAAGAGGTTTGTCCCTTGTATTTATGTTTGAAAGTATTAGTTTGTAGGTTAGTTATATTAGTTATATATTCATAAGCAACAAGTCTAAGAAAAAGTGAACAATATACAATTCATAACATAATAGCTAGACTTCAACAGAATTCTTTACGGTCATGCCGCAGATCTGTACCGACTCACAGGTCTTTATTCCACTGGCAGTCAAGGCACCGTGTTCAGTACCTGACACAATGTTTCCTAGCTCTGTCCTCAGCTTTAGAGACGCGCTGAAAAAGTAAATAAACTTGTCAGGCAAGTAAAAAATCATAGAAAAAGTTTGATGGGCCGCAACATGTCTTGATGTTGTAATTTGTAAATATACATGTTTTGGATGACTGTCTTCAAAGATCTAGCAGAGATTGGTTCGAATGTTTAGCCAGTGAACTTATGCTTTGTGGCGGAGTTTTATTTATCTAGTAGATGCACATTTAAAAAAAAAAAAGTTTTTTGATAAAATTAAAATTATCTAGTTTTCAAACTTATTAATGACAACTATTCAAAGCGATAATCTTTGAAAAAATCATATCCATTTTAAAGCTCGGTCACGTGATCGTCTCTGACATCACTACTCCTCTTCCTCCTCTTCGGCAAAAGGAATCTCATAGTCGCTAGAATCGTCCATGTCGTCCGAATAATTAGCAATTCTCAGCATAATGTGAGTGTCTAAATTTTTCAAGTCAACCTCGTCGCCTGGTATATCTTCTTCGGCTTCTACATTTATCTCTTCTGAATTCTGTTCCACCTCCTGCTGCACTTTTTTATGGGCCAATTCTTTGCGCTTCAACAAATTGTAATCAGCTCTACGTTTCCTGACAGCTTTGTTACTGTAAAGCACACCCTCTAACTCCTTCACCTTCTCCATATCCCAGTTGTGCATCGCATACAAGAGAATTCCTTCTTCCTCATCTTCCTCTTTCTGCTTCTCGCTGTCTCCGTAAAAAACCTCGGTGTGCACAATACGACCACCGAGTCCCGTGAGCTCACTCATCTCAATTGTCTTCATGAGTTCCATATCTATGAACCGATAGGCCATCTCGTTGAAAAGAGAAGCATCAAGGCCGGATTCAATTGTGTCCCCAAGTTGTAGGTTATCCAGTAACCCTTTGATCATTTTATTGCTGAACATGGCGTCCTTGATAATCGGCCTTTGACCGCTCGTAAATTCACCCATTCGACCGGTCTTTCTTCTTTGTTTTCTCTTGGTGATGAACTGCTCGTGGCTTTTGATTAAAGACAGCTCTTTCGAAAGTTCGTCGGTATCGACAAGCCCGCGGACATGCTCAGAATTGCCATTAGCGTCGCCCTCGTTCTCGGTGTCGCTGTCACTATCTCCACGGCTGTCACTCCCACTTTCGTTCAGTTTACTGAGGCTAAGGTTGTATTCCTCCAGCTCGTCGTCAGACATTCCTAGTATTCCCGATCCGTCTCGGAGAATCGCCTCTGGGAGCGCTATGTTAGAGGTATCTGCATGTGATTCGAAAGTCTCATTGTAATTATCGATATAGTTGTTGTCCTCAAAGTCTGGTATCTCGTCGCTGCCTGCGCCCACATTTCTTGACGGCACCTCATCGTTGTATGGTATACGCAATAGCATGTGTGGCTGTGACTGATGCTGGGACTGCGATTGCGATTGAGATTGCGACTGCGACTGCGTAATTTGCAAGGTTTCTTCCAGAAAGCCGGAAGAGTCAGACATTTCCAACGATTGCATGTTTGTGCTGAAGCTGCTGGACTGATGGAAGAGTTTGGCGAACGATCGTACATCTTTGTTGATAAAACTCGGCACATTCCCCATTCCAAGTACTGGGGAGATTGATAGTTGCGGTGACGATACGTGTCTCCTTTTCAGGTCGCTGAGATTTGTGCTCACGTCTGTGCCAAGTGGAAATGTATTCCCTTCGGGCACAGGAGATGGTGTTTTATAGCTGGAGGTGGTCGTTGTCTTTGAAGGTGAGACGTTCTTAGTTATCGGTACTACCCTAGATTTGCTTCTCGCCTTAGTATTGAACAGACGGCCTAGCATTCTTAAGTCATCCAACGGGTCATACACTTGTTTCTGTTTGTTCTTTGTCGGTGTGAGGAGAAGTCTGTTTCGTATTGGAGTGGTGGACATTTGAAGTGCATGTTTTGTTAATGGTGTCAGCGATCGCCGTGGTGTTCTAGGAGACGATGGGGCATTCCCTGTTGACTGTCGCTGCGGCGTCGCTTGCACAGACATTATTTTTGGGCGTGTTAATTTTTCTCTGACTCTGAATTGAACCTTGTTATTACTGTTGTTGTTAACATTTGTTGCTTCTTTTTCGTGGCCCGAATTGAAGATAACATTAAAGTTTCATGTTTTCGATCCGTTTCGGGGAATTGCGCGGAATTTTTCCACTTCAATTCTTTTACTCTTTTTTTGTTGAAGATTTTTTTTTTTCAGCTCTGTAATCATGTTGGAAAGAAGAAAGCAGTGATTTGGCAGAGAAAAAGGCCATAGGCAGCAGCAATGAGCATCACTGAGAAAAAAGAAAAGTCAGAGAGGGCGGTTGATGTCGAGGGATTAGATGATGGGCTTGCAGTCGATTACGATTTGAGCGAAAATGAGGAAGGGACTGAGGTAAAGGGTGAGGCAGCTGAAGATGTTGCAGGAGAGCAGGAAGGAGAACCAAAGGAGGAGGAGACAACGGTAAAAGAAGAAAAGATTTTGAGCAAAAAGAGAAAAGTTACTGAGGCACAAAAGAGCAAGAAGAAACAAAAGATGGAATTTGAAAAGGAGAGCAAAAAGGCGTTGAGTTCTGAGCAGACGGATATCATTGTTGAGAAGTTGAGCAGCAAGATACGTGAGATCTTCCCACAGCTGTCTGCACTTGAGTTGACCGACTACTACTTGAGCAAGTCAAATGTTGTTGATACGAACGACTTCACTCCGGAGCGTGGACTTGCGTTCTTCCGCCAGTTCATCGAGATGTATATGGAGGATCTGGTTCCCAGCATAAAGGAGTACAAGAAGCTCCGGAACAAGATCAAGAAGTACGAGACAAAGAAGCGGTTCAATAAGAACTTCGAGAAGACGGTCACTATTCCAAAGCGTCGGTTCATCCTCATTCTGTCGATATCGGCAATCAGAGCGTGTGACGTGCACAGGGCTACGAGAGACATCGAGGGCGGCTCGATCAAGTTGATCCAGAAAAACCCCATTGGCCAGGACCTCAAAATGTTGCGGACGACGTGGAGCCGGGTTCTAAACGCCACGCCCAGCCGTGTCGATAAGATTTTGGAGATCTCCAAGATGGACCACGAGAAGAACCCGGACGCCGGGTTCAGTCTCAAGGAGGACGAGATCGACGCCGTCGTGTTGGACAACTACGTCGACCCGAAGTTGAGAAGCGTTCTCGAGTGCGGCGAGACGTTCGAGTTGTTGAAGAAGCTCAAGACCGCCAACCCCGCATTGAAGGTGTATCTGTACTAAGAGTTAATCAAATATACTCATTGTATTTATATAGGTGTATGCATTATTATAGAAAGCATATATGGATATGAAAACACGTAAAAATAAATATAATAATAAATAAGTGGCTGGAGGGGAGGACGAATAATAGTTGTAGTTGGTACTGTTGTCTGTGGAATGTGTGGCTGCTCAGTGTGGATCCACACCAACCTATTTCTTAGCAGCAGCGTCCCACTTGGCGACCGTTTCAAGCGAGTATGCTTCCCTTGGGTTGAACGAGTCGTTTTCGGCTTGTCTGTAGAACGCGTAGAGGACGGCGAAGTAGCCTGCAAACGCTATGATACCATTCACGTGGTGGTTCTTTGGGGTGTGGAACCAACCTCCGGTAGGAGGCACAACCCACTTAGGAATGAACTGACCATGGGACATCGTTGTGTGTGTTGCGTGTGCTGTGTGTGGAGCCAACAGAGTCTATGTGCTTGCACCAGCCCTCTCTGCTTCTGGCGCCTCTGGCCTTCTTCTTGCACTCCATCTTCTTTCTTGCTTCCTCCCTGTCCATCCTTCCTTTCCTCCCCCTCTCTCTCCGCGCAACAGAGAGGGGAAAAAGAAGGACAACCCGCTTACGTCAGCAGAAATGTTTTCCGCCGATCGGTGCAGCACATATGCGGTGTACGCGTGTGCGTGGTGGCGGTGCGGGGCAACTTTCGTTTTAGGAAAAAAAAGCTCAGCGCTTTTCGATTTTCGAGTTTGTTCAGGCTGAAATATATTTCAGTTGGCCTACCAGGTACCAGAAGACGACTCGGATCAGGATAGTAGTCGGAAACAGAGGTCCATCACATCGCAGACCAGCACACACGAGACACAGATATGTTTGCAGCAGCAAAGACGACGGCTCAGCGGGGCGTGAGCGTCTCCCGTGCTCTTGCGGCTTCGAGAGTGTGGACGAGATCGATTTCGGTCTCCCCAGCTGCTCCACAGCATCCACCGAAAAACGACACGGAGGTGTCCAGAAAGTACCGGTTCTCGTACGAGACGGCGAAAAACAAGTACGTGAAGGAGTCGGACCTCAATGTGCCACAGGACAAGTTTGACTTTGCCAGCTACGAAAACAAGACGAACTCCACGACGGTGTCTGAGGAAAACGCACAGTTGATACCCTCCATCGTGGCGCTCCACGCCAGACTCCAGCTCCCGGAGGAGTACAAGCTGTCCACGCTTGTGAAGTCGCTGTCCTGTCCGATGGGCGAGGGCAACGCGTCCAACAACCAGCAGATGACGATCTTCGGCTCCCACATCCTCTCCTTCTACGTGTCGGAATACCTCCTAGCCAACTACCCAAGACTTCCGATTTCGATTCTCAGGTCCGCAATAGACGCATACATCGGCAACTTCTCCCTCTACGATGTTGCCAAAAACTCCTGGGGTATAGATGAAGACGCCTCCTCTAAGCTAGACAAATACCTATCCAACGAGCCTGAACTCTTCAAATACGGTAGACTCAGATACTTGCGTAAAGTGAGTACCCCCGAATCCAACGTCGTCAAATACTCCCCAGCGCAGGTCAATCCCTACGAAATATCCAAATCAGAGGCTTTCGCCAACTCCGTACGTTCGATAATCGCAGGTCTCTACGTCCACTCGGGCGAAACAGCCACAAAAGAATTCATCACCAACCACATCCTCTCAAGACAAGTAGACATCTCCGCACTCTTCGAGTTCAAAGAACCAGGGAAACTTTTGACCAGACTGTTGAAAACAAACAACATGCATCCGCCAACAGTGAGGCTCATCTCCGAAACAGGTAGACTTTCGAACAGCCCCATCTACGTCGTGGGATGTTTCTCCGGAAACGACCTCTTGGCAAGCGGGGAAGGTTCCTCTTTGAGAGAAGCAAGAGTAAGATCTTTTGTGAGAGCTCTCAAAGCATGGTACCTTTACAAGCCGCTTGATGCTAAGGTGCCAAGTGATGCTTCCTTCAGTGGCATGTTTGTCGATGACGGTGAAAAATTTTACTGATTTTTATAGATCTCAATGTTGTAAAACATTTACATAGTATGAACACAGTTTCAGCCCTTGTATATAATATACACTCACTCTTCGAGCGACACAGGCACCCCACAGAACAGTTTGATGCTGTCTTTCATGCCATCAACAGTCACATAATCAACCAGCTCAATCCCCTGAGAATCGCAGGTTTTATCGATAAACATCCGGTACATCTCTTTGTATATCAGATAGCTGTTCATGCGAATGAAGCTATCATCGTGTTCACATCCACGATTGATTATACGCTCAATCATGAAAATGTCTTCACAATCCACTCTGTTACTTTGCATCCTCTGTAAGATACATCTAAGAACAATCTCCTGAAGCCGAGGATGAAGAGAATGTATTTTCCCTACTGAAACCAGCACTTTGACGTCCACAAGCTCTACAATTTCAAGCACTCCTAGAAACAGTTCAGTAGCGGTGGTGGTGTTGCTTATAATTTCGTTGAAAACTCGAATGACTGATGCATCAATCTCTTCAGGCCACATATCATAAAAGTACTTCAGCACTGCAAGACATTCAATTTGGTGTTCTCCCCTCAGCTGTTCGGCAAGTTTGGCGTAAAGCTCAGAACGATCAACAGAGTCGGCATTGCTTAGAACCCAGCTAAGAGTCTCAATATCGTTTAATGAGTTCAACACAGACGCCGCTTTGAAATCCTCGGCAGGTTCATACTGCAATATTTCTTTGACTACTAGCCCAAGATAGCCACCCATCTCTTTGTTTTCATCGATGGTTAATTGGTTCATGTCAGGAGTAGAATCACTCAGTATTGATTTCTCCTTTTCAGGCATAATATCATCATGCGTTTCTTCCGCAGCAAACTCCTTCCCTTCGAATGGCTCATCCGACTCAATTCGTGATCCCTCTGTCATTGTTTTGGGTGCTACTTCTGCTCTGTCCTCTGCATCACCTATATGTTCCGATCCTACTTCACTACCAATCTCCTCAACATCCTCCATTTCACTTCTTTCATCATCTTTTTCTATCTGACTTATCACCTCATCAACTCCTACGCTCATATCACGATCTGTCTCCTCATGCTTAATTTCTATTTTGTCGAAATCAAATAATTTACTTCCTGCATGTTTTGGAAAAATCATGGTGAAATCTGAAACAACTGTGTTTTTCAAAGGTTGTTTTTTATTTTCATTTCCGGGCTCAAAACTTTTCAGCTTCGGTATCACTTTAGTCATTCCGTCAATATTATCATCGAACTCCTCAGCATCAATTTTGAATGGCGATAAAAATTTGGTATTTTCTCCCTCTTTTTCTTTCTCTCCATCAACTTCTTTAAACATCTCAACATCTCCTTGGTCAGCATCTTCGTCATCAACCGGCAAGCTTAATGAAATGTGTATCTCTTTCTTCAACGCAGGATCCTTAACTTCCTTGAGTGATCTTTTAAAAAGATCGTCGTATTCCTGGAGGCATATATTGAATGTGGAAACATATTCTTTCTTTATCAGGTCATCATCAACTATTCCAAAACTCAAAAAGAGGCATTCGAAGATACTTGATAACAGATATGATTTGATGATGTTTCTCTTCAGAGCAATTAATGCATTGAAAATCTTTAAAATAGAATGAATAATTTTGAACCGATTCTTAATGTACTGGATTGATAAATTAATGTTGTCTATCTTGGATGCATCTATTGATAGGTTCAAAATGTTAATAATCGAAAGACATGTATCTTCCAAAGATAGCTCATTAATGACAAAATCAATCCGGTTGTAATCTCCTGACTTGATTAAATACAAACAAAATAACCTCAAGGTGTTTTCAGTTGAAAGGTAACTTGAGATTTTGCGAAAAAACTTCTCATTACCTTCCATAAAAATTAAATTGAAAAGGTCAGCATTTAAAATCGTCAAATTGTTCAACGCTCCATGAAACTTTATAGTCAATGAAGAATCGTTTTCTTTCAAAAGTTTACTGAATCCTTCTGCTTGTAATGCCTTTGAGTCTGATGTGATCTCTTCGTATATAACGTTTTCCCTTTTGATTCTTCCTGTAAATTCATCCACTAAGTCATCATTGTTTGTTGATGCAGCATAGTTAGTTTCCAGTATAGTTGCCGAAGGGTTTACATCAACAGTATGATTCCTCAGAACATGCTGCTTTTTCTTTTGTGTCATCCTTGCTTCGTCCAAAGACTCACTTCGTATGGACTTCCTTATTGGCTCGTATTGGAGCTGTATATTCTCTTTATCCATTACCTTATTCTGCTCTTTTCGACTGATTGGATACGAGTCTTGAGGCGGGAGATGCTCTTCCTTTTCGAAATCACTGATCTGATCCTTTATTGGTTCACGTTTTTGCATTTGTTTGGACTTAATATTATTGCTGTTCAAGTAGACATTTTTTGATCTCTCCAGTGCCCTCACTATTGCAAAATCCAATTTTTTTGTAATTTTTGTCTCATATGAGGAGTCAAATTCACAAAGCGTCCAGAATGCATTTCTCATCGCATCCTTGACTTGCGGAATAGGGTCGGAAATGCCTTTGATCATGATACCTTCAATAGATTCAACTAGAAAGTAGAAGTTTTCCAGATTCTGTGGGCTATAATACTTCAACAAAATCAATTGAATCCAGTTACCGGTATAGACACGAGGTTGGATGTTCTTTTCTTGAATAGTTGCATTCAAAATACTGAATACTTTAGGATTCAAGTTAATATACAACAAGATGGCAATGATGGCAACATTAGCATTTTGATGCTGCATAATTTTCCTTGCTGACGTTAGTCTGAGTAAACTCATCAGCAAAGGTTCGATAAAGGTGAAGTCTAGAAATGAACCCATATGTATTACAAGTTCCTTGCATAGCTGGCAAGAATTGTTGGAAAGTGTTGTTCTCAACGAAAGCATTCCTTTGGTGACTCGATCTCTAATTTCTTTTACAAACGCAAGAGAACTGTCTATGTTTAATAAGAAACTCTTCCCACGAAGAATCTGTCTTACTTTTATAATGAACTGCTGCCTGCTTTTCCAGTTCTTTTCAGTCTCTTTCCCTTCAAATAGTTGTTCAGATTCAAAAAGAAGGGCTTCATAATTCACATCATCGTTTTCACCCACAACTGATAAAGATGAGTCATCTATATTCCAGTTCGGAGTCTGGTCCAACATGTAATTGAGTTTATCAACATTTGATGCCAAATCACTCACCTGCGAAGATTGGTCCGGATTTGTCAATGATATATACTTTTTGTACAACGATCCATCTATTGACTTAAGCAAGTTGGTCAAGATTCGCTCCGGTACATCATTTGATATCAGGTCGTTTAGGAGGTCCGATTTTGCGGTGTTATTGTTCGGGTTTATGAGTGTAAAGTACACTTTGATCAGATCTGCGGATTTGGATGAGACTGTGAAGTTGCGAGATTTTAATAGCTTCACCGATGCAGATAAAACCATTTTGAACGAGAAATTAAAGTTGGAATTTGGGTCTATGATTTGATCTAGAATGTCTATAACAGTTATTTGAATTTGCGCATCGTCGATCATCAACCCGTCCTGTATGAGGAAGCGTATCAAAGAATCAATGTTTCTCGACACACATGAATCTATGCACGTTTTCAATGACTTCAAGGCCGTCATTTTTATCGAATCCTTGTGGTCCGCCAGTCTGTGCAACAGAAACGGCACCACCGGGTCATAGACGTGTTGTAAAACGGAGGGGTCCTGTATGCTGATTCTCTTGATGAGGTGGCACAACGTGCTAAACGAAAGTACAGCAAGATCCTTCGTCTCGTACATGCTGATCAAAAACGTCACGTAAGGCAAAGCGTAATCCAGATCCACCAAGTTTCTTTTGATGTACTGCTTGAAATTTGTTATTGCCGTCTCAACTGTCGAAAGGTCGTCCGCGTGGACAGCATCGAGCATCACTGCCCCGGCGTCATAGTCGTGGTAGTTCTGCATAACGTGTGCGTTTTCTGTATCACTTGTGTGGCTCTTCGAAGTTCACCATAAAGGTCAAGGTCTCCACGACTTATCGTTCCAAAGCTGAGCATGGATCTCTTCTCCATCTTCCTGTTTGGTAAATAAACAAAATTCTCGCCACTCTTCACAAGACGCGGTGTCCAAATCGGGAAGTTTTCGCCCTGCTGTTTCATGTTTCTTCTTCGTAGACAAGAACTGTGTCAGAAGAAGAGGAGGAGGGAGCTGAAGACCAGTGGCTGAGCAGCCGAGAGCCGGCATTGGACGGCTGGCTGAATCCAACCTGCGAGGGCGTTAGAGTTGTCCCGTAGACTGCATGTTCGAGCAGTGAATCTAGCATGAAGGTCGCGAGATGGTGGCGACGGTACTTCTGGCTGACAAAGATGCGGGAGACTCCTAGCTGAAGCTTCAATGGCGGTCCTTTTCTATCCACCGCCGACGTGCTGACGTGCATGCGGTATCCCAATAGGAACGCCGATAATGGCGGCGGTGGGTCTGTTGTAACTATGCCGATGAGACGGTGGTTGCCGCCTTTTGCCGAACGAGCACTGGACACCAGAAGGACAACTTTGCTTTCCACTGGACGCTTTTTCCAGCTGTTAGAGCTGTTTGTACTGTTGAGCCACAGCTCATTCACGTGCTTGAGCATGTCCGAAACCACTCTTACTATCTGCGGGTCAACACAGGAGACAATAAAGCACTCGATCTTCTCGCTACTCCAGCTACTCTGATTGCCGGAATATTCGACTTTCATGCCATGCGATAGCAACTTGGTGTATGTTGTCTTAGTTATTTTCAGACCCGAAATTTTCTCCTCGTGAAAGAGACGATGTTGTTCTTCAGATTCTTTCACACGAGAAATGTACTGGAAATTGCATTCTGGGCACGTGACCTGTGTCAATTTCCTTGCGGCGAAAACTGACTGCACAAGCTTTGGTCTCTTGCTGCCCACCAATGACCTCTTTTTCCCTGCCATGACTGGGTAAATGATAAGCTCAGACCAGTTTACATGTGTTCCGGATGCTTCGTTCGAAGGAGAAGCCCGACGTCCCGTGTTCATCAGATGAGAGGAAACACAACAAAAACATTGACGCGACTTGGACCGAAAATTTTTCATGCACAAAAAGGCGATTTTACTGATAAAAGTTGCTTCGGAATAAGAGGAAAGAAGGAGAAACATGTTTCTGTAAGCTCAATACAGCCAAGTTAACCAATACAGCTCATATAGCCCAAACAAACACTCACACACAAGAAGAAATACCATGTTTTCCAAAGTTATCAGACGTTCCATGCACTATGACGCAGAAGTCGCTTCCAAATTATCGAAGTGCACATACCATCCCGTTGTTGTAGTCGGTGGTGGCCATGCCGGAATCGAAGCCGCCACTGGCTCTGCCCGTACCGGTGTACAAACCACTTTGGTCACTCCTAGCTGGGAAAACGTTGGTGCCACCAGCTGCAACCCTGCATTTGGGAGGCATCGGAAAAGGTACATTGCTTAAGGAAATCGATGCCCTCGATGGGGTATGTCCGAGAATTGTTGATGAGGCCGGGATCCAATTCAAGATATTGAACAGGTCCAGGGGGGCAGCCGTGTGGGGGTATCGTGCACAGATAGATAGAGATCTCTACCTGTCTGAGATGCAGAAATACATCAGAGGTTATGAGAACCTGAATATTGTGGAAAATAAAATTGAGGATTTGGTGATTGATTTCAAGGACGCAGATCAGTTGGGACGACCACGTGGGGTGGTGAAAGGAGTAGTGTTGATGGATGGGACGATGATGAAGTGTGACAAAGTTGTCATCACTACGGGGACATTTTTAGGAGGAGAGATACATGTTGGATTGAAGTGCTGGCCAGCAGGCCGAATAGATGAGATCTCCAGTTTGGGGCTAAGCAAGACGTTCAAGAAGATTGGATTTATGATGGGAAGGTTGAAGACAGGTACGCCACCTAGAATTAGTGGAAAGAGTATAAATTACGATCTTGTTTCAAAGGAGTACGGAGATGATCCGCCTGAACCGATGAGTTTTCTCAACGAGAGGCCGAAGATCAAGGACCAAATACTGTGTTACGGAACGTACACTACAGAAAAAGTGAAGAGCCTCGTGTTGGACAATTTAGAGAAGACTTTCCACATCAGAGAGACAGTGAAAGGACCTAGGTATTGTCCCTCATTGGAATCGAAGATGCTCAGGTTTGGCGATAAGCCGAGGCATAGAGTCTGGCTTGAACCGGAAAGTCTAAACCAAGAAGAAAATGATATTGTGTACCCGAACGGTATTTCAATGACGATGCCGGAGGATATTCAATATGAGATTTTAAAGAATATCATTGGTCTTGAAAATGTGAAGATGCTGAAGCCTGCATATGGTGTGGAGTATGACTACATCGATCCTAGGGAGTTGCACCGGACGTTAGAGACGAAGCTCATTTCGGGCTTGTATTTAGCCGGCCAGATCAACGGTACCACAGGATATGAAGAAGCAGCCTCTCAAGGTATAATTGCTGGCATCAACGCGGGTTTGCATCAGAAGGATAATGGTAAAGAGCTTGTTCTTGACAGGTCCGACGGTTACATTGGCGTCTTGATCGATGACTTGATCACCAAAGGTGTGGAGGAGCCATATAGAATGTTCACTTCCAGGTCTGAGTTCCGGGTCAGCGTGCGTGCCGATAATGCCGACTTGAGGCTGACGGAGAAGGGCAGAGAGCTGGGCTGTGTTCGGGATGAGAGGTGGGAGCTCTATGTTAAGGACAAGGCTCTCTTCGACTACAGTGTGGAGAAGCTGAAGGACTTCAAGATGAGCTCGCAGAAGTGGGATGGAAGGCTTCCTGCCGTGAGTATCGGCAATGACTCCAAGTTGAAGTCTGCGTACGAGATCTTGAAGTACCAGGGTTCTTCTATCAATGACATCCTCGAAGTTGTCGGAGACGAGAAGCTCAACAAGGAGATGAGTTCGCGGATCAAGATGAAGGTGACTGTGGAGGGCAACTACAGCGGGTACATCAAGAAGGAGAAGGAGTACATACGGGCCTTCAAGGCCGACGAGAACTTGAAGCTTCCTGTCGACTTCGACTACAAGAGCATATCGTCGTTGTCGAGCGAGGTCATTTCCAAGCTCAACCACAACCGGCCTGAAACGATAGGACAGGCCCGCAGAATCCAGGGCGTCACCCCTGCCGCTATTTTCGAGCTGTACCGTATCAGTCGAAAGTGACCGAACCCGAATCCGCAACGTAACTTGTATATAGTGATCTATTAGTTATAGACGATAGATATAAAATGAGGAGGTGTGCAATGAACACCAAATAAATAAGTAGGACTTGTGTGTGGGGGTGAAGAAATGAATAATAGTAGAATGACTAGAAGAGTCAGAGTATGGACCGTTGGCGTTGCGACCACTACTGCTTGACGAGCATCTCATTTCTCTTCTGCTCGTCGATCCGCTTGAACGCGTCATACTGCGATTGCACCGTGGCAAACCCCAACGCTGTGTTTCTCCACTCGTTGAATGATTCCCTTATACCAAGCCCAAGGTTTCTGTCGGCCTCCCACAACGCAAACATGCCCACCAAGGAGGCTGCCGCAACAGGCTGTCTGATGAAGAAGAAGAGGAGGATCGCAGGTCTGTAGGTGACTAAGAATGGCATTGTTTGTTTGTGTGTCTGGTGCTGCTAGATACCGCAAGATCAAGCTTCCGTTCGTGAGCTCTTTGTCTGTGTGTGTGCCTTCAACATCGTCATGAGCTTTTGATATGGCTCTTTTTCTTTTATTTCCTCCTCTGCAGGAGGGGAGTGAGGAAAAAAGTGGGGCCAAATCCTGGTGCACGGATGGACAAACAAAAAGGTCGATCGACTTAGCTTACGTAAGTAAAAGTCGGCACGTGACTACATGAACCGGGCTGATTTGTCCATTTGGCAAAGGCTGGAAACAGCATTGTACAAGAGAAAGACGGTATAGTTGGACCAGATTTGCCATTTGCAAGAAGGATTATCATGGCGAAACGTGTGGCTAGTATTTTCTCAAGGTTTTGTAGTGAGTTGGCGCCGACAACTGGTGTCGGGAACATGTGCTCTCGTCGGGTTCCGAAAGTGGAAGGTGAGTGCCAGCTATATCCTGTTGGAACGAGCCCACGGCATCTGTGGCGTGTACCGGTGCCGTCAGTAGAAGTGCGTGTACAACGGAGTGTTCTCTCGGCTGGGTTTCCCTCCGTACAATCGCCGGGAGTCTGCGGAATTAACTCCGAGAGGGTCTTCGGGGTAGATGGCGAGCAGTGTTTCTCGGTCAGCACGGCTCTGTAGTTGACCTTCTGCTGCTGCTTTGCTGTGGGGACCAATTGACAGCTATCGAGGCACACACAATCACAAACACAACGATGACATCCAACACAGACACCGACAACGAGTACTACAAGAACTACAACCCGTCTGTGGCGTCGACGCACAACTGGCGGACGGTGCACACATGTCTGCCACAGATGGAGCAGGCTCTCCGCAGCAGCAGGGAGATGCGGATCCTCGACGTCGGCTGCGGCCCCGGCTCGATCACGCACGACGTGTTTGCCAGCTACGGCGAGTCCAACGCGGTTGTCGGGCTCGACACGCCGGCCGAGTTGATCCAGGCGTGCCGGACCAAGTACTGCAGCGGCGGCGACTCAGCCGTCGACACGACGAACCACAACACGCTCAAGTTCGTGCAGGGGTCCGCGTACAAGCTTCCGTTTGCGGACGGCGAGTTCGACATCGTCTATTGCCACCAGGTGTTGATCCATTTGAAGGACCCCATCGCCGCCGTCAGGGAGATGCTGCGGGTCTTGAGGCGCTCGGAGGGCAATGCGCTTTTGCCTTCGTATCTCTTTGTCTGCGAGGGAGAAAAAAGGTCTTTCTTTTTCCACCCGTTGAGCTACCAACCGACCCTCACTGAGTATTTGAACGTCGAGGCGTCCAAGTACACGAGGGAAAGCTTTGGCCTCGGCCTACTCGAACTCTTCAGGTCTGCCACGGAGGACTCGCTACGCCACCCGAAAAGTGTCTCCTTGGACACCGTGTCCTGGTGTATCAGCGACGAGGCGTTGAAAAAGCACTTCGCTTCGATGTACGTCGACAGAATAGCCTCCCGGAAAGACGTCCCCGACGTCCAGCGCTTCATCGACGCGTGGACAAACTGGTCCGAGGACCCTGTAAGCGCTGCTGCAGCCATGAACGGCATCTTGATTGTCGTATACTAGCCTTCCGTAGCCGTGTATTCCGTTCCCCAGACAAAGAATACGAGTCTATATTTCCATTGCCACGGCCTATATATTTTTTTTGTCGAATTTCTCATTATCTCAATTTTTTCCGTTTTTTTCTCCTCTCCAACGTGATGAACTTCAACAAAAATATATACACCTCGGAACAGAACGTGTGTGTCAGAAGTACCACCAGAAAATACTAGACGGACATTGGACACGCCACGGACGAAGCACACAGCGAAAATGGATGTTTCACAGCTGCATGATTGCTTTCTGGGCTCTTTGCAGGCAGACCCTGAGATCAGAAAGCATGCCGAAATCGAGTTGAAAAAGTTCAGCAGTTCTCCTGGCTTCTTGGGAGCATGTTTGGATATACTCTCCTCTGCCGACGTGCAGCCGATTGTCAAACAATCATGTTCGATCTATTTCAAGAATATGATTGTGAAATTTTGGACTGTGGGCTCCGTCATAGACAACGATGAAAGACCGATCATCAGAGAGAGATTGCTTGTCATCATGACGAAATTGGAAAAGCCGTTAAGAAACCAGCTCTTACCGGCCCTCAACCAGATAATCAAGTTCGATTACCCAGAGCAGTGGAGCAATCTTTTGGAAAACATTCTACAGTTGATAAATAACTCAAACAACGACATCAACTCACTCTATATCGGCATCTTCTGTTTTGCAGAACTTTGCAGGAACTTCAGATGGAAGCATAATGATAAGAGACACCAGTCACTCGATCCCATCATTACCAATTTCTTTCCCAGCTTGCTCAACATTGGTCAACAATTAGTGTCAGACGAAAAGTTGATAAACTCTTATGAGGCTTCTGAGATCTTGAAGTTGATCATCAAATGTTACAAGTTCGTCACGTACTTGGATTTCCCAGAACCATTGCAGGAAAACCAAGCCTTGGTCGACTGGATCACTTTCCATGTACAGATCATCAACACCAACTACAGTCCAGATACCGTCATTGGATGGATTAAATCACAAAAATGGGCTTATCACAATATTTATAGGCTCTTCCAAAGATACGGTACCAAGTCTTTGAGTTCCAAATTGCAGTATGACACTTTCAGAAATAACTTCAGGGAAAATGTCTTGCCTCAGTTGATTACTGTGTACATCGAAAATTTGAGAAAGTGGTCTTCCAACGAAAAATACATCGCAGATTCTAGCATGTACTATTTGATCTCCTTGATCGAACAATGTTTGCTTAAGAAGGCGACGTTCCAGATGATCGAACCACACTTCAACTTTTTGATTATCGAAGTTTCCTTCAAGGTTTTCAATCCTAAAGAAGAAGACCTTGAGCTGTTTGAAGACGAACCTGAGGAGTATATACATAAAATCTTTGAGATCATCGACGATAACACTGCAGAAGATGCACTACATTCATTCCTTTTCACTTTGGCTGAGAAAAGAGTGGACTTTTTGGTTCCAATGTTCCAGTACGTTGTTTCCCAATTCAGCGAGATGAGTTCCAAACCAGAAACCCTTGAAATTGCGAAGGCCAAGGAAACGTTGATGAAGTTCTTATCTCCCGTTTCTTACAAGTTATCAGGCCCTTCAAATCCCGTGGCTACTGAAATTGAACCATTTTTGAATAACTTCATAATACCAAACTTCAATTCTAATTTCCAGTTCCTAAGGGCCAGAGTTTGTAACTTGGTCTCGAAGTTTGATACCTTGGATATTAAAGACTCCATCACAACAGAAAATTTGTTCAAAGGTATCATCTCATGTTTTTCGAATAACGAAAATGGACTGCCTGTCCAAATTGAAGCTGCGCTGGCAATACAATCTTTCATTAACTTGGACGATTTCAAGAAATTGCTCGAGAACTTGATTTTACCCACAATGGAGAAATTGATGGAACTTTCAAATAACTTCGATTCAGATATTTTACCTGCAGTCATGCAAGAATTGGTCGAATCTTTCCCGGAGAAGTTAGAGCCTTTTGCCGAGCAACTCATGGAGCAATTGTGCTTGAAATTGACCTCTTTGTTGAGATCGATTGGTGAGATGTACAACGCAAGCATCGATGATTACGATGACGAATCCGCTGCGAACGACAAGACCTCCACAGCATTGGGTATTTTGAACACCATGATTACAATTTTATTGTATTTTGAGAACTCGACAGAAATTATTGGCAAACTAGAGGTCCATTACTCAAAGGTCATCAAACTAATTTTCAATGATAAAATCGAAGACTTCTACGCTGAGGCGGGCGAATTGATTGAAAATACCCTTTTTCTCACTAGAAGTGTTTCACCTATAATGTGGTCTTTATTTGGGGACTTCATTTCCTGTCTCATGGATGATGAGGATATCACTCTATATCTAGAAGATGCATTACCTTCTTTGAAGAACTATCTTATTTATGGAGGCCAAATCATCAAAGAGAATGCCGAAATACAAGAGTCGTTTTTCAAGTTGATTATGTGTGTGTTTCAAATGGATTTCGAGGAGAGCGACAACTTCGGTACCAACGATTTGATTTATGTTGGAGACTTGAGTACAAATTTTGTACTAGCTCTTGATTTCCACACCAGTGCCAAGTACCTCCCTGTTTTGATCAATTACTCGTTGAAGTTTATGTGCGAAGTGTCCGAGAGACTCAAGGCCAAGAGCAAGAAGTATATCATCCAGCTACTAGACGTCATTGTTGCGTCCTTGGTGGTGGATCCAAATACCACGTTGAAGACATTAATAGAAAACAATCAGCTGGAAAACTTCCTGGCCAGCTGGCTCGAGTATTCCCAGAAAATGAAGCGTGTTTTCGACCTCAAGTTGTCCATCCTAGGATTCATTTCCTTCCTCAGTATCGACATGAACTCGCTCAACTCAATGATGCTCACGAACATGCTAGGTGCATGCGGTGGGAGCATTACGAAAATACTCACCGAGATACCTAAGGCCATCAAGGAGTTGGAGAAGAAGCGTGCCGAATACACAGACAAGAGCTGGGCAAACGAACAGACGTATACTATTAATGCTCTTGGACAAGAAGACGAGAACGTTGGTGGCGACGTCCCAGGTGAGGACGATGGTGAGCTAGACTACGAACACTTATTTGCCGACGGAGCGAAGTTCGACTTCATGGTGGACGACAACGAGCTAGACGAGGATCCGTACTCGAACACAAACCTGGACAAGGTCAACATTTTCCAGGAGTTCCAGAACTTTGTGGTCAAGACCCAATCCAACGAGGCGGACAAGTATGCTCTTATTTTCGGAGGGTTGTCTGACTCCGACAAGCATGCCTTGACCACCATACTAAGCACTCTATAGAACATCCCCGTAACCTATCCTATCTAACCATGCATCGTGCATATAATACATACATAATGAAGAGGGAGATGTCTGCACTCCCGGTCCTGGTCCTGGTCCCGGTACCCGTTTGCTTCTCATGAAATCTATTCATATTAAACAGTATATAATCCCTATTTATAAAACGTAGCATAATAGTATGTATCCTGGCTCTTCTGCTCTCAGAAAAGCTGCTTCAAGAGGTAGAACAACGGCAACACGTAGTTCTTGCATCCATACACAAACAACATGACCAACACAAGGCCAATTACACTGCACACGCAGTTTTCGAAACGTGTCATCACAAACGAGGGAGTCGTGTAGTAGAACATGCCAATGAGGGTGTCGCTCCACCGTTTCAATGCTGGCTTCGACTTGTACGAGACAGGCAGAGTCTCATGCTGTATGTAGACCTTTGTCATGGTGTGCTGTGTTGCGCAAGCCTGGTTGTTATCCAAAGGGTCGTGTGTGTTGCTGTAGATCAACATGTTGGTTGTCTTTATCAGCAGTATCATGTCACAATAAGGCATTTTCTGGAAAGAGAAAAGGAAAAAGACTCCAAAAGGACGATCGACGTAATATCACGTGATTCAAAAGGGTTGAAAGTTAGCCCTCAGTATACGCACGTGCTATAAAAAAAAATTTGCGTGACTGTTTTTAGGCTTTTTTCCAGGTTTCTCCTTGCGTCCCTCTCTGGCTCGCCTTTCCGGAAGAGAGAGGGGCTAGAGCCACTTGATTCTTTTTCAGTCCAACATGTTTTCGACACCCTAGTGATTACGGAGTTTTTACGATGAGTGGATCTTGAAGGTGTTTCGTTCTTCAGCAAACTGACCGGATAATTATCTGAGGAAGAAGTACACCTTAAACCAAACCAGCAAAACATAATGTCTGACGTTGAAGAACAACCACAAGTCGTTGAAGAGGAAGTCGTCGTTGAAGAAGAAGCTTCCGTCACCCTTGAAGACTGTATCAAGAAGGTTCTCAGAACCGCTCTTGTTCACGACGGTTTAGCCAGAGGTTTGAGAGAAGCCACCAAGGCTTTGACCAGAGGTGAAGCTCAATTGTGTGTTCTCTGTGACGCTGTTACCGAAGAAGCCATCACCAAGTTGGTTGAAGCTTTGTGTAACGAAGGTGACAACAAGATCCCATTGATCAAGGTCTCTGACGCCAAGCAATTGGGTGAATGGGCTGGTTTGTGCCAGGTCGACAGAGAAGGTAACGCCAGAAAGGTTGTCGGTGCCTCTTGTGTTGTCGTCACCAAGTGGGGTGCTGACTCTGAAGAAAGAAACATTCTTTTGGAAAGTCTTTCCCAATAATTGTGCTGTATATGACATCTTTTATAATATGATTATTAGAGAATAAAAAAAAGTATAGTATAGTTACACATCATCATCGGAGTTATTACTTAGTTATCAACATGAACGGTTGGTGATCGGCCATACGCGGTATCATCGGGGAGGACATGTCTGTTCTCGTTTCCGTTTCCGTTTCCGTTTCCGTTTTTTTTTCTTTTAGTTTTCGTTTCCATTTTTCATATTCACTTTTATTAATACGTCTGTCTATCTATCTATTTTATCAGACTGAATTAGAGTGAAAACGGACCCGAGTGACCGATTCGCCAATCGATTGTTCTATTCATTTATTCTGTTTTGTTTTGTACTTTTTTAGCTTAGTAGTTAATTAGAGCTCGAACTCCAAGTCGCCCGATTGACCCTCCTCGGATTCGTCAAGAATAGCTTGTTCGTTATCGTCCATTTCCATATCCATATCCATCGCTGTCTTCATGTTATTGAAGTCGTTCATCTCTTTCTCGTCCTCGTCGTCCTCGAAGTCGACGTCAAAAAAGTCGACATCATCTCCGACAATTTCCCTGTAGAGTTTCTTTGCCTCCTCGATGATCCCATCGTAGGATAGTTCGCTAGAGGGCATATTGGAGATTATTATCCCGTCCTTGGTCGTGGCAATCTCGTCGCTATAACCGTATCCTCTAAAAGATTCGGCTTGGTCCACAATGGTCAACTGCGTAAACTCTAACTTCATCACGTACCGCAACTTCTCCTTGGCTTTGAAATTCTGCAGGCTCTGACTCAACTTGAGGGTGCCCGAAGGCGTCAAGCCCAATTTGTTTTCGTTCACCATCGTCAGGTCTCCCTCGTCAAAGTCTTCAAAATCGAAGTTACTCTCTCTGAGAATACTCTCTTCCATCTTCTTCAGTGCGCAGTTCAAGTCGTGCTCCGCAACTGAGTTTGTTGTGGGAGCAATGGTGTGCAAGTACCAGATGCATTTGCCGTCCGGACAGCAGCCTGTTCCAGCACCCATTATCAAACATTCTACCGGGTATTCGTTGTTCGAGTTTAAGGATTTAGGAGGGAAAACGACAACCGAAGCCGATTCTCCCTCGTTGAACCACTCGCAACATGGTTTGTCGACAATGATGACCATTCTTGAGATCTCGTGCAATTTCTTTCCCAAAGACTCCAACTTCTCCTTCGATTGGTTCAAGGAAGAGACGACTCTTTCGTTGATTTTGATTTTGGAGCCGTCGTTCAAGTTGGCAACCTTCGACTCAGCATCATAGTCGACCAATTTTGTATTCAACTTATAGATTGTACCAGCAACTGCAGCAGATCTACAAAACCCTTGAGAAATTTCCCCCGGCCCTCCAAACTTCGAGTACACCGTTGGAAAGTTCCCGTAGACGTTCAAAGACAGAAGGTATCTTCTAATTCTTTCTAGCCCGCTGATGGTGTCGATATTTGGGTTGTTGACCAAGCCCAACGTGTATATGAGCTCGTTGGAAAACTTGTCCTCCAGTTTGAAAGTCTTCGAGAGGTATTCTTTCAAAGTGAGCACCTTGTCTTCCTCCTTGATAGCCGCCAAGTAGTCATCACCAACTATGAATTTGAGAAACTTCATTAATTTCCTCTTCGCCAAGAGATTGAGCGACTCGTCGGTGAAAATGTCCTCTTTCGAGCTCACCAACTTGCCAAAGGAGTTGTCTTCAAACGTGTGGAAGTCGCTCAAGCTCTGGAATTCCAAGTAGTGGTATACTCTGGATTTGATGAGCAAGCTCAAGAGGTTTGACTTGGTGAATAGGATCTTCGGAGATAGGTCGATGCCGTAATCTCTGGAGACGATCTTGAAGTCGTGGTCGTTGATGTCGAGCTTGATGTTTTTGTAGTTCTTGAACCCGGTCTGCTGCATCTTCGAGTTGATGAACCAGCTCTTGATCTGCTCTATCGTCAGCGTAGCCGAGTTGTCGCCATAGTACTGGTTCGAATCGATGTGGAGCACCTTGCTTCCCTGCCACGACAACGCAGCCGCCAAAATGCTCTCAATGAGCCCTGTTCCGCAGATTAGAACGTCGCATTCGAGGTCATCCGGCAACGACTCCATGTTGGGTTTTTCGATCCCCTGGAGTTCCGGGATCACTGAAGGTCTTCTCGAAGAGAAGGCCGAGACCGAAGAAGGTCTGCGTTCGACTATCGAAGGACGGCGGTCCGTGTAAGAGGTCATCTGTGGCTCGCTGCAGATGGGGTGGGATGTGTGAGAAACGCCAACGAAAAAGGGGTGTTCGAGATCTGGGGAGTCAAGTCAAGTGCAGTGTTCCGGTACCGGTTCCTGTTTTGCTTTCAATCCTCAGGCTGCTCTGCGGAAATCCTCTGTTTCCATGCATTGTTGTTGTGGAGTATCGCCGGAAGAATGCTTTTGACTCTTTTTTGCGGCTTTGGGCGATAAGAATGTGGGAAAGAAAAAATTTTCATGTTATGACAAGCGGAGTCGTCGCATCACGACAAAATAATACGTTGTAAAAGAAACGTGGGGCATTTTTTTGTGACAAACCATAATGTCGTGGCACGACAGCTCATGACGTCGTGGAGCTAAGCGCTCTTGCGCTTTACCGCTTTCGGCAATTCGAGATTGACGAGATGGATTGTCGGGGAAGAAGAGCAGGCAAGAAGAGCAAGGAAGGAAGGGCGCAGTGAGGTGGTGGGAAAGAGGAAGAGACAGCGAGTCAAAGACAAGTCAGTAGACAATGAAGGTCGTTATTCAAAGAGTGAAAAAAGCATCGGTGACGGTTGACAACGCGGTGGTGTCGGAGATTAAGAAAGGACTCTGTTTGCTCGTTGGGATCAGCACGGAGGACACGGTCGAGGACGTGACGAAGCTGGCGTCGAAGGTGTTGAAGTTGAAGCTGTTTGAGGATGCGGAGCAGGCGGCTGGGACAAACACGGAGTGGGTGGGCAAGCCATGGATGAAAAGCATTGTCGATATCCGTGGTGAGATCTTGTCGGTGTCGCAGTTCACGCTTTATGCAAGCGTGAAGAAGGGTGCCAAGCCGGACTTCCACAAGGCGCAGAAGGGCCACGCGGCGGTGGAGCTGTACACAGAGTTCCTGTCGCAGCTCAAGAAGGGCATGCACAGCGTCGAGAGCGTGCAGGACGGGCAGTTTGGCGCCATGATGGACGTGGCGCTGGTCAACGACGGCCCCGTGACCATTGTCTACGACACGAGGGACAAATAGAAGAGGAAAAAAAGAACGTTCTATAATCGGTACCTGTATGTAGTGGTAAATAGACAGCCTAGACATCTAGCCTTGGCCGTGGCGGGAGTTGTGGAAGAGACGGAACGGCGACAGCGCTCTCCGTGGCGACAGCGCTCTCCCCGGAGAGAGGTCGTTGGACGTCGTCGGCGAGAGCGTGCCGCCGGGGCTGTCGTTACTGTTGTTGTGTCTGTTGATGCTCGAGCTGCGGGACATGGACCGGCCGATCCTGAGGAACCTCGACGTGCGGCCGGCGCCGGAGGACGTGCCGCTCTCCCCTGAGACAGACCTCTCCATCTCCAGCGTCTGGCCGGCGACCAGCGGGTCGTACACAGACGGGTAGCTCGTCAAGAAGTTTCGAAACGTGTTCTTGGCCGGCGTCGCCGCTGCGGCAGCGGTGGCGGCGGCAGCAACCTTGCCGTGCACGTAGTTTGGGTTGAGCACGATGACGGGCACCCACCCATCGTCCAGAAAGTGCTTCGTCATTGACGGGTCCTCGTTGAGAAAACTCGTGAGCTTCGCCTTGCGGATGCCCCGCGTGCCCATGACCATGAAAGTCGGGTCGAAGTCCTTCAATGCACGGGCCAAGGAGTACTCCACGGACCCGATCCGTATCTCGACGACAACCTTCAGCTTGCGCCGCTCTTCGTTGCACTTGCACACCATCTTGAACAAGTTCTGGCAGTCCTTGCGATGGCTCTGTACCCCGTACTTCATCACGTGCTGCAAGGAGACGACCTTGAGCACAATGACGATGTCGTTGTCGGCGGCCATCTCCGTGAACGTCCATGCCAGGGCATCCGCAGAGGGCTTCTCGTCGTCGTAGGGGACCAAAAACGTCCGTGTTGTGTTCCGGTAGTGGAAATGCTTGTCCTCGTGCACTATCGTCATCTGGTAGTGCGACACGTCCTGGTTCGGGCTGTAAGTGTCGAACATGATGCTTCTTTTCCCCGACCTGTCGTCGTGCTCCTTCTCCTCACGCTCATGCTCATGCTCTGCATGGTCATGGTGATGGTGGTGATGGATGTGGTCTCTGTGGTCGTCCCGATCATCGTGGAGCTGGTACATCATGGCGTTGTGCATCGTATTGTTCTGCGTCGTTTCGTCCGGCGGCATCTCCTCGTCGAAGTGGAGATGACCTTTCACGTTGATTTCCCCGACGTCCTTCGGCAAATGGAAGTCGTCGTTTAGCACCTCCTCGATAGACTCACTGGCGTCGTCGTTCGCCTCCTCTTCCTTCACTTTCTCCACCCGTTCCGGCGTCAGCGGGATGTCGGCCGTTTCTCCGTCCGGACCGTCCGGGTCGTCCCCGGGGTTGTCCTTGGGCCCGTCCAGCGTAATAGACGAGATCGACGGCATCATGCTCTGGTGGGGTAGGTTGATCGACATACTCCTGGCCCTATTAAGTTCCTTCCGAGAGCCGTCTTGTCCTTCAGTGGTTTTCTGTGTGTCGATATGGTGAAGATGTGATGGCTGCAAAAAGCTCATGAGATTGTGCGAGACGGAATACGGAAAAAAGACAAACGAAAGAAACATGTCACTCCTGGACGGCGGTTTCTTTCCCCGTATCGGAAGGGCTAGCAGACAAGAAGGTCCACAAGTACGCAGAAGGACAAACAGGATGTGCAGATTCCTCATATACAAGGGCAAAGAGCCCATGACGCTCTCGAACCTGCTCACGAAGCCGGCCCACTCGATCATCAACCAGTCGTACGACTCGAGGCTCAGAATCGACGCCCAGCCTGTGAACGGAGACGGCTTTGGCGTCGGATACTACACATTGGACGACGATCAGGAGAGCGGTGACAGCAGCAGCAGCAGCAGCAGCAAAGACAACAGCCCCTGTCTGTACAAGGCGATCACGCCGGCGTGGAACAACCTGAACCTCCAGCGGATCTCGGAGAAGACCCGGTCGAAGCTCATCTTTGCCCACGTGCGGGCGTCGACGTACGGGGTGCTCAGCGAGACGAACTGCCACCCGTTCACGTACAAGAACATCATGTTCATGCACAACGGCGGGATCTCAAACTTCAACAAAATCAAGCTCCGGCTGATCAACTTCATCGACGAGGAGTACTTCCTACAGATCAAGGGCTCGACGGACTCGGAATGCTGCTTTGCGCTTCTGCTCCACTGTCTCAAGCAGAACGGGTTTGACCCAGACAGCGGCGACGTCTGCGACTTGACGGTGCTGCGGGAGTCGCTCGTGGACACGATCCAGCACATCAAGAACTGGGTTAAGGAGGTGAGTAACGACCCGTCGTTGCTCAACTTCGCCGTCACTGACGGCGAGAACATCGTTGTGTCCCGTTATGTGACAAGCAAGACGGACGAGGCTGCCTCGCTGTACTTCTCGACTGGGTCGAGCTTTGTGGAGTTTGCGCCGGGCCGGTTCAAGATGGAGCGGATGAACAAGAGCCAGAACTTGGTGATGGTGGCCAGTGAGCCGTTGACGTTTGAGCGGAACGATTGGATCTCGGTGCCGACGAACTCGTGCATCTCCATCCGCAACCTGAACGTGCTCCTGCACCCAATCGTCGACGAGTACTACTCGAAGGACCCCGTACAGCCCCGGTCGAACCAGTTTGCGTCGTCCAAGGGCATGTTGGGCTCGTACCCGGCGGCGGACGACCAGTACAACAACGCGGTGCCTCCCTTGGAGAGAGAGGGCCGTGCGGTGCGTGCCTCGTGAGAAACTATTGGTTATATACGTTCTATATGTACAGCTGGTCGCCCCTTCAATCCTTCAGTCGTTCAGTCGTTGTAGTCGTTTGCCGGCGGAGCACCGTTCTCGCTCCGCATGTACATGTCGATGGCTGTGGAGAAGGCGGCGAAGCCCGCACAGCCAATGACGACGGCCTCGGGCCCGCTCTTGAGGGCCAACCCGCCGCCGGTGATGCATCCGGCCGCAGCACCGTTGTAGAGGTCCGAGCGGCCCCGCAGTCCCTCGATGCAGCACTCCACACCGCTGAAGATGAGTCCGATGTACCCGAAGTTGCGGGCACTGCTCTTGGTCCGCTGCCACACGTCCTTGAACTGGATCTTCATCTGCTCCTTGAGCGGGAGGTCGAGGTAGCTGAGCTGCTGGGCGGCGGCGGCGCCGCCCATCTGGCCGATTCCAAGCGGCGTGTCGTACGACATCGACGCCATGAAGAATCCAAAGACACCTCCAAGCACAAACCCACTGCCACCGGCTAGCATCGCCTTGCCCGGACACGAGGACACAAAGGCCATGATTTGGCGGGCGCCCTCTTCGCCCTGTTCTTCAGGCGTCATCTCGGACATGCTCTTCGGAGGAGGAGGTAGGAACGGGTTGTTCATCGTGCTTGTGTTTGCTTGGCGCCTGGTGTGCTACCACTATTAGCAACCGCCTCTGCATCCTTCCTTCTCCTGCTTTCCTTCTTCTCTTGAGCTTCAGCCTGTGCATTTTTCATGTCGCTTTCCAATTTGCGCGCCGTCTTTGGCTAAGAGGAGGTTTATTATTTCATTTCCCCTTACTTGTTGAGTTAGATAGATATTATTGATTATATTGGGTAAATTTTGTGATTATTTACAATAACGTAACTATAGACTTGGATCATATAAACAGGAGGAAAAAGCGCCGGTAGGTAGAGCTTCTCGGTCATTACATCGTCGCAGGAGAGGACACCTAGTTCTTTGGCTCTTCCTTGTTGGAGTCGGCGTCGGGTTGTTGGTTCTTGTACATCTTCTCAAACAACTTGAGGCTGGATTGCTGCAATTCCTCGTACTTGGCCTTGATGTCGGCAACCTCGACGTTCTCGCCACCGTTGACCTTGACGATGAGGTCTCTCAAGTCGGTGATGAGCTTCTTGACGTTGTCGGCGTCGGCCTTGTCCAACTTGTCACCAAACTCGGTGATGGACTTCTCTGTGTCGTTGCACAATTGGTCGGCCTTGTTGGTCTGCTCGATGGCTTCCTTTCTGGCCTGGTCCTGCTCCTTGAACTTCTCGGCGTCGTTGACCATCTTCTCGATCTCGGAGTCGGTCAAACCGGAGGAGCCGGCGACGGTGATGGAGGAGTCCTTGTTGGAGGCCTTGTCCTTGGCAGAGACGTTGATGATACCATCGGCGTCGATGTCAAAGGTGACCTCGATTTGAGGAACACCCTTTGGAGCTGGAGGAATGCCGGCCAAGGTGAAGTTGCCAATCAACTTGTTGTCTCTCACCAATTCTCTTTCACCTTGGAAGACTCTGATCTCGACAGAGGTCTGGCCGTCCGCGGCGGTGGAGAAGACCTGGGACTTCTTGGTTGGGATGGTGGTGTTTCTTGGAATCAATCTGGTGAAGACACCGCCCAAGGTCTCGATACCGAGGGACAATGGGGTCACGTCCAAGAGAAGGACGTCCTTGACCTCACCGGAGAGAACGGCACCCTGGATGGCGGCACCGATGGCGACAGCCTCGTCCGGGTTGACGGCCTTGGAAGGCTCCTTGCCGAAGATCTCCTTGACGGTCTCAATGACCTTAGGCATTCTGGACATACCACCAACGAGAATGACCTCGCCGATCTCGGAGGTGGCCAAGTTGGCGTCCTTGAGGGCCTTCTTGCAAGGCTCGTAGGTCTTCTTGATCAAAGGCTCGACCAACTTCTCCAGCTGGGATCTGGACATCTTCAAGTTGATGTGCTTAGGCCCGGTGGCGTCGGCGGTGATGAAGGGAAGAGAGATCTCGGTGGAGAGGGCGGAGGAGAGCTCGATCTTGGCCTTTTCGGAGGCCTCTCTGATTCTCTGGATGGCCATTCTGTCGCCCTCCAAGTTGATGTTGGACTCCTTCTTGAACTGGTCGACAATGTATCTCACGAGGGCGATGTCAAAGTCCTCACCACCCAAGTGGGTGTCACCGTTGGTGGACTTGACCTCGAAGACGCCGTTGTCGATGTCCAAGATGGAGATGTCGAAGGTGCCTCCGCCCAAGTCGAAGACGGCCACGACCTTGGAGTCGTCCTTCTCCAGCCCGTAGGCGAGGGCGGCGGCGGTGGGCTCGTTCACCACTCTGGCCACGTTCAGCCCGACAATGGCGCCGGCGTCCTTGGTGGCCTGTCTCTGCGAGTCGTTGAAGTAGGCTGGCACAGTCACGACCGCGGAGTTCACGGGCTTGCCCAGGTACGCCTCGGCCGTCTCCTTCATCTTGTTGAGCACAAACCCGCCCACCTGTGCAGGCGAGTACTTCTCGCCCCTGGCCTCCACCCACGCGTCGCCGTTCGAGTGCTTCACGATCTTGTAAGGCACCTGCTTGATGTCTCTCTGCACCTCGGGGTCCTCGAACCGTCTGCCAATCAATCTCTTTGTGGCAAAAAGCGTGTTTTCCGGGTTCACCACCGCCTGTCTCTTGGCGGGGATCCCGACCAACCGCTCGCCGTCCTTGGTGAACGCCACCACGGACGGCGTGGTTCTCGATCCCTCTGCGTTTTCGATGATCTTGGGCGTCTTGCCCTCCATCACCGCCACCGCCGAGTTGGTGGTCCCCAAGTCGATACCGATCACGGTACCCTGGACCTTGTTGGAGTTGTATCTGACAAACTTAGGAGCCTGCGCGAACCCTGTGCTGGTGCACGGAAACGTTAGTATTCTGCCCAAGGCCATGCTCGAGCCCATGCTCACCGCCCCACCGCCTACCCGCTGTCTGCTGCTGCTTCTACTTACAGATCTGATATTCTTTGACACGTTAGCCAACATCTTGTATATCTGTGTATATCTGTGTATATCTGTGTATATGTGTGATGAAACGTAGGATGTGAAACCCAGAACCCCAAACTACATGCTACACATCACAGGAAGAACAACCAACAACCGCTGAGCTTCAACTTTGAGAAACGACCTCCACAAGTACTGCTGCTCGCCCTCCCCTGCTACCGACGCTGAGCTTTTTTTTTTTTTTTTTTTTTCCCGCTTTCGTCCATTTTTTTGTTGCCACCTGCCGTGGCCCCCGCTTTGCAAACCCTCCAGAACCTTCTAGCGGAGCACCCGGAACACCCCGCGCCGACGCGTCGCTCTGCCGTCTGCCGCCAGCTGCTGAACCACCGACGCGACTGCTGCCTGCGCCTCTGCCAGTGCCACGCGGCCGTCGCTGCTGTCTGCCGCCACCTGCGCCACATGGCGCTCGCTCAGCGCCCGCGTGCCGCCTGCCGCAAGCTCCGCCACGACGTCGGCGACAAACCGCGCCACCTCGCGCTGCCGCGCCGACGCGTCGCCGGATGCCGACGCGTCGGCCGCGGGCTGGCCCCGCTCTCTCTGCCGCTGCCGCAGTCTGCTCAGCACGTCGCCACTGCCACTGCCACTGCCACTGTCTCTGCCACTGTCTCCATTACGGCCTGTCTGTCTGCTCTTCCTGGCCTCCACCACCTTGTCGTGGACGCTGCCAAGGTCGACGCCGCCGTGCCGGCGGGACACAGTGCCGGCGTCCACAAGGTCCCGGAACCGCTTTGCCCTGGCAGGCGGCGCCTTCGGCGCCTTCGCCTTCGTCTTCGTCTTCGTCTTCGCTACCTTGCCCGTCGTGTCCGCCATCGTCTCGTCTCGTCTCGTCTCTCTTAGGGTCTACACCTCTCTATACCGCGCTACACTCTACCTACTCCCCTCCACCCCCGCAACTCCCACAACCATCCCGCTCAGCTGCAAATAGCTCCCCACACCCTCCACCACCCGCATCTGGCACTCGCCCACCCGCCGTAGCACCTCCAGCTGCCGCCCCCCGTCAACCCCGTCCCCGCCAATGGTCTTGCACACGCGGAAACACACGTTCACAATGTCCAGCGCAGAGTAACCCTTGCCACACAGGTCGCGCAGCACCGCAAGCGCAGCGTCTACGTGTCCGCGCAGCGCGTCCGTCAACATGCGACGCACCACCAGCGGGTTGGGCATGTCCACAAGCTTGAACACGTTGTCGCTGCTGACAAGACCAAAGCCGTAGTACACGCTCTGCAGGTTGTTGACGGCCTGGCGCATGTCGCCGTCGCAGGTGAAGATGAGGGCACCCAGACCGTCGTCCGTGTAGGTGTGGACGTGCTCGTGGTGCAGAATGCGCTTGAGCACAAGCAACACGTCCTCGTCGCGCAGGCGGTTGAAGCGCAGGATGGAGCAGCGGCTCTGCAAGGGCTCGATGATCTTGCTGGACTGGTTGCAGCAGAAGACAAACCGCGTGGAGTTGGAGTAGATTTCCATTGTGCGGCGCAGCGCCTGCTGGGCGCTGGCGGTGATGGAGTCGGCCTCGTCCAGAATGACCATCTTGTGGCGGTTGTGCGGCAGCGTGACCTTCTTCTGCGCAAACGTCTTGATCATGTTGCGCACCACGTCTATGCCACGGTCGTCCGACGCGTTGAGCTCCAGCACGGCCTCCTTCAGCAGCCTGCCGTCGCCCCCGAGCAGCTCCCGGGCCAGACACAGCACCGCCGTGGTCTTGCCGATGCCGGGCGTGCCGCTGAGAATCAGGTGCGGCACGTTGCCGTCCTGCGCTATGCGCCGCAACGCCTGGATGGTTTCTGTGTTGCCCACCACGTCGCCGAGCTTCTGCGGTCTGTACTTCTCGACCCACGGCAGCTCCAGGTGCAGCGGGTACTTTGTGTCTGCGCCTCCTGCTGCGCCTGCTGTTGTGTTTGCGCTTGCTGTTGTGTCTGCTGCCATTGCTGCCATTGCTGCTGTTCTTGTTGTTCTTGTTCCACACTTTCTACACACTCTGCCCACTCTACAAACACTACAGTTCTTCACACTGACACGAAAAATCGTCTTCCTCCCCCCCTCTCTTCACCACCCGCGCCACCCGCCGTCGCGTCGCCGCAATGCCAGCATGAATCGCCCCACCAAATGTTGCCGCATCGGGAAGTCTACCGCTTGCCCACCCGGCCAGGCTTGCTCTTCTTCTTGCGGCTCTTGACCAGCCCCGTCAAGTCTGTGACGGGGCCGGGGTGGGCAGCATCGGTGGCAGCAGCGGTGGCAGCAGCGGTGACGCCCTTGAGCAGCGCCACAAGCTGGTCCTTCTCGGCAGCACGCTGTTGCTGCAGCGTGCGCAGGTCGGCCAACCGGCTGCGCACCTCGTGCACAAGACTGGCGCCGTCGGCGCCGGCGGCGCCGCCAGCACCGTCCCGCTGCTCCACCAGCGCCAGCAACGCCTCCATGCACGACACCGCCCGCTGCACGCTCTCGTCGCTGCCCACAAACTCGTGCGCCAACGACAGCTTGAACAGCGCCTCGTGGCGCCGCCCGCTGCAAGCAGCAAACGCCCGCTCAAGCATGCCGTTCGCCTTCTCGTAGTCCTCGGCCGCCTGCGGAAAGTTCTCCGTCTCCAGACTGATGTCGCCCATGAGCATGTACACGTCCGACAGCCGGCCGTACCTGGCCACAAAGTCCGGGTTGTCTGCCGCGTGCGCCTCGTACGGCTCGGCCACGGGCGCCACGCCCGCCAGCTGCTGCTCGTAGAGAATCCGCGTGAGGTCGAGGATCTCCCACGCTATCTCGAAGTCGCCCTGCTCGGGCTCGTCGCCGTCCGCAGGCGCCTCCACCTCCTCGTCGGAGTCGGAGTCGGAGGCGGCCTTCTGCGCCGCCTCCTCCTCTTCCTCCTCTTCCTCCTCCGCTAGACGCGAGCTGAACTGGAACTGCCCGTCGCCACCGCTCTTCGCCGTCTCTCCCTCCCCCTCTCCCTCCCCCTTCACCTCTCCCTTCTCTCCCTCCTCCTCCTTCCCCTTGCCCACGCCGCCAAGCACGTCGCTGCTCTGCACCGCGTTCTCAAACAACGCCTTCCCGTACAGAAACATCAGGTCCGGGTCGTCCTTCCCCTGCTCCAGGTTCGCCATCTGACACGCCTCGGAGTATATCTCCACCGCGTCCTCGTACCGCGTCTCGCCCATCGCACGGGCCCCGTCTTTCAGCAGCTGCTCCAATGTCATGGTCCTCTCTGTGTGCACACTGTCTCTCTGTGTGTCTGTCGGCGTCCCAGCTGCTCTGTACCCCTCCAGGCCCCGCTAGCCCCGGCCTTAAACACCCTTGTCGACTGCTCTTGACGCGTTGGAAAGCTCACCACCGCCAGGGCCCGCGAGAGCGCCTCGCCTCGCGTTGCGCTGCCCTCCGCTGGGTCCCCTTTTTCTGTGTTGTCATTTTCGTGCTGACCTGTTGTTGTTGTTGTTGATCTGGTGGTGGAGACGGTTCCTGGTGGACAGAGAGCAGCCAACAGCACACAGACCATGTCCGACGTTCTCACTCCCACCCAGGCGGCCACGCCGGTCGACAGCGACCCTAAGATCATACGCAGAAAGCTCAACGGCTACGTTGGGTTTGCCAACCTCCCTAAGCAATGGCACAGAAAGTCCATCAGAAGAGGGTTCAACTTCAACCTCATGGTTGTGGGAGAAAAAGGGTTGGGGAAGTCGACGCTCATGAACACGCTTTTTAACAAAGACCTCTACGACTTGAATACGCACGAGTCGCAGATGAAGTTCGACGTGGACATCACGGAGGACTCGCTGACCCCGTCGATCAGAATCGACACGTTGAACACGGAGATCGAGGAAAACAACGTGAAGTTGAACCTCTCGATCATTGACTGCGTCGGGTTCGGCAGCTCCATCGACTTGACGAACTCTTGGAAACCCATTGTCGACGAAATCGACTCGAGGTTCGACTCCTTCTTGGAGGCCGAGACCAAAATCAACCGATCCTCCTCCATCCAGGACAACAGAATACACGCCCTCTTGTACTTCATCGAGCCCACCGGCCACTGCTTGAAGCCCTTGGACATCAACTTCATGAAGCAGGTCCACGAGAAGGTGAACTTGATCCCCATCGTCGCCAAGTCGGACATCTTGACCGAAACCGAGATCCAGGACTTCAAGTCGAAGATCTTGCAAGACTTGAACAACCAGAACATAAAGATCTTCAACCCGATCAGCTACGAAAACGACGATGAAGAAACCAAGATGATGAACCACGACATCATCTCCAAAATCCCATACGCCATTGTCGGATCAAACAACCTCATCAAATTGAACGACGGGAGGTTGGTCAGAGGTAGAAGCTACCCATGGGGTATCATTGAAATCGACAACGAACAACATTGCGACTTCATCAAGTTGAGACAGTTGTTGATCAGAAACTTCATGGAGGAATTGAAGGACTTGACCTCCAAGAAATTGTACGAAAATTACAGATCTAACAAGTTGGCCAAGATGGGCATCCTCCAGGATGACTCCGTCTTCAAGGAATTCGACCCGATCCTCAAGCAAGAAGAGGAGAAGAAGCTTCACGAAGCCAAGTTGGCCAACTTGGAAAACCAGATGAAGCAAATATTCCAGCAGAAGGTCAGCAGAGAGGAGAAAAAATTACAAGAAACTGAGGCCGATTTGTTCAGCAAGCATAAGGAGATGAGAGATAAGCTCTTGAAGCAGATCAAGATGTTGGAGGAAAAGAAGAAGGAGTTGGAGTCCAACAGCAAGTTGATTGACCAACAGATCCACCAACCTCAACAACCACAACCAATGCAGTCTCCTCAACTCCAGCAGCCTCAACAACCAACTAAAACCAGAAAGGGGTTTTTGCGTGGTTAGTCGACCAGCTCCATCTTTCGTATCTTTGTTGTGGTCCCCTTTTTTTCCCACCCTCTTTTTATCCATTTACCCCCACCCCCACCTTTTTCATATCATCTATAAAATATAGCTAGAGTAATGCAACGCATGTTTCGGAGTAACCTTTGAGTTCCCAATTAGGCAACTCACAAGATCGCTTTATAAAAGAGACACTTTTGGCACCCTTGGGCCATCTTTCAATAACCTTTGACACCTTACTCCCTTCCTATTCGTGCTCCACCCACATAGAACACAAGCAAGAACAAAAATTTAAATATACAGCAATGTTTAGCAAAGTATTCTGGGCCCTATGTGCGTACATATTCGTTTCGATCGCACACTGCGCAGAGGTGGTGACCACTACGCTTAACTCTCTCGAAGAACGGTCCGTGGCCGTTCTCGACCAGGAGTCATTCATCAGGACCGTGATGCTTGATGCAGCAACGGATATCGGCCGCTACAGCAGCGTGATGTACTCGGAAAACATCGAAATCCCGCAGAAGCTGCTCCAGTTCATCGTGCAGATCAACAAGTACGACGTCAGCGCGTTCCCTACAAGCATATTCATCCAATCGTTTCCCTTCGAAGACTTCGGCACCTTCATCACCCACTTCCCCTGGATGACTAGCTATATGAGCGCCTGCAGCATAACCCAGTTCAAGGTCCCCTCCGAGTACGCAGTTTTCACGACCACTGTCGAGGCAGACGTCGCCTCTGTCTTAGCCACTCCTGCCACTCCGACAGACACGTTATCCATCGTCCCGTCCACAACCACACCTGCAATTGCCTCCTCCACCTCCTCCGTATCTTCTTCTACTTCTTCCTCATCTTTCTCTTCTTCCCGTGCCAAGAGGTCGTCAAGTGTGTCCGAATTCACCAAACTCTCCACACTGCTCTCTTCATCACTTGGACAGAAATCGAATTTTAGCTCCAAAGGTACTGTTTCCGTCTCCACCGCCAACTCCTCGGCCGTTCCTTATCACATCTCCTCCTCTTCGCACGACGCCGCAGCTACCGTTGTGCCAAGCACCTTGCTGTTATTCTTCTTCTTCCTACCGCTCCTCATCTAGAACCTCTCTAGAACCTTGTCAATCCGTTCCATCTGTCACATTATATAAGTTTGGTTAGTAATCTGGCCTTATTTCGGCGCTTCTATACACAAAACCACGTACCAACAATGCAAACTCAGGGTCAATCATACGAGAATGGAGATGTTTCTTCAATTCTGTGTCGGTAACGGGCAACACCGTCTGCCCCACAGCCTCCACTGGAACTCTTTCGGTCTCTTTGTTGACAACCTCCACCCCTACAGCAGCTTCACAGAGCTGGATGCAGTTGTCGAACACATTCGGAGAATCTAATGTTACTTGTATTTTACACCACTGGTTTGTCTGGAGGTCCCAGTACTTCACGGCCAGGTCTGGTTTCCGCTTGTAGATCTTGAGGCCCTGTGAAGCATGGAGAAAAAGCTGCGGGCCCTGGTAGATGCAGATCGACAGCGTTCCCATGGCGCCACCAAAGCTCGGCTGCTCCTGTAGCACCAAGGTGAACGCTTTATCCACGGCGGCTGGGATTGGCGTCCACGTCCGGGAAACTGCCGTGAAAACAGCCACTCTGGTCACAGCACACTGCATCAAAGTCACCATTGCCTGTCTATGTCCTGTAGAATGCCATTGAAACAAATTGCGCAGAGAAAGACACAGTTCGAGCTGAGCCACAGATTTTTCTTCTTATCGTCACGGCGGGCGCGTTGCTGACAAAAAGAAAAGGAGGTGCTGTTGATGTTGTTGCAGATGGCTGCTTCTCGTTCTTCTTGCTGGAATGAAGAGCTTCGGAGACATACAGCATACAGATAATGACACACGTCACCGCAGAAGATAGTCCGCATGGACGGCACATGGGTGTCACCGACGTGGTGATGATGATTGTGCAGAGAATTATCGGATCAGGCATATTTGCAGTCTCGTCGATGATATACAGAGATGTGGGGGGTTCGCCGGCGCTCTTCTTCCTTGTGTGGCTCATAGCGGGATACTCGAGCTATGCCGGACTCATGTGCTTCTCGGAGTTGGGTTCTGTGATCCCACGAAGCGGCGGCTTGAAGATCTTCTTGCAGATCATCTATGACAAGCCCTACATGATGATCAACGTGGTGTTTGGCGTCTTCATCGTCATCTTCGGCTCGATCATCGCTAACGTGATGATTTTCGGCGAGTACCTCCTCTATGCGTTGGACTTCCAGGATGAGGAGACGATAGCCAACTACTACAAGCCCATTGGCTTTGCTTTCTTGATTTTGGTTTCCGTCATGTTGTTGGTGTCGACTAAGTTTGTGATCAAGCTGCAAACGTTCACCGGGTTCCTGAAGGTCATACTCTTGCTCGCAGTGTCACTCATAGGTATCGGCGTGCTTGTCTTGCCGTCCTCAGTGACAAACATCCCGAACAACCTCCACTCGGGCGATTTTTTCAAGATCAAGACGTCTGTCAGCGTCTCCTCCTTCACGTCGGCAATCTTGAAGGGGATCTTTTCGTTCAACGGCTGGCATACAATCCACAACGTGCTTGGCGAAATCAAAGACCCAGTGAGGACGATGAAAAGGGCTTCGCCGCTGGCGATCTTTCTCATCAACTTGTGCTACATGTTGATCAACTTGACATACCTCATTGTAATTCCGTCCGAAGAGCTTTTGGAGATCAATGAGATGGTTGGGTTGGTGCTTTTTGAAAAAGTGTTTGGCAACTCCGTCGGCAAGCTTGTATTGTCAGCCCTGATCGCCTTCTCCGTCGGTGGCAACGTCATCACTGTGCTCTACCACATCTCCAGAATGAACCAGGAGATTTTCAGGGAAGGGTTCATGCCCTTCAGCCAGTTCTTTGCCTCGAACATCCCGTTTGGGTCCCCGATGCCGGCCCTGCTCATCCCCGTCGTCATCACGTCGCTCTTCCTCGCCATCCCGACAGAGTCAAACGTCTTCAACTACGCCATCAACCTTGAGAGCTACCCAACACAGATCTTCTTCGGCATGGCGTGTTTTGGCATCCTTATCTTGAGACGCCGCTCTCCCCACATAGTGCCAAGCATCAAGGCCTCTGCTCTTGACATCGCCTTCATGGTCTTCTTCTCGCTCTTCATGTTCCTCGGTCCGCTGGTCAGACCGGACAACAGCGAGTTTAAGGGCTTGCCCAACTACGCATACACTTCTATCCTCATCCTCCTGATGTGCATGCTTTACTGGTTCTTCATGTTCAAGGTCTGCCCGCGGGTGTTCAAGTACCAGCTTTCTCAAGAAGAGGTGACCCTCGACGACGGCATGAAGATCAACAAGTGGACTCACATCGATCTCCCTGCCGACGGTGGTCTCTACGAGGCCATCTAGACCTGTCTATCGGACATCAAGCTGCGTCCCCTGTCTAGCATCTATACAAAAACAGTAACTTTCCAGTATCCCTGACAAACATGTGAATTTTCCGAAACAGTAGAGACTTTCACAGCCTAAAAGACGGCGAGTGTCTTTTTTTCCTCCTTTTTCCCTTTTGCTCCCTTCTGCAGACGAGTTTCTTCACGTTTGCCGTGTTCTTTCAGAGACGTATTAACCCTGATTCTGTCGAGTGTGTAAATAGACAGACAACAATGGCGACGATGACATTCTATGAGTTGCTTGGGGTTGAGACCTCGGCGTCCGAGGGTGACATTCGGAAGGCGTACCGGAAACTAGCCTTGAAATATCATCCAGACAAAGTGTCGGCTGAAGAAAGAGATGCCAGTGAGATAAAGTTCAAAGAGATCACGGAGGCGTACGAGGTGCTATGTGATGAGGACAGGCGAAGGGACTACGATTTGGGCGGATACAAGAGTGGCCAGAGAGGAGGTCCTGAGTTTGATTTCGATTTTGATTTCGGTGGCGGATTCGGCAATGGTAGAGGAGGAGGTGGGTTTGGAGGCGATTTTTCTCCTGATGACTTTGCCAGCTTCTTTGGATCTGGTGCCGGAGGAGGCAGACAGGGGAGACAGAGTGGTGGTGGTTCCGAGCGTGTTGACCTGAACATCGAGTTCTCCACAACGGTCACACTGAAAGATTTGTATTTCGGGAAGTTGGTGAAGAAGACATACACCCGAGATATCATCTGTGTGAAGTGCAAGGGTTCTGGACTCAGAAAGAACGCAGTGGAAATTCTTTGTCCCACGTGTAATGGACACGGTTTGGTCGAGGAATATAGACGAATGTCCGGTCTAGGGGGCGTGATGTTTGTTGAAAGAGTGCCATGTAAGAACTGTGACGGGAAGGGCATGTACTCAAGAGCGGACGATAGATGCAGAAAGTGTAAGGGCAAGGGCGTGACGAAGGAAGAGTGCACCTGTGAGTTTGAGGTCAAGAAAGGCTCTCCAAATGATGGGATTGTGACATCGAAGGGCTTCGGTAATGCCAGACCTAAGATGAACACGGGAGATGCCATTTTGAAATACAGATACGAGGCAGACACAGATGCAACGAGCAAGGAACATAACTTCCAGAGAGATGGCAACAGCTTATATACAAAGCTCTCTATCAACCTTACCGAAGCACTAGGGGGCTTTGAAAGCGATCGATTCATACAGACCTTAGACGAGAGATGGCTCAACGTTAAACTGCCCATGGGGAAAGTGATCAGGCCCGGGGACAGCATTGTTATCAAAAATGAAGGAATGCCGATACTCGACTCCAAGTCCAATTCGTGTGGGGATCTGTACGTGGGTGTGGATATTTTGTTCCCGAAGGATAATTGGATGTTAGAAAGAGGAGACGTCGGAAAATTGAGCAATCTTTTAGGTTTTGTCGACAGAAGTAAGACTAAGACTAAAGATGCACATGGAGATGAAAACGATGACGATAATAATGAGAACGACGTGGCAGACGTTGTCCCGACCGTGTTCCAGATTAAAGATAAAAATAGCGTTCCTAAGAGCTTCAACACGTATGTCAACAACACTGAGGTGAAGACTTTCGGTACCGAGAATGCCAACTCTGGTTGGTTTGGATGGTTCCGGTGGTGAGCGTAGACAACCGTGGCTAATGGGTTATGGTATAACTTGACATATAGAATTAAGATGATAGTATTAAAAAACTATATAGATTATGAATTATAATATACATACATGCGGATATACAACCTTTTCTGCTTTTCCATGCGTTCAAAAACAAACCCTTTTTCACTCAAATTGCTGCTGGCCTCTCCTTTTGGTAGAACTCCATAATCTCAACCAATTTCTTGTCGTCCTTCTTTCTCTCTTCATCGTCATCATTGTCGTCGCCAAACTCGAGCAGTTCATCCTCGGAAAATTCCAGCAGTAAGTCTTCTGGCTCTTTCATCTCGTCAGCGCCAACCTCTAAGCAAACTTTTGGATCCTGTAGGTTGTCTTTGCGCCATGCGCCATCCAACTCCATAGGACTCTTGAATTCCTCTGCGGCAGCCAAGGATGAGGCAGTCGGCTTTCCCCACAAATTGGATAGAAGATTAGTATTCATTGGTGCATACATGTCCTCCATGGAATCGGGTATTTCTTCGTTATATATGCCATTTGTGTTATGGCTGACAATTTCAAGTTCAACATCTTCCTTTTCCTCCTTCTTTACATTATCGGAACGAGTCGTCATCATTAAACTTTCCAGATCCATGAAAGTCTTCCCATCTTCGGACTTAGGATCTCTGTCCTTGTAGTCAAACGTTGTTTCTTCAATGTCGTCGCTTCCCGTAGATGAAGACAGCAAAGCTTGAACGCTCACTTTGTGCGTCCTCTCATACAGTGGTGAGTCCCTCTCTGTCAGCAACCTCTGCATTGAGGTTATGTCATCGGGTTCGTCTGTGAATGTTATCTCCTGCAGGTTTTCGGATGTGTTATTTGTAGGCAGGTCCTCGTTTGTTATGCCAAACTGCTTTTGATCTTGGGCTTTGGATTTTTTGAAAAAATCCGCCAAGTCATTTTCTACGCCTATGGTCAACTGGCTCCTGATCTTTCTCGCCTGACCCAAACTGGACTTGAAGTTGATAGAAGAGCCCAGAGAGGAGCCAAATGAAGACCCAAGTGCCGAAGAGGACCTCGAAAGAGTATTGGTTTTGTCAATTTGCGACTGTGATCTTTGCAGAGTCACGCTGTCGTGGTGTGATTGTGCCTCGTCGCCATTCAGTTGGGTATCTCTACTATCAAATATCGAGAAAGGCTGCTTAAGAACTCTCCTTGCCTTGTTGGCACTAGAATTTGATGTGGTTGTTGTCGAGGCCAGCGACGGTTGCAACTGGCTCTCTTTTAAACCAAAAATGTTTGACGATGCTGCTGCTGAAGACGAAGAAGACACCTTCAGCCCGTTTGCTGACTTCGAACGCAATACTCTTCGTCCATTCGACGCATGCGCCAGTGCATTCAGTCCTGTGGTGGAGTCTGCAATTGACGCAGCAGCCTTCTTCGTCGTGGTGATGTTTTCTTTGTCCTTGGCTTTGTCCCTCGACTTGAGTGTGGCTGCATGGCGGGCCGCCAATGAGCGGTGCCCGACTCTCTGTTGTTCCGACATGTTTGCGGTTCTCTCTAGCAGTGCGTGTCTCTATGTTCTATGTGTAGCAACTCCGGACACCAGAAACACAATTACACAGGCCCTGAAAAGCAGGACTGGCATCAACACCGTAAACAACAACAACTGAACGGAACCCAGAAATTTCCTTTTCCGGCCACGCATGATTTTCCAAAAATTCAATTGCGATAGATGGAAAACTAGAGGTACCTTTCAATATGACAGGTCTTCTCTGCTGGCAACCACGGTATATGTGGCAAAGATGAGACGCCACGTCAGCAATCTTCATACCTTGTCCCTGCTTGATCCTTATACGGCCAGCAGGCTGAGTTCACTGCTGCTGAAGGGCGAGTCGGAAGCTTTGCGTTTGCAGCGACTACTAGCAGGGCAGTCGAAACGATCGAAGCAACGATCAAACACCATCTCTGCCATTCTACATTATATCTACCACCATAGTAGTGTGCTATCTCGGGCTTATCCGGCATGGATGTTTCGGTTTGCGTTTGCTAAAACAGTTTCGAAAAAGGACAGGCTCCGGTTTGTCCAAGAATACAGTCCCATGCTATCGTTTTCTCACACGATAATGCGTATTATGGGAAAGGAACAAAACGACGCCGCTCTACGAGATAAATACATAGCCTTCTGGAAGTCTACCCAGCTAGAGTTTGTGAAATCAACACAGTTTTTAGACCCGGAGGTGCCCTTGGAAACGAACAGTGACAAGATTTTACAGCTGAAATTTCAGCCCCAAACGCCCGTTTCAGAAGATGTACGGAGACTCATCAAAGTACGACAGCAGTACAGCAGTGTTGTGAAGCCCAAGTTTAAACTCCCTGAGTTGGTGATCTCAGTTGACCCAAACAGGTTTGGCTTGCCGCCCTCTGCAGAACGGATCTTCAACATGAGATTGGCTAGACTTGTCAAACTCCAGAAGTACTATCGCAAATACCCTCCGATCACCCAAGAAGACATGCACATATTCAACCAGCTAGACCTTATTTCTTTTCCTGGAGCAGTAAGAGAAGCTTACGTCAACTTTCTCAGCTTGACCGCTTTTACCATCGACGATGAAGCCCGAATAGCAAAATCGAATATTCTAGAAAAGAGAATCGCCATCTCGGAAAAGATGGAGACTTTGTACAAAGAGCTTAGATAAGTTTCAGAGCGTTTTATAGATCAATAACTAATCCACACGTATTTCTTCTTTGTTTTGTCCAACACGCAGAACAACTTTTTGTCCTCGTTCACAGCTAAGTATCCTGCCTGAAAGTCGCTGTCTGTCTCGTTGCTATGCTCCTGCAAAACATACTTGAAGTCGGCTACAGCCTCTTTGGTGTCTAAGAGCAACTTATACATAATGACACAATCATCAAATAGCACGAGTAATCTATCGCTAGAGACAATCTTCATATCGGTAATGGTTTCAGTTCCTTCTCTTGTCATCTCGTAGGTTTGAACATCAAGAGTGGTAAGATTAAATTCTTTCACTACTATTTGCGAGGAATCTAAAAGCATTAAAGCGTGGCCTTTGTTATCGTCGCTGAATATCTTCATGCTCACATGGCTTACGGATGAATTTTCGTTTGAGAAAAGAAGTGAATGAGTATCCAGCTTGAATTTGGATTTGATGTCATTTTTTATTTTGCCAAATAATGAGTTCAACACGGTATCCAAATATTTCGTAAACTCGTTTACCTTAGATGCATCGTGTATGCTGCCATGATCGGAGTCGCTGTCAACTGCATTGATTTTGCTGCTGACAAACATCAAGAACTTCGTGATATCATTGGTTCGGAAACTGACATTCAGCTTTTCGTCTGCAGTTAGCTCGGATAGAATACTGGAAAGCCATATAATAGTCTGCTCAAAATATCGCTGGCTATCGTTCAATTCCATCATGAACTTGTAAGAGTACTTCAAATAGCTCTGGGATATTTTTATGCACTCTTCGATATCCAGCGTATACAAGGACGTATCGTTGGAAGCCCACTGGCTCAAACCTTTTAGGTCCGTAAGGAAAACTATCATGTGGTGTAAGCACGACACTAAGTCGTTGTATATGGAGCTCCTGGCGTTGTCGAAATAGGTACGCCCTAACTTTGTCCATCGTTTCACCCCTCGATCGCTCAAATAGTCGGTTAGCCACTTCTTTGTTGCATTCGATAACGACCCAGTAAGAAGTAAATCGTATAGATCATAGATGGGGTCGCTATTGTTGTTGATATCCTCTTTTGTTGGTGGGTTGGGGTCGTTTTCGTCGTTTTCGTCGTTGTCACCCCTGCCGGCAGAGTCGGTATTTTTGTTCCCGCTTTTATTGTCGTTTTCAATTTCATCCTCTTTGATTTCCCTTCGTAGCAACTCAACAATCCGTATCGTGTAATCAAAGTACGGCTTATAATGGCTGTCGATTTGGTGGATCGAGCTTTTGATATGGTCGATGAGGTTCAAGAGCTTGGAGCAGATGAGCAAGATTTTGGTGAACTTCTTGTCCCTGTGGATGAAATCCGTGTCTACCTTCAGCACCGATATGTCTCTGCTTGCAGGGGTATTCAGGAGTACATAGTGGTTCGACAAGGACTTGTTGGAGATGATATCCATGATTTCAGAGTTTTCAAAAATATCACACAACGTCAAGTTTTCGACTACAAAAATCCCTGAAAACACGCAGCTCAATGATCCACCTGTTGATCCTGCAATGAGAAAGTCCAGTACTGAGTCGTTGTCTTCCTCCTTGGATGTGCCTGAGGTACCGTTGTTCATCTTAAACTTGAGAGACGGAAGCGAGTTCGTGATGGCAACATCGTCAAGGATCCCCCCAACCCTTGACCGATTCAAGCCATTGTTTACCTCCGGGTTCCGTTTAAACCACTTTACACAAGATATTTCCATTTCTAAATGAATTGATCTGATCAACACCCCGCTCATTGTGTCGAACAACTCGATCAGTCCGTCTGTTGACACGACTGCAAAACACTTACCATCCGGCTTCCATGCTAAATCCTTGATCTTCTTCGTGTTTCCACCATCCCCGTTGCCGTTGGCCTCATCTGGAGTCGTTTCTGCATGCTCGATGTCCCATACCTTCTCGTTGCCTCTTCTGTAGACCCACACGACGTTGTCGTTTAATTGGAACGACACGAGGTCCATGGTTGGACAGAGGGAGAAGCACGAGGAAAGCTGCAACGCATGCGACAGCTCCTCCACTTCAGCATTGTGAAAAATCATCAGAGAAGTAAGGTCTTGCTGCACCGATTGTGTTTCCCTGGTTGCCGTATCTCTCTCTCTCTTTCTCTCTAGTGGAATGCACAACAAGAACCTCTTCGGAGAGGACCATTTCTGTCAAAAACATGTTGAAGCGATTCGCTCTTTTGGGGAATCAACCACTTTGCTGCCTTTGCTGTGAAGGGCTTGCTTTCCTTCTCTTCTCTAGGGCCTGTTGAGAGGGATATGACCACAAAGCCGAGCCGGTATGTTTAAGAAACATTTGGAGGTGAAGCCGAGCTCTAACATTAAGTCGTCTGAGAAGAGGCGTTTGCAGGAAGATGTACAGAAACACATCGAAGGACTGAGATTTCCTGGAAAACTCTCCAAGGCATTTTTCAACAGCAATGAGGTGAGCAAGGGCACACTATTCTTTGATTCGGAGACCAAGGATCCAGTGTTCTTCCAGTTGCGTGATGGCAAGAATCTTGTTCCGACGTTGCACGAGCTCTGGGCATCTGTCCACGGGTCAGAGCCACTCCAAATGCCGGTTATCATGACCCACGAAGCTGTCATTGAACGGTTAGTGAACGGGTCAGACCTTATGATCAGAGGCTGCATTGAGCCGTATGGTTCCGGCTTACGGTCTGGAGCTGTTGTGGCAGTTGTGGACTACAAGACACCGAACGTAGCGATGGCGGTGGGGAAGTGTTTGATGGATTTGGAGGGTAAGCGTGAGGACGAGATCCCGGATTCGGGGAAGGTCGTGCAGGTGTGGACCGTTGTCGGGGATCATTTGGCGTCGCTGGGGAGAAGCATGGATGAGGTGTTGAAGGAGGCGGAAAGAAGAAATGTTCAAGAACAACAGCAAAAGGGCGATGCCGAGACACAGACAGAAGATGCGGAACACGCCCTGGCGACTGTTTCGCTAGATGAGAAGGACGAGAAGGACGAGAAGGACGAGAAGGAGGTCGAAGAGTTGAAGAAAGAAGTCGAAGTAAAAGTTGCTGATGCTGCTGACGGAGAGGATCACGATGAGCCCGACGAGTACGTCATGAGCACTGAGGACATCGACGAGATGTTCCGGAGGGCGGTGCTGTACACATTGAACCAGGACAAGCTGGAGTTCCCGCTTCTGGCATCCCAGTTCATGTCAGGCCACGTGCTCAAGAATCTCCCACCCGTGGACGACAGCGTGGTGAACATGAAGCGGACGTCGTGGAAGAAGAGCGGCAAGTTTCTCAAAGCAATGGAAAAGGAGACGTTGCTCAAGCTCAAGGGCAAGGACGACAAGCTCAGCGTCGTCTCTGTGGCACCCCGTTCCGACCCACGGGTGCTGAACTTTGTGCCGTACCGGATCCAGGGCTTGGCGACACAGACGGCAGCCAAGACGGATGCCAAGACGACGCCGGGGACGGCGGCCTCGTCCGAGGGAGCCGTCCCGCCTTTGGTCGTCAAGACGTACCTCAAGCCCAGCAACGCGTCTCGCATGATGTTCAATCGTCTCGACGCCGTCTACGACTACTACTACACCGAAAACGAGATAAAGGCCTTTGTGCAACGGTACATGCGCCAGAACCCGCAGCTGGTGTGCCGAGCCAGCCCCGACTACATCGAGCCGGATGACATCCTCGGCGGGTTCGTCCTGGCAGATGTCCGGCGGGTCAAGCGTGTAGACATGGTGAACAAAGTCGTCGCCTCCTGCACGCTCTACCACGCCGTGTACCGGGAGGGCGACGCCAAAAGTAACGACGTGCTCGTGAAGAAGCGTCTTGTGCCCAAGCGGGGAAAGCCGCCCACCGTGAGCATCACCATCGAGAGCGTCAAGGTCGGCCGCCGGGTCGTCACCCGTGTCTCCGGCCTCGACGCCTTCTACGTGGACACAGACCGCCTTGCCGACGTCCTCAAGGTCAAGTGCAGTGGCTCCTGCACCATGTCGGACGATCCGAGACGGGGACCGACGCTAGGCGTCCAGGGCAGCCACGATGCGGCAGTCATCAGCGTCCTCTCCAAGGACTGGGGGGTGCCGTCTGCGTGCTGCACCGTCGACAACAAGACCAGCTTCCGCAAGAAGCGTAAGTAGCCTTTGTAGCATATATACTGTATGCAAATTAAGAAAGTCCTGTCAGAATCTGCCGGAGCGAGCCTGAAAAAAGGAGGAAGTGCCGGTTTGATCGGCTCAACATGTTTGGAAACAGGGAGGCGGCTCTGGTCTGGGACTGGAAAAGAACTGGGTTGGAAGGGCCTGTGAGACAGAAAGACATGAGTTCATCTGGCAATCACGATACTGCAACAGTTTCCGTTCACCTGGTGGACGAGGAAAAGCGTTTTGCGAAGGGATTGGACAAATACGTGGAAAAGTGCTACGTCGGCGATGACCACGGCGAGGACGATGGCTTGAACTACCACATTGTATCTGTGTTTGGCTCGCAGTCGACCGGTAAGTCGACGCTCTTGAACCGGCTTTTTGGGACGCAGTTTGACGTGATGGATGAAGAGAAGAGACAACAGACGACGAAAGGAATCTGGTTCTCGCACGCCAACTACGTGGCGTCTGCGGCGGAGGAGCAGGAGGCCGGGAGAAGACGCAACAGCAACAACATCTACGTTCTCGACGTGGAAGGAGTGGATGGCAGAGAGCGGGCAGATGACAAGGACTTTGAGCGGAAGTCGGCGTTGTTTGCATTGGCCACGTCTGAGGTGCTCATTGTGAACATCTTCGAGCACCAGGTCGGGTTGTACCAGGGCGCCAACATGGAGTTGTTGAAGACTGTAATGGAAGTGAACCTCTCTTTGTTCCACGAGCAGAGCGAGAAGTGTCTACTTTTGTTTGTCATTAGGGACTTCACGGGCCTCACGCCAATCTCGAACTTGGGCGAGTCCTTGGAGGCCGACATGAAGAGGATCTGGGTCGACTTGAACAAGCCCGACCAGTGTGCCGACTCGCAGCTCAGCGACTTCTTCGACCTCAAGTTTTTTGCCATTTCCCACAAACACTACCAGCCGGACAAGTTTGAGTACAACATCAGACAGTTGGGCGACGACTTCACCAACGATAGGCTCTTTAGCCACAACGCATACCACAAGAGGATCCCCATCGACGCATGGGCCCTGTACTCGGAAAAAGTGTGGGACCAGATCGAAAACAACAAGGACTTGGACTTACCTACACAGCAGATCCTAGTGTCCAAATTCAAGTGTAACGAAATTCTGAACAGCGTCTATGACGATTTGTTCTTGCAAGAGTACTCCGCCGTGCAGGAGCCAGAGTTGGACCCTGCGGCATCGTGTGCCCAGTTCAAGGAATTAAGACACAAGTGTCTTTCCCGTTACGATTCTCAAGCCTCTCGATACAAAGGTGCGGTGTACTCTGACGTGCGCAGAGACCTCAAGGCCAAGATAGACCTCAAGTTGAAAGGTTTCCAGTCGACTATCTTGTCAAACTTATCCAAGTCTCTAATTTCTAAATTAGATACAGGTTTCGCAAGCTTGAAGAAAACAAACTCCAAAAAATCTTTCAATGTCTTGTTGCTAGCTGCAACTACAGAAACTTTAGAGGAATTTAAAACGCAGTCTGCAGAGTACTCTCTAGCAGGAGAAGAAGAGAAGGGAGCAGAATACGGTGCGGACACCTCTGTATTTGTTGAGAACTACGCCGTCGAGCTAGAGAAGCTGGAAAAGGCATTGCAAGAGCTTTCTCATACTTTGAGGACAAAGGAATCACACATACTGATCGGTAAGATAACGAAGAAGTTCCAAACAAAATTCAAGGACTGTATAATCGAAGAACTTTCTGAACCAACTCCTGAGTCTTGGGATCACATCTTTAGCAAATTCAACGAGCTAATGGAGAAAATATTCAAGCCATATAGAAGTGGAGATTCGTTTGATTTCAAGATAGGTCTTTCACAGGATGAAAATAGCACCGTTCATATGAAAGTTCTTAGAAACATCTGGAACAAGTTTGACTCCATCGTGCATGACTATATAAATGACGACTCTGCCTCGAGAATTTTGAGAAACCTCTTTGAAGACTCGTTCAAGTTTGATTCTAATGGCTTACCACTCATATGGAAAACTTTCAGCCAGCTGGACTCCCAGTTCAATAAATCCAGAGATCATGCGTTGTCATTGTTTCCTGTTTTATGTACCATAAAGGGTCCAGAAGGTTCTACCATTCAAAAGCCTAAGTTTGACATCGAGAATGAACCAAACGAGGGGATCGACTCAGACGACGCTGGGGGTGAAAATTCAAGTGACGAAGATGACTCAGAGAATTTTGAAAAGTCGGACAGAAACTCAAGATTCTTGACTTTATTAACACCAAAGCAGCAGGCTAAGGTTAAAGCCAGATTTAAGAAGGAAACGGATGCCATTTATCTCGATGCGAAGAGGTCTATGGTTGCGAACAAAACATCCATTCCGACGTTCATGTACGTCCTTTTGATTTTACTAGGTTGGAACGAGTTCATGGCTGTCATCAGAAATCCAGTATTATTCATTCTTGCAATTTTTGTCATCACAGGGTTGTACTTTGCATATAACCTGCAGATGTTAGGCCCTATGCTGACAGTGACAAATGCCATGGTGCAGCAATCCAAAGCTGTCATCAAGGAGAAACTCAGAGATGTTTTGCTGGACGATAATCAGAAAGCGCCTCTTCCTACAGAACTCGAAAAGGAGGAAGTTCATATCGAAGAGGTTTACGAACTGCATGATCTATAATCTGTATACGATATTTCAGCGAAATTACCTGATACTTTTCCGTACATATAAAACAAAAACATCTATTGACTGTAGACAAATGAGACTTTAGGCGCTTAATGTGAAAAGTTATTAACATCGTATTAAGCTCATTTATACAGTAGGTAAATCAGTCAAACCAAATAGGTCGCAACTACATGAGAACATCCTCCTGTTCTGCTTCAACATCATCGTTATCACCCGTGTTTCTCTCTAAGTTCTTAAACGCATCAAAGTGAATTGGACGGTGACGTTCGTGAAAAAAGCTTAGTGGTTGGTCAATCTTGAGACTATATTCTTGCTCCTTATCCCATGAGTTAGAAATAAAGGCATAATTCCATATATCGGCTGCTGGGACAACTGTAAATCCCTTGAACTTCTCTGTCAAAATTAAAGGAGTGGTGACTCTATAATCGTCAGAATAGTGGATCAATCTGTCTGCTTGTCCCAAATACTTGGCATATTTTACACCCCAACGCAGACCATTTTGTGTTACACGGTTGCTGGTGATTGTAACGCTACCGCTAGCTATCGACACTGAGATTATCGAAGCCTTTTCACTCCATTCAAAATCATTTTTCATTCTTGCGTGATTGATTATCTCATAACATCCGTCAATATCAACCTCCTTTCCTGATGGTATGGTATGTATCCATCCCAATGGCTCTAATCCTTCTAAATATTCACTTGCAGGTGCATTTTCAGGGAAGTTGACTTGATGGTGTTCCCCGAGTTGAGGAACCATAACAATACATTTAATTTCTTTGACTTGGTCGTTATCAGGTGGAGATTTACCGAAGAAATAACCTCCAACCTGGACTCTAGAGTCGCAGCATGACAAAAACGTCGAAAGGATATTCTTCGGGAAAACGAAAGCATAACTGTCCTCATCTTCAAAATTGCCAGAAGTAACAAAAACCTTATTTTTTTGTAACTCGAGCATACTCGATAAGATTGCTCTTTTCCTCCAGCTAGACTTGCTCTCAAATTTTTCTTGTTCATTACTGTTTGTCGTTACAGTTATGATTTCTTCTCCATGGACATTCACAGTTTTTACCCTGGTCGATATTTGCTGTCCCATTTCCTCATCTTCGTCAATCTTGTTACCGTCTTTGTCCTTGATACTGACAGTCTTACTACCTTCAATTTCTGCTATCTTTTGTTTTTTCACAGATGGGGCATTCAAGTTTTGTCCAAGAATGATATCTCTTATTTCATTATCAGTCAATGAATCAAGATTAATGCTATATTTTTCAGAGTAGTCAGATAATATCAAGTCAGCCAATTGAGATTCCACATTTCTCCACTGGTCAACTGTCAAAGACGGCCAGAGATGATGCTCTTTAGTTATAATACTACTATTAGGTCTCAAAATCAACTTTGCTTTGTCTGCATTTATCTGTAGAGCCCTCATCAAAACAATGAGTCTGTTGAATGCTGTGAATGAAGAGCAACTTTCAAGCCAATCATCATATATACTGAATAAAACCATTTGAGGTTCTTTAGCAGTATTCACTAGGTCATTCAATTTATCAATTTTCAAAGCCGCATCAAATGGTAGGTGAAGTTCAGTTGGCCTAATAGAAATGTTAGGGAAATCAAGCATATGAACTTCTAAAGGATCTAAAATACCCTTGGTTGTAATAATAACTTGTTTTGGTTGTTCTTCTTTAGGTAGAGATCTAACCAAAGCTGCCACTTCTTCCGCAGATTTCCATTTAGATAATTTACTCCTATGCTTTTGACCTTGAAAGATGGAACTATGCATAACTTTCAAAAATAGCTGACCTGTTCTTGGATTGATCATGAATAGTGCACCATTCAAAACCTTCACTGCTGAATTTCCCTCATAGGTGCTATGTGTGACAACTCTATAAACATTGACGTCATCCACAATCAACTTATTATCGTTATTGAATAACTCAGCATAGTTACTTGAACTTAAAAATGCTTCTTGAGGTTGAGCCTGATAAAGTTGTAAACCTTTTCTGATTCTTTCTCTCAAAACATAAAGTGCAGGGTTTGCTTTCATGATAGTCTTCATTGCCTTTTGAACCAATTCCTTCATTCCAGGAAACCAGTTACCATAAGCATCGTACATATTGTATGCTAAATCAACTGCAATTAGCAAACCTGTTTGAGATGGGTAAACACTGGTATTATCACTAGTGTAATCAAGGTATTTTGCCCTAGCATAACGTGAAATATCATGAGAATCATAATCACCATATCTCAACTGAACGTCTATCCAATATTTATCACTCTGAATTGCATTGTGATCATCATTAGAATCAAATAACAATGAAGGTTTTGAACAACCTAATTGAGAAACTCCATTTAGTAAAATATCCGCTGTTGACGAGTTCATCTTGTAAGACTTACGTGGATGAATGGGTAATTTCAAAACGCTATCAATTTGTAATTCTTCCAAATGACTATCAAACACCTGACACAAATCAACAACTAAACTTTCGTGAATCTTTTGCCACAAATGGGCTCTAAAAATCTGTATTAATGAGATTTTCAATGTAGGAATTTTACCATGCAAGAAAATACCCGTCAAATCTAACTGAACTAAGAATCCAACATAGACGTTAGCTCTATTGATTGTTGGGGACCACCACAATGTAAATCTTCTATTTGGGATTTGTGACAAACCAGATCTCTGAGCGTTGGTTAATTTTTTAAACTTTAAAGTATCCTCGAATCCGGAGGCCTTTTCCCAAAACAAACCTTCCCACGACTCAAACCCCGTTCCTTTGAACAAAGTATGTTCAAGAATGGTCTCGATGCCACCAAGAGCTTGAATGACATCTGTACGATATGCATTAAGATTCCAAAGTCTACCATCATGTCGATCTGATAACCACCAAAATGGACTATTTCTTATGATGGAGTACTGTTTGAACTCTTTCCGAATTCGGTATCCTTTATCCACTGCTAAAGTTTGTCTGTCTTTCTGGAACAAAGTGCTAACTCTTGGTAACCCTCTATCCCAGCAATCTTCTAAATCTTCAAAAGTCAATCTTTTCTTTAGTTGTTCAGCCTCACTTCTCTTGGATGTAAACTCAGACCAAACTCTTTGTGAATCTAGAAACTCATTTTCCCACGTTGTAATATATCTGAAAATTGTCGGTATCAGCCGTTCATCATCATGTGTCATACCAACTCTGAAATGGGTAATCCCAGTATCAGTCTGTTTGGACCATCGTAAATCAGAAGTAGGAATTAAAATATGAGACGCACTTAGCATACCTAGACCACCCAACTCCTTTGGGGTATAAAACACGGCTGGTGGGAAACGTGTTGGCATCTTAGAATTCAACCCCAACTTGACCTTTGTTTGAACTTTAGTTTCGGATTTGACCAAAATATCGAGTAGTGACTCTGTAGCAATAATGGCTTCTCTGTAGTACACAAACAAAGATAGCACTGCTGTGTTCCACTTTGATGCCACTTTAGTGAAAGGACTGGATCCTGCACTCATTAAGAGACGCCTAATTGTATTGTGAAATTTTTCAACATCTTCTTGAGTAACCTGCAAAAATGCTTTTGCCTTTATTTCTTTTGTATTTTCGTCGATTAAATCCCAAACACCTTCTTTTGAAGGTTTGCTTTCCTTTGCTCTAAAATTTGGAAGTATCCTCACCTCAAAACCACACATGGTAAATAATAAATTAGGGTTGTCTCTGGAATATACTGAGGCTAGTGAGTTTTCCCATTTCAAATCAATAACTGATCTCGGAACACGCCTGGCAATTTCCCAGAAACAGGCACGTCCCAAGTGTACATCATGTCTAGTGAGTTTCATTCTAGAATCTCTTGGCCAGCATCTTCTATTGTTATAGCCAACAATCTGTTCAAAATTAGGATCAGGATTTTCAGAAAGATAGTCCTCGATTAATTCATCTGATTCATCCTTCGAGAACCGGAAAAAAATTGTTATCTTATCAATGTATCTCACGTACAAACGGATTGGGTGTGACACTTGCTTTTCTAAACTCTCAAATTCCAAAAACTCGTTCGGGCTCAAAGGAGATCCGGCCAAGTCGGTCGCTCTGTCCAAGCCTAAGATCATTAAATCAGTAGCGAGTGCGTAATATTGATAAACAAAGGATGCAAATTGAAGACCTTTCAGTAAACCAAATTGATTCACATGACTCATGTCTTTGTAATTAATACTAACATTGCATTTAGCAGTAATATAGTCAGCAATATTAGGATCCACAATCAATCTCAATAACTGATTTAACAACGTGAAGTCAATCTTTTCTGCTAGTTTATGTAATGAAGTCTGTAGCACGACATTTGTTTGATCTTGTGAAATACTCCAAACATCATCTAAGTTATTTACACCCTGGCACCACTTGTAAACTAACAATGGAGGTATTTCAGAATCATTTGGTTTTACCCAATTTGGAAATAAACCTCGTTTATCTGCTTCATACCATAGGTATTGGTCCAGATAAGCATCAACAATTTTTTCTAAAGGTTCAATATCATATACTGGAGATATGTGGCTATAATGATCCATCATTTCAAGTTTTACTTCCTTAAAGTTCCTTTGTGTTAAAATCGTTCGTTTTATATTGGCTAGAAACTCATGAGGGTTATCGTAGGCTTGTTCGATAATAGAAAGTTCTTGTCTTTCTTGGGAATTCAATCTACTATTACCTTGGTAAGCTTCTTTCAAATTCTCAAGGGCCAAGATTAAAATTTTACTGTCATGCTTGTAATTGATGGGTGGGAAAGGGACCGGAACAAATTTTCTGCTCTCAAGCCAATTGACCATATTCATATAGATCTCAACACCCTCATCAGGTGAAACAAAAGATCCTTCTTTTTGATACTCAAGTTGTCTATCTTGTTCGTTCTTGATCCATAGTCTTGTCAATCTGCCCAAGTTTTTCTTGGCAACGGTTTTTTCAATAGATGCACCACGTTCAATTCTGTCTCTATTATAGTGCGCAACAGATATCCAACCATCAGCTTTGGCTTTGATGTATCTCTCAATCACTTTTACAATGGGCTCAGGTAGCCCTGGGACTTTCCATGGAATGTTGGCTTTCCAGCATCTCCACGCTTCACTCAAATGTTGCAAAATTGCTTTCGACTTATTTTGTTTCATGCCTTCTGGAATCATATCTAGTATGTCTTTCATCACTGCGGCTCGTAATTCTAAATCATAGTATGAATCCACTCTCTGTTTAGTTATTGTTTTCGTAACCTCTTTGGATTGCCTACCTTCAAATTGACGTGAGAGGAGATTTCCTAGCCATCTTTCAAGGATAGGAATTATACCTCTCATGAAAAAGATCCAGACTCTCCATGCGGGCTGCCAAAATCCGCAGCCAGGTCCCTTACCAATGATTTTATTGAATTTGCTATAGACAACATGTTTCAAGTCCTTGATAGCCCTGATTTGATGCATAACTTTATATTTGTAACGGTATATACCAGTCAACTGGCCCATATGGTTCATTGCATAGTATAGTCCATCAGCCAACTGATAAGCATCTATGTTTCCAAGTCTAAACTGGATGTGAGCATCAACAATCATCTTGATCATTCTAAGTATCTCTCTTACCAAATGGAATGCATTACCAAATCTGGATTTCTTACGTTCTTTCGTAGTCAATGTTTTAGTTGGCTTCAAATTGAAGTTATAATCTAAATGAAGATATGTCAAACCCCTTCTGTGGATCAACAAATTAAGCATATTGTGACCTTGTTTACAGACTTGAATCCCAGCTTCTACCCAATCTAGAGATGTCTCTTGGAAGAATTTTGTTGCCTTCAAAGCTTTCAATAGTTTCGGAGTAGATTCATTTGAAGGAGATTTTTCTCTCTTCAATTCATTTAGTACATGGTTCTTCAATAGTTTTTGATGTGAAATTTTTATTTTCACACGTTCATCTGATGGGGGGTGTTGTAAGTACCAGCTTTTAACTAAGGCAACATCTTCAGCTCTTACCATGCTTCCAGTACTAGTATTGAAAGGATATGAGGACCAATATAATTCAAAGGCTTGGTAGCTATCTGAAGTGAATATCAACTCTTCATCAGATAAAAATGGAGCAAAGGAATCAGGAAGCTCAAGAGGAGTATCAAAAATCTCTCCTGTTTCATTCAGCATCTCTCCTGTTTCAGCATCAAAATCAAGGGTTTCATAAACGTTGGTAACTCCTTTTTTCGGTTTTATCTGATTATAGCTCGGATTGAAGTTGAATAGTGGTATATCAGGATCGTCTGTTTTAGTAAATAAAATAGGTGGGGAATGATATTTTGGAATCGATACTGACCTTACTAATGAGTTGTAGAGATATGGGAAAGCAACTTTGTACTCTGACTTTATAGGGTTTCGGAAAATTATTCTATCAAGTGCGTTAAATTCATTAAAATCTTCATCTTCTGGGTTTTCGTCCTTATATAGAGGTTCAAATTTGGGTCCTCCAGGCAGAGCAATATTGAGTGCTTTTGCGGTAAAAAGTGATTCTTTGTCAAAAAGATAAAAGTAATTAGGATCTATCTTTTCGTCGTTTATCAAAGGAGTTGAAAGTCTGTGTAAGTTTGTTAGCATGTTTACCTTCAGGTTCCATTTCCTGTAGGATTCTCCATTGACAAATTCGGGATCATCTATGAGCGGTTTCCCTTCGTAGAACCAATCTATCACTGCCTCATCTTCAATCGGATCTAGTTCTAAGCGAATTCCTTGCAACGAGTCGATTGATGGAATTTGTTTAGAAAAGTCGAGGAAGGGTTCTTCATCATCGAAAGGAGGGAACTTCATTCTTCTAAAGTTTCTCCGATCATGTTTCTCCCTTCTCATTTGAATCCAAGAGGCAGCCCACTGTGCTTTATACACTGGCTCAATCACTCTCGGTATTTCGTTCACAAGGGTGATAGCACCACCTGTATGATAAAGTATTTTCACCTCTTTTTCTGTTTCCCACGGTTGTGGCATATTTTCAAGTAGCTTCAGTATAGCGTGAGGCATATATTTGAGTGCTCCTAGCATTGCATGTTTCTCCTTGTCAAAAAACTTGGAAGAGAGGTCGCCCTGTGCGTTCATGATTTTCCGTATATGCTCTGGTGGCATTTCGTATTTCACATTGTGCACATACGTTCCCTTTTGGACTTTTTTCTGTGTGAACCGGCGTTTCTGACAATCCTGCCATCTCTGTGCTCTTGCTTTTAGCACTTCTATATTGGTACCCTTGGTTTTTTCTTGTGGAAGAGACGGAGGCGGTGGAGGCGGGATTACGCGAGAGCTAGATGAAGCGCTCTTTGCTGCCGCTGGCGGTCTAGCTATTGGCGACGGTGGCGGAGGCAATCGTGTGAAAGAGGGAGGCGGTGGCGGTGGTAATTTCGGTTTCTTTCTTGCTGGCTCCGCATTGGCGCCGGACCCGTTGGATGAGGTTTTGCTCCTGGATGTGGCTTTACCGTTTCCAGCAGGAGGACCCGGCGGAGGTGGCGGCGGTGGCGACAACGAAGGCCGTTTTGTTTTCTTGCTTTGCTTTGGCGGCATTTCCTGTCAAGACTTTGGCGACACGAGAGCCCTGTTTGTCGAATTTTTGCAATGCAATTGAGGCTGATCTCCAACAGAGGAAAAGAATTTGAGTTAATACATCTTATTTCAGGAAAAACTTCACGAAAACATGATGAGGAAAAAAGTGTTGAGCTTACGTAATGTTGCGGGGAGAATTTCTATCGGATTCATGATATTACAGTATAAGACATAGAAGTACGTGGAGGTTACAGAAAGCCGGATATCGAGTTGGAGGTCATGTTGATCTGCATGTGTGCCTCCCGAGCAATGGCACGGGCCTCCTCTATCTCCTGAGAGGTGCCCTGGGTAAGCTCGACAGCGTAGTTGTACGCCAGCTGCCAGTTTTTGTTGGAGGTCTCGTGTTTGGCTAGCCACAAGCGGGCCTTTATTGTCTCATCTGTGATGTCGCCACCGAGCTCCTCTTCCAAACAAAGCTTCATGTAGTTTTTCGCGTTCTTGGTGTCGTCGATGTGGGCGTAGAGGGTGCCGAGCTTGTAGAGTATGACCGGATCGGAGTCCACGGAGACGGAGGAGGCTTTCCGATAAGCTTTGATGGAGTCTTCGAATTCTTCGAGTTTTTCGCAGCAATTTCCGATGGCCTGCCACATACGCTTGTCCATGGGTTTCAAGGAACATGCTCTTTGGTAGTAGTACAAGGAGTAGAGGTGCATGTCCAAGACCTCGTAGGCCTGGCCCAAGCCGTACCATGCTCTGAAATCCTTGTTGTTGGTGTCGACGGCCCGTCTGTAGCTCTCAATGGCGGCGTTGGAGTTCTTCAACTCAACAAACTCGTGGCCCATCAAGGTCCACGCACTGAGGCAGTCTTGGCTCAACGACAAGGCCCTCTTGTAGTACATGATGGCCTTCTGGTGGTCAAACTTGATGGAGTGGTAGTTGGCTATTATGCAGCAGGTCTCTGGACGGAGCGGGTCGACTTCTGACGCGTAGTGGGCCAAGTAGGACAACTTGGACTTGTTTTCCATGACGTACAAGATGTTAGAGTAGATGTCCATCTCGTCCAACCTCATTGGGTCCGACTTCAGTATGTCGTCAAAGATGTTTTCTGCGGTGTTGTAGTCTAGCTCGTTGTACGAGATCAACGCCTTCTGGGTCTTCAAGAAGCTGAAGTGCGGGAATATGTCGGTCAAGTCGTTCAGACTCACAAGGACCTCGTTGGAGATCTGGAAAAACTCCTGGTAGACCGTCACCTTGAAGAAGAGAAACATGATGTAGAACTCCTTCTTGTCGGAGAACCTTGGGTTTTTCTGGAGGCGGGTGATCATGCGCAGAGCCTCACTGAACGTCGACAAGCTCGACACCAGCTCTTTCCAGCAGCTCCAGTTGATCGGGTATATCGAGACGGACTGGTAGAACATCTCCTGCGCGTGCGTGAGCTTTTTCGACTTGAGGTAGATGATGCCCTGCAAGTACAAGAGGAACGGGTCATGCAAGTGTGTGAGATGCATCGTCTTCTTGTAGATCTCGAGCTCCTTGATGATGAGCGAGAAGTTTGGATTCTGCGTCGTGTTGTCGTTCTGGCCCAAGATCGTCCCGTTTTCAATCGACTTCTTCTTCTCGCCGCTCAAAAACAGGGCGTAGAGCCGTATGAAGACCGCCTTGTAGCTGCGGCACTCCTTCAAGACGTGGTAGCAGCGGTTGAACTCCTTGCAGCTGAAGTAGGCACCTGCGAGCGCTATCTTGTCTCTCTCGGTGAACAGCAAGAACTCGTCGTTCTCCACCCCCGGCCCGCCCCCGTTCTGTCCATCCAAAGCCCTCGACCTCCCCATGCCCGCCCCGCTGCCCATGTTGAGTCCCGGACTCGCCGTGGCTCTCCCGGAGAGGCCTGTACTCGTCCCCGTCGCCGAGCCGGACGTGAGCATGCTCGATTCGAACGCCAACGACGACGAAAGCGGCGACGTCAACGTGTTGCCCCCCAGCCCGCCGCCACCAAGTCCACCCCCACTGCTGTGAGATGTCCTCTTCATGAGCTGGTACTCTGCGTACTGCTGCTCCGTCGTCAACGGCGCCATCCCGTTCAACGCTTCGCTGGACCATCGGGCCGCCTGGTACAGGTGTCTCTCCGTGAGCACCTGGCTGCTTTCAAAAAACACCTGCCGCAAAAACACCTTCTGGTCAAAATCCATGCTGCTGTGTCCGATTTTTAGTCTCTCTGCTGTCTCTGCACTGTCAATCCCCAAGCAACAGGCTCCTCCCGCCAAAAAGGGCTCTTGTTGTCTTTTCATGTTGACGAAACGCCACGAAAATCGTTCTCGCTGAAATTTCTTGATCTGTCGATCTATCTATCTATCTATCTATCTATCTATCTATTTGAAGTCTAGTAGTCCGGTGTGTGTGCTTGTCGGGTAGTCTGTGCTCGTGGCTGTCAGAACGACAGCCTCACTCATCGGCGGCAGCCACCACCGGCGTTGCAGGCTCGGCAACAGATGCAGCAGGCTCCTCCCGGGTCTCTTCCTCGGCGGAGTTCGTCTTGTGGGTGTGCCGTCTTCTCCTGCGCTTCTTGCCGTCGCCAGCAGCAGCCTCGGAAGGGTCCCGATCCTCCTTGGTCGGCCCCGTCGTCACCGCGTCCTTCTTGGCCTTCTTGGCCTTCTTCTTCATGGCCAACGGGTTCACGCCCTTCACCCGCTTCTTGCGCTGCGCCTGCACCTCCTGCTGCACCGGGTCCACGTCCTCGTCGCCGTCTCGTACCCGCTTCCCGGCGTCGACGCTGTTCAAGCCCTGCGTCAACTTCATCCGCTCCACGGCCTGCACCACCCGCTTCGTCACCGTGCTCATCGGCTCCATCACAAGCACGCTCCGGTACAAGAAACAGAGCGGCACCCCGGCGACGTTCCGCAAGCTCGTCCGCAACCGCTCGTCCTGCGTCACCACCAGGTACCGGTACTTGTTTTCGCCGTCCACGTTCGTGATGCTCTTGATGCACTCGAACGACGACAGCGTGTCCTTGTGGCCGCAACGTCTCTTTTCCATCCGCTTCGCCAGATCGATCGCCTGCTGGTTCTCCGAGTCGTAAAGGTGCTGCACACAGCACTGCGTCACAAAGTACTTCGTCTCGTGTTGCACGATGCCGTCCATGCCCTTCACAAGGTCGTAGTTGGCGTTCGTCGCCTCCAGAATCGTGCTGTCATCCACCACGCACTGGATCGGCGTCTTGAACTTGAACGTCGTCTTCAGCACCTGGATCTGCTTACGGTACTGCTTGGCTCTCTTCTGTCTCATGCTGTATTCAACGTTTTCTGCTGTCTGGTCTTTCCTTCCTCTCTTGACTTCTTCCCCCTCTTCCTTCCTACTTTTCCTCCCTCCTTTTAGGGAAAAATAATTTTTCAGTGCAGAAAAAAATCGTCAAGCCAGAAAAAGAGACAGAAAACGAAAATTCCGTCTTTGCCTGTCTTTTTCCTCTCGGACTGCTTATCTTCGCCCTTTCCCTGCCTCTCTGCTTCTGTCCGTGCTTCCAGCACACACGATTCTCTCAAGTGATTGACCAACAAGCATGTCGGGCCTCACACTATCCTCCGCATGGTACTCCTCGCAGTTGGCGACCATCTTCTTTGCCATCCTGGCAGCCACAGCCGCCTTTTCTGCCGCCTACCCGCTGGCTTATCTCTCCATCACCGTCTCGTTGGCAATCTCCCTGTACCAGGCGTTGACTGCAGAGGCTAAGAGCCCTGCTCCAGCTGCCGTTGCCGGTGGCGACACGCCAAACGCCAAGAGTGACTCTGCCGCTGATAAGGACACCGCCACTGGCTCACTGAAGAAGCTGGTGGGCCCGGCCAGAAAGCACCCAACGACCCCGTACGTGCTGCTTGCGCTCGGACACCTCCTTGTCTTCCCCCGGTTCACACTCACTTTGCTTCCGTTTGTGCTCTTTGCCTTCTTCCACGCCATCAACTACACCCGGACATTTGTTCTGCCTGTGCTCCCTGTCAGCGAGGGGCTCAAGAGCAGGGGAAAGTCTGTGCTCGAGCACGTCAACTCGAGATACAACGAGGCTGCCTTCCGGCTTGCGGTCTGGGTGCAGCTTCTCTGCTTTGCCATTGAGGTGCTATGGGCCGTCGTCATGACGCCATTGAACCTTGTCGGCTATGGGGACGGCCGTCTGTTACTCAACTGGGCTGCCGCTGCCGGCTGGCTCGTCTTCATCGGCACGTTGCAGTCGCAGAACCTCCTGATGAAGGCGGCAATCAACCAGGTTGTCACTAACGTCGACGGCGTCGTGTCCGACCCAAGGGTTCCGCAGCAGGCCAGAGATGTCTGGGCCAGAACAAAGCACGTCGTCAGATACAAGGACCTGAACCACGTCCAGTGATTGTGAGAATTTAAGAATCTTTTATATTATCCCTCCCCAACTATGTATCTGCTTATCTGCTTCTGTTCTGTTGTTCTCTCTTATACACACGCTATATGTTTGTGCCTTTCTCCGGCGTCGTCTTGCACGGGGGCTTCCTGCAACGCTCTCTCCTTCTCCAACACCAGCTTGAGCAAGGGCCCGGCGTCGTGTAGCGTGTGGCCCGTCACAAGGATTCGCACAAACGTGTCGTAGTCCGTGCCGGGCTCAATCAGCTGGAGGTAATAGTCGTACGAGTGTCGGAACTCGGTCTTCTCGTATTCGTCTAGTCCGTAGTACGAGGCATCCTTCAACAGCTCACCGAAGTCGTACATTCTGTACCACTTTGAGCACTCCTTTGATGGCCGCCGTAGCACATTCCGGACAAAGCTCTCCAGGGCGCCGCAATGGGTCACATAGTACGGTACGAGCTGCGACGTATCCCGGTCGTACGTCAAAAGCTCGTCGACAAAGCCAACCTCGTACCCGTGTCGCCGGTCAATACCCTTGCACAGGAGCTGATAGAAGTACTCGTAGTTGTTCAGCGAAAACCGCCACAGGAACCTCGGGTTCTGGAGGTAGAGCTGAACGTCTGTGTCTTCCACGACAAAGTTCCACGGCAGCACCTTCGAGCAGGCAAAGTGCAAGTGTTTCAACCGGTACGGATGCTCGATCCGTGCTCGGAGCACACACCACTGGTAGAGCTGGTACGCCTGCACCTGCAGGATCGCTGTTGCACGCTTCACAAGATCGCCCTGGTCGTAGCCGGCGTACGTGCTGTTGCGGTTGTGTTCCCGCTGAAACGCCGTTGTGTTTACAAGTGCCGCCGCCGTCGAGCCGGACGTCTCCACCGCCTCCACGGGCCGGTCGTTGTCCGGGTCGCAGATGGGAATAAAGTACATTGGCCCGACACACAGGAAGCAATGGTCTGCCGGTGTTCCAGCCTACGCCGTGGTCTACGCCTCTGGTGGGCAGAGAAGAAAGGCTGCCGCTATCCGGGAAACGGGCAGGGAGCAGAAAGATGTTGCAATTGCCCAATCGGGCAGCTCCTATGTCAAAATGGTGACGATTCATGCTGTGGCCTCAACAAATTGCGGGCCATGATGTGGGGGGAGACAGTCGTGTTGGGGGTTGTTGTTGTACTATAGACAGACTATAGATTGGTAATATACATAGATAGGCTGCCGGCTGGGCGGCACGGGGTTCAGGCCATGCCGATGTAGATGACGTTGTTGCCACGCAAGAAGACCTCGTCGTAGGTCTTCATCGTCTTTCCGTTGACGATCTCGCTGGCGTTCTGCAGCACAACGTTCATGTATCCATCGATGGAGGAGAGGACGCCCGTGTAGACGAAATCGTTGTGGAGCTTGATGTTGACGGGCTTGTTCGTGATGGAGCCGAGAAACGAGGCGGTGATGTCCTCGGCGGGGGTGGCAACGGCCTTGGAGGCGTCGTCCACAGCGGATGCAGACATGGGTAGATTGGTAAGTACGTGTGGGTGTGTGGAAAGGCTGGTGTTCTGGCTGAAGATGGCACAACAAAAGGCTGCTGGTTGCCGGGCAGGGAGGGTGTTGAAGATGTAGTGGAAATTTGACGAGGGAAAAAGCTGTCGCTGAAAAAAACGTGGAGACCTTCAGCAAAAGGCATCCGGTGCTTCTTGGGAGGGGCTCCGGGAGGGGGCATCTGGCACAGTTGTGCACCATACATAGGACCCTGCCCGCTGACGATGTCGAACGCTGCGAGAACTGCGAAGAAGGCGGTCCGATACGCCAAGCCGTCGGCGAAACTGATCAACTCGAAGCTCAAGCAGGAGCAGAGCATCAAGGCAGAGAGAAACAAGCTAGCCCTGGCGTCCGTGAAGGACATCTTTGCGATCCTGAACCCGAACGCCGGCAGCGACGATGACTTTGATCTGACGGACTTTGACTGCAAGGTGTACTTTGCGAACCCGCGGACGTTTGACAAGCTCCCGTTCTTCAAACAGGCCCACGTTGTGGAGGAGATGAACGAGCTGCTCAAGAAGAACTGGAGGAGCCTCGACAAGGACGTGAAGCGGTTTGCCGTGTGGTGGGCGTACGGGAGCCACGGGCCCCGGGAGGGCTTTGTAGAGCTCCACGACTACTACACACCCTACGGCGTGGAGGCCGAGGCCGAGGCAGAGGCAGAGACAACGGCGGCGATGGACAAGGCGCCCGTGAAACGGGCCTCTGACACAGAGTTGAACAAGATTATCGACACCATCTCCGAGGAGACCACGAGGACGTCGTCGGCGTCGGAGAAGTCTGCGTTGCAGATGTCGAGCAACGAGTTGGAGGCGTCGCATCTCAACAAGCGGCCGGAGCTTCCTCCGGACTTGCCGTTCAAACTGCCGTCGATTCTGCAGACGTTCAGGCCGACGGCCTCGACGATGGTGCATCGCTACCCGGCGCTTGACCCCCGCAGCTTCGGCCTCAAGCGGCTGCAGCAGTACCGCCAGGACCGGCGGATGAACCCGATCAACCGAATCGTGCTCGTGGTGTGTGTGTTTCTGACGGTGCTCTGCTTCAAGCAGGACCGGCGGGTGAACGTGACAGGCACGGTGCCGGAGTATCCGTGGGACGTGGCGGAGCGTGAGGAGAGGGAGGCCGAGGAGAGAGAACGGCAGGCCGAGAGGGAGGCCGAAGCAGCCCAGCAAGAGCTGGCCAGCGGGGCCGGTGTCGCCCAGGATAAGAAAGGCGGCCGGAGATGGTACTACCTGTGGCTCTTGTAGACGGGCCAGATGCGTGTAAATAGACAGACGCAGCAGACCGATCTGTATAGCGAGCCGGCCGAGGTCTGGCTACTTCACCTCCTGCTGCAGTTAGTGCGGTTGTTACTATTATTATTATAATAATGCTGGGTGATATCGAAAAGGCGTGGCACGCCTAGAAAATATTGTACAGAGAAGAAGACCCGTTCATTCGTCGCCGTCCTCGTCATCCTCTTCATCCTCTTCATCATCCTCGTCGTCGTCGTCATCCTCGTCGTCGTCCGCGTCGTCGATGTCCTTCAAATCCTCGGTCCAGCTCTTCTCCACCGTCTGTCTGACCCGCTTGACGTACTGGCTCCGGTGGTCTTTGTACAAGCTCGCTGCCTCCGCGTTCGCCGGCGAGTTGATGTTCGGGTCGTTGAGCAAGCTCTGGATGCTTGTGAGAATACTCGCCACGTCGTACGTAGGGCTCCACCTGTTCTGGAGAATGTCGAGACAGAGGTCGCCCGTGGCGTACACGTTTGGGTGGAAGATCTCGCTTGTGAACTTCACGTTTGGCGGCTTGTTCGGGTACTGCTCGTCGAACGTGAGACACAGTCTGAACGTGCCGTCCTCGAACGGCGTGTCCTCCGGCCCGATGATGATGGCGTTCCAGATCATCACGTTATCCGCCAAGGGCGACGCAGAGATCCCGCCCGAGGCGGATGCAGAGTCCTGCTGGATTCTTTTGAAGTCACGCATTAAGCGACGGCGTGCCGGGGTGGACATCTTGTAGCAATGTCACGGTTGTCCTGTATGTCGCTGTGTGTCTTTCCCTGCCGCTACACCCCGGTGCAAAACCCACATTTCTCTAATGGCTCACATCGTCAAATGACATGTATCTGTGTCTATCTCTGGAAACAGGACCCTGAGACCCCTGCTGACGTAATCTCTACAACACCGTTTTCTGTCGCAGATGGTGCACGGGTTCCCATTTTCCCCTGTTTTGGGTCGATCGACCAAAAATCCCGAATTTCCGAATTCCCGCTCTTTTTCCCCTCCTCCTCCCTGGAAGTTTCTGGAAGGTTCCACAGACAGGGCGAACCGACGAGCAGAGGAGGCTCGTGCTGGAAAAGGATGGAAAGATTCTGGAAAGTTCGATTGTGCCCTTGCACGGACAGCCGTCACAGGTGTCGAAAAAGCAGTGTCGTATAAATAATGGGCGTTTCGCAGTCGGTCAGAAGAGCAGGAGCATAAGGAAGCCAGGTGTCTTTCTTCCAAGAAATGTGAAGGTGTATTGAGTTTGTGGATTCTCCTTTTGTTTTCCCCCTTTCTTTTCAGCATAGAACTAAGTACTTTCGAGTCACTTATTTACACATATACATACATATACACACACTATGTCTAAAGCTGTCGGTATCGATTTAGGTACTACGTACTCCTGTGTCGCCCACTTCTCGAATGACAGAGTGGACATCATTGCCAATGACCAAGGTAACAGAACCACTCCTTCGTACGTGGCATTCACGGACACGGAAAGATTGATTGGTGACGCCGCAAAGAACCAGGCTGCCATGAACCCACACAACACGGTTTTCGACGCCAAGAGATTGATTGGTAGAAAGTTCGAGGACTCGGAGGTGCAAACAGACATGAAGCACTTCCCTTTCAAGATCGTCGACCAAGGCGGTAAGCCTAAGATCCAGGTCGAGTACAAGGGCGAGACGAAGATCTTCACTCCAGAAGAAATTTCGTCCATGATCTTGACCAAGATGAGAGAGACCGCAGAAGCATACTTGGGCTGCAAGGTGAACGACGCCGTTGTCACCGTTCCAGCATACTTCAACGACTCGCAGAGACAGGCCACCAAGGACGCCGGTTCCATTGCAGGCTTGAACGTCTTGAGAATCATCAACGAACCAACCGCCGCTGCCATCGCATACGGTTTGGACAAGAAGACCGAGGGCGAGAAGAACGTCCTCATCTTCGACTTGGGTGGTGGTACCTTCGATGTGTCCCTTCTTTCCATCGAAGAAGGTATCTTCGAGGTCAAGGCCACTGCTGGTGACACCCACTTGGGTGGTGAGGATTTCGACAACAGATTGGTCAACCACTTTGCCACCGACTTCAAGAGAAAGAACAAGAAGGACCTGACCGGTAACCCAAGAGCCATGAGAAGATTGAGAACCGCGTGTGAAAGAGCAAAGAGAACCTTGTCCTCTTCTGCCCAAACCACCATCGAAATCGACTCCTTGTTTGAAGGTATTGACTACTACACCTCTGTCACCAGAGCCAGATTCGAAGAATTGTGCCAAGACTTGTTCAGATCCACCTTAGACCCTGTTGAAAAGGTTTTGAAGGACGCCAAGTTGGACAAATCCTCTGTCGATGAAATCGTCCTTGTTGGTGGTTCCACCAGAATTCCAAAAGTCCAGAAGTTGGTTTCCGACTACTTCAACGGTAAGGAGCCAAACAAGTCCATCAACCCAGATGAGGCTGTTGCCTACGGTGCTGCTGTCCAGGCCGCCATCTTGACCGGTGACCAATCCTCCAAGACCCAAGACTTGTTGTTGTTGGATGTTACTCCATTGTCCCTTGGTATTGAGACCGCTGGTGGTGTCATGACCAAGTTAATTCCAAGAAACTCCACCATCCCATGTAAGAAGTCTGAGACCTTCTCCACTTACGCCGACAACCAACCGGGTGTCTTGATCCAAGTCTTTGAAGGTGAAAGAGCAAGAACAAAGGACAACAACTTGTTGGGTAAGTTTGAATTATCCGGCATTCCTCCAGCACCAAGAGGTGTTCCACAAATTGAAGTCACCTTCGACATCGATGCCAATGGTATCCTGAACGTTTCCGCCCTCGAGAAGGGTACTGGTAAGACTCAAAAGATTACCATCACCAACGACAAGGGTAGATTATCTCAAGAAGATATCGAAAGAATGGTTTCTGAAGCCGAGAAGTTCAAGGAGGAGGATGAAAAGGAGGCCACCAGAATTGCATCCAAGAACCAATTGGAATCCTACTCTTACTCCGTCAAGAACACCTCTTCCGAAAAGGCCTTTGAAGAAAAGGTCTCTGCCGAAGAAAAGGAACAAATCACCAAGGCTTGTGACGAGACCATTGCTTGGTTAGACGAAAACCAAACTGCTTCCAAGGAAGAATTCGACGACAAGCAAAAGGAACTTGAGCAAGTTGTCAACCCAATCATGACCAAGTTCTACCAAGCCGGTGGTGCCCCAGGTGCTGCCCCAGGTGGTGCTGCTCCAGGTGGTTTCCCAGGTGCAGGTCCAGCTGCTGAAGAGCCAGCTGGTCCAACTGTCGAAGAAGTCGATTAATCGTGATGATACATATTATTCATTTTCTTGCCTGTAACTAATAGAACGAAAATATTATTCCCTGGCTTCATTTTGTATAGTATCTTTTCATATTCCATTGACAAAACTCTTTTTAGACTGTATAGGATTAGATCTTTTCTTAAATAATTATAAATAAACCAACAATTTGAAATTTGAAATCTGGAACAAACTCCAAAAAAAAAGTAACAGGGTAGGACAAACCACAAGCTCCCCTAGAACTAGTGAGAGTGTGTGAATTCTAAAAACAAAGAGATGCTCGCACTCAGAGTTGAACTGAGGATCGCCACATTACTAGTGTGGCGCCTTACCAACTTGGCCATACGAGCAGATCTGCTACAGAAAATTCTCTGCCTCTTTACCTTGCACACACATCATGTGAATTCTTCCACTGTCAAGTGGATTACGTAATTCCCCTCCTCTAGCGGCTATTTCCTCACGTGCCTCCGCCTTGTCCGGCTCCGGCACCATGTTTCGCTCCCTCCTTTGTCCTCTGGTCCTACCCCCTGGCCAAGCATGCATTGACAAAAGACCAAAACAAGACGATTGTAAGTCCTGGCTTGGGGTTTGTGGCGTCTGGGACTGCTTTCGGAATCGAAGGAAGGACAAAGATTAGCAGCAGTCGATACCGGCAGTGAGAGTCCGTACCATGAGGCTCCTTTCGCCGCTTTCGTCGAACAAGAGCCGTGCAACTCTTGTGTCCATGCTCTGCTGGTTTACGCTTTTCACGATCTTCCAGTTCATCGACCCGTTTCTCTCCATCTCGCACTGCTCGTTTCCACGGATTGCGAATGATTTGGAGTATGACTCGGAGGTGAGCATCAGCAAGGTGCTCATCATCGCGGACCCGCAGTTGATCGACAACCATACATACCCGGGGAGACTGTCCCCCTTGCTAAGCCTATCAAAATTTACCGTGGACAACTATATATATAAAAACTACGTGGCGCTAATGAACGAGCTCAAACCTCAGACAATATTGTTCTTGGGTGACTTGTTAGACAACGGAAGAGAGTCCTCCGACGAGTACTACGAGAACGAGTATCAGCGGTTCATCAAAGTGTTTGTCGACCCGGCAAGAAACAGGGAAGTGGAGTTCATCACCAGCGTTCCGGGGAATCACGACATTGGCTGGGCTGATGGGGTCACCGAACACTCGCTCGAGAGGTTTGGGCAGCACTTTGGACATCCGAACAAAATCATACAGAAGGGGAACCACGACTTGATTCTACTCGACAACTTGTCCTTAATGAACACCGTAGATAAAAAGGTTGCCGAACCGGCACAAAGCTTCTTGAACACATTGAGGGAAACAAAGAAGGAACGAACAAGGATACTTTTTGACCACGTCACGCTGTGGAGAGACCCCGAGGTCCAAGTCTGTGGCGCGTCGAGAGAGAGTAAGAAGCCATTTCCGATCTCTAAAGGTTACCAATACCAAACCGCCATAGACGAGGAAGCGTCCTTGGATATTCTTCGGGCAGTACGTCCTGATGCCATATTCAGTGGTGACGACCACGACTACTGTCAAGTCGTCCATTCATACAGAGACAGCAAGGGCAAGGAGCAGAGAAGTCTCGGCGTCAACGTGAAAAGCATGTCGATGGCCATGGGCATCAAAAGGCCTGCGGTCGAGCTCCTCACCTTGTACAACAAGCCGGTCAAACTTGAAAAGGACTGGATCTTAAACAACCAGGTGGTGAAGACAAAGGGTGAGTTCCTCGACTACACTTTCGACACTTGCTACCTCACCAAGCCTTATGTGGATATTGTTGCATATGTCTTCTTGGCAATAATCGACGCCATTTGGTTATTCATCAGTTGTGTCGAAAGAAAAAAGAGATACGTCAGTATCGCCGACAATTATTCCTATGACAATTTTTTTGAAAGTCTGTTTAAAAACGTCAACTGGCTTGCTTTCATCAAGCTGTCTGTCATCAACGGATTGCTCGCAATGTTCCTTTACTATCTTTTTACACTTCATTGATTTCCGCCTTTTTCTAAAAGAAGATATCTCATTTCTTGTTTGTCTATATTTTTATAATGCAAAAAAACTGCACCATCGCAACCTTCCCCGTACTCCGCTAATAGGTTTTGGATACAAAAAACATGCAGTTCCGAAGCAAAAATACAACTCCGAAACGGGGAATTGAACCCCGGTCCCCCGCGTGACAAGCGGAAATTCTAGCCACTAAACTATTTCGGAAAGAATTGTTGTACCTTGCGCAAGCCCGGAATCGAACCGGGGGCTCAACGATGGCAACGTTGAATTTTACCACTAAACCACTTGCGCCTTGGATGAAACGTTTATAACAATTTCAATTCATCTTAGTAAAGTAGCATCATCAAAAAATGCTCAAGCGTTTAGTTTTTATTTCTTTCTGCCATTGAGAATAATTATATTGTTTGTTGAATGTAACAAAGCTGTAGACCAATAAGCTTATTCCAGTTGGAGAAAGGTAGAAGCCTTTTTGAATTACATATTACTAAGATTACTAAACCAGGGTCAATTCCACAGCATAGTGAAGCTCGTATGGCCAAGTTGGTAAGGCGCCACACTAGTAATGTGGCGATCCTCAGTTCAACTCTGAGTGCGAGCATCCTTTTTTTTTAAGACTCGAGACTCTTTTTGGAATTGAGAAGGTTTTTAAAGTGTCTTGGATCATCCATCAATTGGAAAGAGATTAGAGGAATACAAAGTTATATTAAGAGCTGATAACATCGTTAATTTTTCCCATTACCAGTATTGTACATACCAATAGCCTTGTTGGAATGGTATGGGTTTCTTTCAGCTTCTTCTTTGAGTTCTTTCAAAGCCGCTTTCAAGTTGTCCACGGCCACTCTACTATTCTGGAAGGAAAAGGATAACCGGAAAATGGCGATTTTAATGTCATACTTCTCTCCAACCACACTGATAAGTGCTGGATCAATATGATTCTTCAATGGGTCAAGGAAAACAAAATTGGTTTGGCAAGGGATCTCCAAAACCAAGCCTATACTTTCTGCATAATCGGCAACTTCTCTGGCCATGACATGCGATTGTTTCATCTTGGAGAAGTTTTCATCGATTGCAATCGAAGCCATTCTGCACAACATACCGCATTGTCTGATACCACCCCCATTTTGCTTCTTGAAATGGTTGGCCTTTTTAATGAGGTCGGCAGACCCCACTAGAACGGACCCGATTGGTGCACCTAGACCTTTTGATAGGCACACAGATATCGAATCAAAGTACTTGCCGTATTCGGTGAAAGGAACCCCAGTGGCAATATTTGCATCCCAAATTCTAGCACCGTCCAAATGGATCGACAAGCCATTAGCACGACACCACTCGCTTATACGCTTAATTTCTTCAATTGGATAAATGAGACCGTGGATGGTGTTTTCCAATGAAACCACCTTGGTTGGTGCCGCATGGATATCGCCGTCGTCCGGGATATATCTGGCAACGATATCTTCCAAGGTGAGATAAAGGCCATTACTTGGAATGATGTCAGTAACCATCGCCTGAGAAAGAGTTGCCAAACCACCAGCTTCGTGAACATAGACATGGCCTCTGTAATCGCAGAGGACTGAGTGTGGAGGTTGTTTCAAATGGGATCTAAGAGCGATTTGATTCGAGAGGGTACCCGACATACAAAACAAGCCTGCCTCGAAGCCCATCAAATCCGCAACTTTCTTCTCCAACGCCTTAGTATCTGCGTCTTCATTGTATACTGAGTCACTAACCGATGCAAGTCCAATGCTGCTGATCATGGATTGCGTAGGAGTCGTGAAGGTATCACTCCGGAACTCATTGTGGTTTTCAGGTAACTGTGAAGTAGCCTCTGTCATTGTCAGTAAATACCTGATGTTAATACTTCGTGCAAACACTCTAGTCTAGGGCACAATCGAAAAGAAGACTAAAGTCAAACAGTTGATCAACCGTTGTTATTCAAGTAGTCCTCCCCGGAAACTCCAACGGCGAGAGAGCTGCAATTATCAGCCAGATGCGGTATTTTGCGCGACGCTCCGATACAAGAGTGACTGACCAATGAGACAGAAGGACGGATGGCGTGGTAAGTCTGGATACCGCCCAACCGGTAGGCATTATCACCTCTGTCTACAAAGACGTAGATAGGGTAATGGCAGGCATCGGTAAAGTATCAAAAAATGCGATGTTGGAAACTTTTTACATAGCTATTAGTTATTAGGGTCACTAAAATTAGTCTGGTATAGGAAATGTGTGGTGATAAAATGCTAAGTAGAAGTAAAACTAGCCAAACGTATGATGTCTAGAGCGGTTCAATACCGTGCAAAACGAGGAGGCATTAGTTAGAAACTCAGATCAAGGCGGCGGCAAGACCGACGAGGGCGAAGAAGGAGCCGGCAGGAGCGTAATCCATGGCAGCAGCAGCGTCTGTGAAAATGGAGGTGGAGTTGACGGCGGAGTGGCTAGCGGTGACACTGGAAGTGCTCAAGGTGGAGGAGGTGACTGGGATAGTCGAGTTGGAGCCCGGCGTGGTAGTTGGGGCGCCGGAGGAGGATGGCCCGGAGACATCCTTCTTCTGGAGAGTCAATGAGAGACAGCCGGAAGGAGCGTTTTCTGGGTAGTACATGACCTCGTAGGAGCTGGCGGAATACTTGTATGGGTCATTGGTGTTCTTGCAGGCGTAGAAGTAGCTGGAGGAGCCGTTCACCAACAAGTAGTCGTTGCTGTCGAAGGTGATAGCCGCGTCGGGACCCTCAACACTGGCTGCCACGAAGCCGCCAGACACCCTGAAGAACTGCTCAACACCCGTGTCAAGCGTGAGTTGCTTGTCGGCTGCGCTGTAGCTTAGGGTGGAACCTTTGCCAGTGCCAAGGAAACCATAGTTGATGCCAGCACCCTCGTGTGCGAAGCCGACACCGTTGCCGTTGACCTCGGTGCTGTTGGACTTGGCGACCAAGTAGACGCTGTCTGCTGAAGCGACGGCGGAGGAAGCTGCCAGTGTAAGAAGTGTTCTGAAGTTCATGACGTGTTTTGCGGGGGGACGGGTATCGATTGTTTGTCGTTAGTCGGTTGCTCTTTCTCTTTCTTTTTCCATTTCTCTTTCTCTTAGAAGCTACTCGAGAACAACCAACGGGGGTACCGTCTCTCCTTTTATACCGCCTCCATAATGCCCCGCCGTGCTGCTGCCACCCACCGAACACACCCGAAACACCTCCGCATAGGTCTTTGTGTCCGACAAAAGCGGCCAAATGGGCTACATGACAGCTCGGAAACGGCCGAAGCTCCTGCACGAGAAGCCCCAAAACGGGTCTATTTCCAGGCACAAACAGCCACGGAGCTGCACCAGCTTCGCGCAAAACCAGCTTTTCCCAAAGAGGCGAGATGTCGGAGCAGCCATGCAGTGCTGCAACCCGGAACGCTGTTCAGGTATTGCTGACGACGGGAAGGCCAGCCCTGCACCAGCAGAGAAGAGTGCTGGGGAATAAGTTGGTCGTGCGGTGGCTGGAATGCGTCGGGGAAGCTGGGCCAGCACTGTGCGGTCCATTGTAAGACACAAGAGCTGGTGCCGTGTGCGTGTCCAATAGGCTAGCAGCATGCCCAGACGGTAAGACCAGCTGAGAAAATGCCTACAGGCAGACAGCGGCAAAACTTGTAGCATCCACAGCCTCTATTGGCACAACACGCCTCGGGGCGTTTCACGCCCGATCTCTCTCTGCTGGCTGTGTGCCGCACTTGGTTTTGTGGTGGCTGTATATTGCGCAGCATAGTGCATCCTTTTGCTTCTTACTTTTACTAGCACTGTCTGCACAGCCAACCGGAAAGCCTGGCTGCACAGGGCCAGATCTGCAGCTTGCTCGATTAGTCACCGGAGGCCTTCCTGCAGTCATTCAGGTCTTGAGAGCGAAAGGCTGGCGTTGACTATGTCTGCAGTCTCCCTTCCCGTAGCCTCTCCTTGCGCCGAGTTTATTAACCTCTTCCACATCTTGAAGTGGAAGTGTGCCAAGCCCGCCAAAAACAAAACGTCAACTATTATCCTGTCAAAGCAGGGATGACAAGAATATTGGAAGAATTAAAATAACAAAAATAACGGTTTTAACGACAACTGCAGGATTCGAACCTGCGCGGGCAAAGCCCAAAAGATTTCTAATCTTTCTCCTTAACCACTCGGACAAATTGCCGGAATTGAAACTTATTTTATACTCCCTACTTACAGCCTGTAATAGTGTAATTTATGCTACTTTTGAAATGGAAGGATATGAAACATTGGTATACCTTTGGCCATGCCTCCTTTTTCACTTCAGTTGTTTCAAAAGTTACTGGCAGCAAACTACAAACGATACGTACACTCGAAAAAAATGTCTCATGATTATTACGTAATGTAATGCTTTATAGTGATAAGGGTAGTTGCATTCATTACAGGTTTGTATGTTAAACATCAGAGTTTGGAGGATATCTTTCAAGCTGCATCACGGGAGGAGTATAGTCTGGGGCGCATTCTTAAAGTGTACTGGTATCACTTAAATCTTACAGCACTCTTATGTATTTGGCAATTTGTCCGAGTGGTTAAGGAGGAAGACTCGAAATCTTCTGGGCTTTGCCCGCGCAGGTTCGAATCCTGCAGTTGTCGATATTCATTTATTTTTTTATTTGGTTTTTTTGTTGGCACTTCTTAAAGTGCCCAGTGAACTGACAAGTTCCCAAGCTCACTTTTTCTTAGCAACATAGCATTGGAACCCAACTGTAGTTCATGTGCTCGTCAAGCTGGCCAGCATGAATTCTTCCCACTTGCATCTTGTGATTGGCACCAACAACCACTTTTTATCGAATCTTCGAAAAATCTCCCAATCAGTAGTATCTGTGCGCTTGGCGTTATTTTCGTCGACTACGGCTATATACCGATAGCTAGCTACCACAAGAAGATAAATGGCGGCGGTTTGAGCTTGGTATCTGTTTCTAAATCCAAGGCTTATAACCACCCATCACGAGAAATTATGTCCCTGAATATAGAGGCGAAAGTTGCCTGGAAACCTTTGAACAACTGTCTGGTTTCCTTGCCCTCCTCGTTTATATATCCGATAGTAAACTCAACAAATTTGCTTGTCCAACAGATACTCATACGCATCACCAACTCCAAAACAGAAAAATATATAATAACCACGGGCTGGAACGGTGTCACCTCTTCTGACGCTAAAACGATTGAGATAGATAGTCAATATGCAAAATTACTGAACATACACGAAGGGTTGATGGTAAACATCGAACTTGATTTGCAGTTCCTCAAGGGAAATAATAAGGAAACTTTGCTGGCCTCATCTGTTGAGATTGAACCGGAAACCACTTCTGATTGGGAGTTGACCGAGCTTCATGCCGAAGCAATCGAAGCTAATTTTTTATCTCAGGTGAGATGCGTTTCTAAAGATCAATTGCTATTGATTCGTTCTAACCCCACGGCATCAGGGTCTTCCGCCTCCGGAGCTATCAGTTTTCGAATCAAGAAAATTAAAACACTTGCAGATGATGTAAATCTTGCTCTGGTTGGTAATACTACCGAACTACATATAATTCCAAAACCGCATAACCATCATCCACAGAAAGCAAATCATGAACAAGTGTCAAATGGCTGTAGAAAGAAACACAGTGTCAGCAGCAAGAGGACACACCAGAAATCGGACAGTATTATCAGAAGGTCAATAATCAACCATGAGGGATGTGATATAACAGTCTATAACAGAGGTCCAAAATTGAGTCAGTTCAAAAATATCGAATATGTTCAAATATGTGTCATTGAAGGCCCTGGAACACCTACACGAGCAAGAAAAACAAGCTCCAAAGAAACTGGGTTAGGGATTCCAAAAGATATGTTTGGAAGAAAGATAGTGGCGAAATATGTTGATTGTTTCTCTGTCTTCGATGAGAATGATGATAATGAAGAACTCGCACTGAGAAAGTCTTCAGTGATGTTGTCCCCATTATTGGCCATCAGTTTAGGGCTGGAAAATACCTGCGGTGAAATTGTCTGTCTTGAGCCATGCAACAAAAAGTGTATTAAATTAGACCTCAAACAGTGTGAATTATACATTCATAAACTAACGACAACAGGGGACGAATCAAATTTTGTAGATCAAGGGGAAACACTGAAGTTAAAGCAGGAGGCAAAAAACGAAAAGATGAAGCAGCTAGAAATGAAAAAACAATTTTCTGATATCATGAAACAGATTCTAATGGGAATGTATGACCAAGGCACGCCTTTGACTAATGGGATGAAAGTGCCTATAGTTGAAAACGTCCTTCCAGAAGGTGGTATATTGGAAATTTCCAACAAAACCTCCAATTCTCTAACAGCTGATAAGAAGCAAAAAATCAGTAGCTGGGTTGTTTTATCCAATAATGAGGAGTCCCAAGATGGTAAAGCAAGTTTGCTAGAGCTACTTAATCTAGAACTAGGAAAATATCAGTTAGTTCCTCGAAGCAGAATTCAGAAACCGTTCAATTCAGCAAGGAAGTTGGAGATATATGGACAAGACAAGAAAATGTATCTAATAAAGCAGTCACTATACAGCGGAGTGCCAACATTTTTATACGGCAAGTCCGGTAGTGGAAAAACCTTGATCTGCAAGATTATTCAGGAAGAATTTGCTCAAAAAGGTTACTACGTCAAGTATATCAACTTCGAGCAAATTGGAAACGGTCCACACAACGGAAAGGAAACAGATAATGAAGGAGATGGAACAGGAGGAGCAGAAGCAGAAGATACTAGCACTGACAATGATGATTCATTGGCTGACGGTTCGAAAAATGACAATAATAAAAACAAGTTAGTGTCCAACCTATTCTCTAAAATTTTCGAAGAATGTTTTTGGCATTCTCCTTCTTTGATTATTTTGGATAATCTTGATAAAGTTTTACCAAAAGATGTTGAGCACGGTGATAATTCTATTAGTCTGCAATTATCAGAAATACTCATTAGTAAGGCGGAGAAATATTGCGAACGAAACAACATCACGTTCTTGGTAACTTCGGTTTCCAGAAATTCAATAAACAAGATTATTTTTCAGAAACATTTGGTAGATGAAGAAATTGGTTTAGGAGCACCAAATAAAACACAACTCTCAGAGATTTTGGAGAAGATGACTTCCAAAAGATTTCCAGAGTATATGGATGGTACGATGCTCAACTACGTAAGCGATATCGCCAGTGAACTAGAGGGATACTTGCCATTAGATTTAGAAAATATATTAGATCGGGCCTTTCACCATCTGATTACTGAGCAGAAAGATAAATTTGATTATCAGGACTTCATTTCTGCTATTGATGGCTACACGCCCACTTCTTTGAGAGGCGTAAAACTTCAAAAAGCAACTACAAGCTGGTCCAATATTGGAGGATTGCTTGAAGTAAAGAAGATTCTATTAGAGACATTGGAATGGCCCACCAAATATGCACCTATTTTTGAAAAGTGCACATTAAGGTTGAGATCTGGTATTTTGTTGTACGGATATCCTGGTTGTGGTAAAACCATGTTAGCCTCAGCAATCTCCTCCCAATGTGGTTTGAACTTTATATCAGTGAAAGGACCTGAAATTTTGAACAAATATATCGGTGCCAGTGAGCAGTCTGTCCGAGAACTATTTGAGAGAGCTCAAAGTGCCAAGCCATGTATTTTGTTTTTCGATGAGTTTGACTCGATTGCTCCTAAGAGAGGGCATGATTCGACTGGTGTGACAGATAGGATTGTGAACCAATTGTTGACGCAAATGGATGGTGCAGAAGGCTTAGAAGGCGTCTATGTTCTTGCTGCGACGAGTAGACCAGATTTAATTGATTCAGCATTATTGAGACCAGGTAGATTGGACAAGAGTGTAATTTGTGATCTCCCAGATTATGAAAACAGGTTGGATATTTTAAAAACAATCGTGAAAAGCAATGGCTTCAATCTAAAGGACGAACAAAGCTTGACTGGAATTGCCAATGCTACGAATGGTTACACAGGTGCGGATCTTCAAGCCGTTGTTTACAATGCTTATTTGAAAGGTGTTCACGAGAGGTTAGAGTCTGATGCAAGTGGCAATGCGGAAAGTGAACAAGCCAATGGGAAGGACAATGCCAAAGACCTGGAGTACAAGGTTATCTTTGGTGAAAAAATTGAGAATAACATGATTAGAAATTTTGATTTAACAAGGAAGAAGATTGAAACACTAATGGAAAGCCACGAGAATTTGGTTTTGCCTTTTGGGAAAACACGATCACAGCCGGTTGAAGAAAATGACAGTGAGAAGATGGGAGCAAAAATATACATCTCACTCAATCATCTCCAAGAGTCACTGCAGGAAACGAAAAAATCCATTTCTGTGAAGGAACTCGAGAAGCTTGAAAACATATACGCACAGTTCGAAAGTAGTAAGAGACCAAGCGAGATGAAGGATGGAGAGGGGAGCACCAATGTCGGTGTACGTACCACCTTGATGTAAAGGGCTCGATTATAAGTAGGAAACATAACTCATTATTATATTATTTAACAAAGTACCATAAAAGGAAAAGAAGCTATAAGTAAAATACACAAAATTTAGACAGGGCTTTCTGCCACTGAACGGTGAGACAAACCGGCGGTGCTGTGTTGCTCAAATGCTTCCATGGCTTCAACATCATCTGTTAATCCGAGTCGGGCACCTTCTTCTTCAATTTCCTTAGTAGACAATTTAGGAAGTTCTTGTGCAACCACAAATGGAGCCTTCTTCTCCACATAAGCCTTGGCAAAAATGATATCAATTTCTTCTAAAGATCTACCGGCTGTTTCTGGGTAGAAGAAGTAAATGACTGGAACATATAGGAAGTTGATGCAGGCGAAGAACAAGTAACAACCCCATTTGGATCTGTTGATGAAAATAGGAGTAAACATAACGACAGCGAAGTTGGACAACCAGTTGGTACATGTGGAGACAGATGTAGCAATTGTTCTTGTTCTCATGGAGTTGATTTCTGGTGGGTAGACCCATGGTAATGGTAAGATGGTAAATGCAAAAAAGACAATGAATAAAAATAGACCGAAAGCTGCACCCTTGGCAGTGTCCTTGGTATCATGAATTAAACAACCGAAAGCAATGATGAAGGCAATACCTTGGCCAATGGCACCAGTTAAGAAAAGAGCTCTTCTACCAACCTTTTCAATCAAGAAAAAGGAAGGAATGGTGGAGATGGCATAGACTGTAGCGAAAACACCACCCAAAACCAAGGATAATCTTCTATCAAGGCCGACAGTGGTTTCAAATAAAACAGTGGAATAGTAGATGGCAGCATTACAACCGGTGAATTGCTGGAAGAATTGACCTGAAGAACCAATGATCATTCTGCTCAAGTATTGGTGCTTGGAAGGCTTGAAAAGTTCTCTGATTGAAATTTGCTTTGCGAATCTGTTGTTTGCGTCTCTGACTAGAATGACCTCTTCGGAAACTTCTGCATCATTGATTGAGCAGTCCTTAAGTTGGGAGATAACGTAACGGGCTTCGTCCACACGGCCTTTGGTGATCAGATATCTAGGGGATTCTGGCAAACCAATCATGAAAATGGTGACAAAGGCAGCAAAGACAATTTGCAAGGAAATTGGTAATCTCCAGGAGACAGAGCCAGGAGCGTAAGACAAACCGAAATCGATCCAGTAGGCAACTAGAGTACCAACGGCCACAAAGGAGCCTTCAAGGTTGACCAACTTACCTCTGTTTCTAGGGTCAGACAATTCGGATTGGTAGATTGGAATGGTGGCAGTGTTGAAACCGTTACCAAAACCGGTGACAACTCTGGCAATGACGAAATGACCAAGGGCCCAATGACCTCTGAATGGGAAAATGGAGATGAATGTACCAATGATGATGATAAAACTACCCAGGATGATCAAGAGCTTTCTTCCAAACTTACCCCCCATGTACATGGCGAGCAAAGCACCGAAGAAGCATCCGATTTCGTAACAGGAGGTGACGGCACCTTGAACGACGGTGGCATGGTGGGACTCACCTCCGACAGGAGGAAACGTCTCCACAAACTGAGGAGCAGTGATAATACCGGACATCAAACCCTGATCGTAACCGAACAAGGAGAAACCAATGACACAGCAACAGGTGACCATTACTTGAAGCTTTTTTCCCTTCAAGCCCATTGTTGCCGTTGGAGACGTGAGGGAATACCTGGTGGTAGGGAACGTGTCCGCATTCAACACAGGCAGACCACCATCTGCAAGAATCTTGTGTTCGTTGATTTCGTTGTTGCTTGCTGTGTCTAGCTTGTTGTCGTCGTAGACATCCTCGACGGAGTTAGATTCGTTCGAAGACATGTTTAGTGTGTGTGTGTATGTATCAATGCGTGCGCGTGTGCGGATATCTAAGATAGTTTGCTTTCTTTTTTTTCTAATGAAAACTAGTGTTCTAGGATTTTCTAAGGGAATGTAGTGATAGTGTGTGTAACAGAAGAACTGACTGACTGGCTGTGTGTGTCGTTTTCCGATGCGAAGTGAAGTGTGTGTGTGGAGATTATCTGTTTGATCCTGCTTAATAGAGAGTGATAAGCAAGGGAAGAAAAAAGGTAAAGTACCCCGGAGTCACAAGCAGAAAGCGGGGGAGAGGGCAAAGAGGAAAAGAGGATGTTTAAATATCCATTTTGGCTGCCAACCTAGATGTCGCCGCCGCCCAGGATAAACCCATCGCCGGAACAGAACATGCAGGACAATGGCCGGCCGTGCGTCGAGGGGCAAATTACACAACACGCCCGAGACGCACAAGACGCAAAGATTTTCCTTCCATGACGCCAGAGCTGGCCCGGCTCGCTGCTTCCGTGCAGTGTTACCCCGGGTTTCCGCACCACGTAACCACCACGTAATGACTGCATCACCTAATAGTGCCTGCACCGCCCTGACGCAGGCGAGCTCCGCGGCCGGAAAAAACATACGAAATGCACCCTACAACGTCAGAAAGTGGGCCTGGAGACATAATCAAGCGCGCGCCGCAGGGCGTTACGTCATTGCCTTGCGCGGCGCTTACGTAAGGGGTGCCACTTCGATCGAAAGGAGCGGGGATCGCGGATCTCTGTTCTTTTTTTTCCGATCTGGCCCCACTCCCCTCTCGGGCCCCCCCGCTAGCTCGCCCCTTACTGCTAGGCTCCTTCTGGGGCTCACCTCCGCACCCGTCTCCACCCCACTTCTCTTCCCGCCACCGTGTCTGTTCCGTGTGGGTCGGACAAACACAGAGGGGTTGTGGCCACAATTGTGACATCTGCAGCTGCAGCTGCTGCCGCAACACCCGCTGCTGCACGCCGGGCGTCAGCCGGAATGCTTACGTATACGTGCGTGTGCTTACGTGTGAAGAAGAGCCGCGTGATGTCGTAACAGCAACGTTACCGGCACGCCGGGCTGTGCATGTGGGCTGTGCTGCGGGGTTTTATTACGTGATAACTCTTGCCCCGGGGCAGCAGAGCCGCCACGCGGCGTGTTAGCGCGGCTTCCGCGGCCGGGCGGGGACGAGACGTGCAGTAGCACAGGCAGGTAGCGGAAGCGAGCTAAAAAAAACAGAGCTAAGCTAAAACATTGGAGAAAATAGTACAACAATACAGAGAGGAGAGTAAGGTGAAACAAAGTGGAGGAAAAAGAGGAAAAAGAGGAAAAGAGGAAAAGAGGAAAAGAGGAAAAGAGGAAAAGAGGAAAAGAGGAAAAGAGGAAAAGAGGAAAAGAGGAAAAGAGGAAAAGAGGAAAAGAGGAAAAGAGGAAAAGAGAGAGGACATTAGGTAAAAGAAGAGTCGTAATCGTAGAGCAAGAGGACCCGGACGAGCCTGGCTATCGGTGTTTGTGTCTGCGTTTGAGCAGCTACTCTATGTGGGCCAGCTCCGGCTTGGGGTCTTCAAAATCGCCGTCGACGTCGTTGCCAACGGTCACATGGCCGATGGCCTCACGCTGCTCAGCAGTGTAGTTGTGTGGCTTCCATCTGGCGGAGGTGAAAGGCGTGGTTTCCTCCAACATCCGGTCCACCTCCTCCAAGGTCAAGCCCTTTGTCTCTGGGATCAAGAAAATCGAGTAGACCAAACACAACCCGCACAATGAGCCCCAGATGAAAAACACCTTAGCGCCAAGGTTGCCCTTGTCCTCGCCCACCATGTATGGCGTTATGACAGCAATGACACAGTTCCACAACCAGTTCGACGCAGTCGATAATGCCACCCCTCTGGATCTGATCTGGATCGGGAAAATCTCTCCGATGATGACCCATGCACCAGGCCCCCACGTCGAGGCAAAGAAGTGGATGTAGATGCAGATGAAGGAGATCATCGCCTTCACCGTCTGCGGGTTGTGGCCGTCGACTGTGCCTGCAATGGCGACAATGAACTCGCACACAAACATTCCGGCGGCTCCGTAGATGAACAAGGTACGGCGGCCGAGCTTTTCAACGGTGTAAAAGGAGAGAGGCGTCGAGCAGACGTTGACAACGGTGGTGATGATGGAAATCAAAAACTCGTTGTGGATAGTGCCGAGCTCCTGGAAGAAGGTGGTACCGAAATAGAAGATGAAGTTGATACCGGTCCATTGCTGCATCATCTGTAACGAGGTACCCAAAATGGTCTTTCTCAAGTTCGAGGCTGGGTTTCTTATGCCGCCCGTGAAGCATGCAAACCACGATTGCATGTAGGTTTGAGTAGGAATTAACGACTGCTCCAACCGGTAGTTTTCGATGATCTCGTCGAGCTCCTGGCTGACAAACCTCGAGTCCTCCGGTTGGCTTCTCAAAAAGGCTAAAGAGGCTCTTGCTTTCTCGATGTTGTCCTTCTTCACGTAGAATCTCGGAGTTTCAGGTAGAAAAAGCAACCCGACCGCAAGGATGATGGCCCATAGCATCTGGAGTGCAATCGGAATTCTGTACGAGCCAGAGTCGTTTCTGTTCTTAGTACCATAGTCAACACAAGACGCTAGAAGCAACCCGATTGTTATGCAGAACTGGTATCCAGACACAATGGCACCTCTAATTTTCTTTGGAGAGATCTCAGACATGTAGAGGACAATGGTAGCAGAAACAAACCCAACTCCCAAGCCTGCAATAACTCTTCCAACGGATAGAAGCGCCACGGACGCGGAGGCAGTCTGCAAAATAACACCGATGATGAAAATGATACAGCCCAAGATGACAGTGTACTTTCTACCAATGAAATCGGCAGAGTCACCAGCCATGAGGGCACCGAAAAACGTACCAGCACTCAAGATTGACGTGATCAACGACTTTTGCCACGCATCAAGCACGAAAGCGTCAGTCCCGTCGTTAACCTTCCCAGTGAATTCATGGATGAAATAATTCATTCCCATCACACCGGAGATATAACCAGAATCGTACCCAAAATAGATACCACCAAAGGACGCAAACCCGCACATCACATAGGTCTTCCATGTGATAGGAGCCTCTTCTCTTTCATGGAATTCGCTCTGTTTTTCGACATCAGTGGAAGAAGAGACCGTTGTGACGGTGTTGTACTGCGTGGACAAGTCTTCCGTCTGACCGTCACTTTTAGTTTCGCTTGCAAAATTCATGCTTTTGCTTCTGTTTGATTATGTTTGTTGAAGCTATTGTTATATAACAATAGAGTCAAAATCATATTCTGAAACACTGGTTGTTTCCTCCAACAGCAGAAAAAGGATATTTGGTGCTGGCTTTATAGGCCTGGATTCGGGTAAACCTACTGCAAGTTCCAATAATTGTCAAATTTCAAGAGGCAGCCAACAAAATTCGGCGTCCCAATACATCTACTTACCCCACATGCTTTTGCCCAAAAAAATTAACACATCCCCGTGTCTCTGCAGTATCCCCACAGCAACAATACGTTTGCCGGAATTTCTTCTCTACAATTGGTCCCAGCATAGCAACGCAACATAGCAAATATCTTCCATACACGGAAAAAAGGCAAAATTAAAAAGGTGGGGAAAGGAGGGAGCAGAACGAGGAGGAGCCATAGAAAACAATGACTGTGCATGCACCAGAGTCTAATTTGAAATAAAATGCAAACTTGTGGGGAAAAAGGGTGAATTAATCTGAGTGCAAACATCCCGCAGAGGATATCGGAAAAAAAGCGTGTTCAGAACCGGGGATTGACCCACAGCCCTCTCCGGTGAAGCAAGCAAGCCTCCTTGCCGCCAGCATCGTGACTGGCCAAGTGGGTGATCGTGATGATCTCCACACGCATGGTAAAAATGCGGGGTGACACTCAGCTGCAGCTGCAAAAATAACGGAACCCCGAAGACCTCGTTGAGGAGAAACCCTGGAAAACTTTAAAAACATTAATCCATTAGTTAAACCGCCAGGCGTTATCCCGCGAGTATGACGTCTTTTGCTGCTCCACTCCGCCCTGTGCCCGTCCCTGTCCCCGTCATTGCGTGCGGCTTTGCGTGACCCCCGGGAAAATTAGCCAATTTACCAGCAACCTCGGAACAAAAAAAGGAGAATGCGAAAATCGAGAAATTGTAAATAGAATGGACAGAATCTGAATAATGGTGCACGGATGCCATAATTTGTGCCGACGCGTCGATGAGCACTTTATTTTTCTCAGTTTCTTCGGTTCCTCGAGCCCGCGGTGTATCTTGCCAAAATAGGCAACCCAAATGTGCCGCAATTGCAGACGATGGCCTCGACACAACAGGAAACTAGATCCGCCGCTCAAATTTAAGCTTATCTGGCCAACCAGATAAACGATTTTCGGGCACATCCTTCCACGCCTAAACAGGACTGAATTTTCCGGCTTGCTGTATAAATTATGCGCCAAAGTCTCTTCTTCTTGGATTGGAAGGTTCCAGTCCACAAGTGTCTGCCTACTTCTCAAGAGCTTTCTGAAGGGCAAAATTTTACAGAAAGTAACTAGCCGTCATGTCCAAAGTCAACTATCCGGAAGAATTCGCAGGGTTTGCCATTGTCGACACCAAAGAGTGGAACAAACCAAAGTACACCACTTACAAGCCTAAGGAGTTTGGTGACTACGACATTGACATTGAAATTGAATGTTGTGGCCTTTGTGGTTCTGATATCATGACCGCCAAAGGTGGCGATCATGGATGGGGTTCAATCACTTTACCACAAGTCGTTGGTCACGAAATCATTGGTAAGGTCATTAAAGCAGGCCCTAAAGTCAGTCTTCACAAACTCGGAGACAGAGTCGGTTTAGGAGCACAAGCTTTCGCTTGTCTTGACTGTAACAGGTGTAAACACGGAAACGAACAGTACTGTCCCCACACCGTCACCACCTACGATGGTGTGTATCCTGACGGGTATGTTTCTCAGGGTGGTTACGCATCCCACGTGCGTGCACATGAGTACATGTGTTTCCCTATTCCTGAAAAGTTAGACTCGATTCACGCAGCCTCCCTATGTTGCGCAGGTTTGACCGTGTTCTCTCCACTCAAGAGATACATTCCAAAGAACCTTCCAGAGGGTCAAGTTCCAAAAGTGGCCATTGTCGGACTTGGAGGTTTGGGCCACTTAGCTGTCCAATTCTGTAAGGCATTAGGTGCAGAGCCTTACGTTTTCTCAAGAACAGATAACAAAAAGGAACAATCTTTCGAATTAGGTGCAACTGGTTTTGTCACAACTGGTACTGAAGGGTGGGAAAAGCCGTTTTTTGACCAGTTTGATTTGATTTTGAACTGTGCCATCGGTCTTTCAGGTCTGAATATAGACGCCTTCTTGTCCATCTTGAAAGTGGAAGGTAGATTTTGCTCCGTTGGTTTACCTGCCGTGGATGAAAAATATAACGTATCTCCTTTTACTTTTTTTGGCAATGGCTCGTGCTTGTGCTCCTCTGCCCTAGGTTCTAGGGAGGAAGCCGTTGAATTATTCCAGATGGCTGCAGAAAACAATATCGTTCCTTGGGTCGAAACTGTCCCAATTTCAGAAGAAAACTGTCAGACCGCATTGACCAGAGCATGGGATGGAGATGTCAGATATAGATTTGTCTTTACTGAGTTTGATAAAGCGTTCGGAACCAACGGTGGAAAATAATTTTCTACCCACGAAAGCTTTTGCCCTTTCTTTGGCATCCTATTTATAAAACCAAAAAGTATTTGCATATTATTCTATATTATTCAGCGTCACTTCCAAGGAACTTTGGTATCACTATGTCCGGTTTGTCCAGTAGTTCCGGCAGATTCGGAAGGTCCAGCAGGCCTAGTCGTGCCAGTAAAGTCAACAGCTACATTTCCACCACTTTTTGTTTCCCAGGGTACCCTAGTTTGATGAACGGTATTGGGATTGTGTTGTTGACGTTGCGCATCCGTACCTGCATCCCTGGAAGTAGTTATTCCCCTAATCACTTTTCCGTTCGACGTTACCTTGCGCCTTTCTTGCAACAGTTTAGACAATTCATCTTCACGATCGGGGTAGAATGTTCCCATTGTACTAGTGACTGACTCAATGTATCTATTACCATTATCAACATTTTTGTGTGTTTCTGCGTTTGGTGTTTCTGATAACAATTCTGATTGGTTTTCGCTAGAACGTAATTCATGCCCATTGGTATCGACCCATGGAAAAAAAACACCTCCAAAATAAAAGTGTTGGACAACAGGGAACTTGGACAAAACCTCCCCGTAATACATCCTTAACATTCCACGAGCAATTTTTTCCCAGTTTTTGCTTGCGGATATTTCATACAATATTGGCGAATGCTCACTGAATGGTCCAACTTTTACCATTCGAATGAAAGATATGGCATTGTAGTACAAGTTTTTATCTCGTTCTCTTCTTAAGGTGTCAGGGTTCAATATGGACGAGGGTGTCAACCCCATTCTGTAGTTCATCACATTTATGGAGGCATTTGACGTCTGAAATTCTGTGTTTGCTCCGAGAGTTTTGAAATCCACAAATTGGCATGCACCAAAAACATATATCAAATGGAAATGATCATCTAATCCCCATACTCCGTGTGATCCAGCTGGCTCTAAGGTATACGATAAGATTAGAGACTTCACTAAATCATAGTAACCAGCGAGTATTAGTAACCATTCGCTTCCTTTCATTTCCTCCCGGTTGATAAGATCAATCATTACTAGGCATCCTAAAAAGGAAACAAAAGATAATTCGTGGCCAGTTCCATAGTCAAGTCTCTCACGAGACCCAAACGAACCCAGCAAATAATACCTTATCTCATTCTTCAAACCTAGATAGTTTTCTGATTTTTCGGCCTCATGCAATAGATCAAAAAATGCATCATCCAAGATTGAATCAATGTTAGATGTCAGTTTATCGTGCCAATCACGGCATGCAAAGTTGCCATATCTTCTTGGACCAGGAAATGGCGGTGTCTGATCTTTCAAATCTTTAAATTTTTGTAGAATGCCCAATATAGCTTTTGCAACGGTCGAGTAGCTTCTTGATTCTGCTTCATCTGCAAATTTAGGTGGTGTCTCAACGCTAGTAGTATCACGGTGCTTTTGCATAACCTTTTCAGAAGTCGTGACACTATGGTGAAACCCTTTTGAGTTGAAATTTACTAGCTCATCGTTTAATGCTCCTAAAGGAACATTTACTAATGATATTTTGGTGCATATTAGGGAAACAATTCCGTTTATATTTGCTATTGCCTTAGAGCTTTGGAAGGAGGGAATATCACTGCTTGAAAATATCCGTTTTTGGGGTAACTTCCACTTGGTAATCAAAGATTTATCTTTGATAGAATAAGAGGGCAATTGTCTACTTTCTTGCATGTTTGTACTGACATTTCCTTCCTTCATATATAAACAGTGTAAAACGTTAACCAGTGATGTCAAAAGAACCCTTAGTCAGGCAGTTATATCAACAGATCTAACAGAAAAGCTGTAGCATTGATTACGTAATGTTTAAATTTTATGATGAAGAAAACGAGTCTATTTTCATCGAAGCAAGAGAAAAACAGAGGTATATCGATGTGAAGCAAAACAACTTCTAATAAGAGAGTCCTCTCCATCAAGAATATATTGTTCAAGATAAACACATCATAGGCGAAAATGTCACATTGTTGGTCTACAGTGTCATTTGCTTTGCTGCACGATGCTATAGCAAAGAATGATGTGGAAACAAAACAGAGTCTGGTCCAAGACCTACACCACGACTTGATTTCTTTGCTGGTAGTTGAAGGAAAATCTGAAGAAAGCAGGAAGAAACTAGAATCAGGACAATTGAATCTTAGTGATGGATTGGATTACAAGGTAAATCAAGCATTCATCGAAAGTTCTCTTCAGTTATCCGATATACTAAATATTGATGAATTAATTGCAGCAGAGGTTCTCTTTCATGCGTCATCTAATGAGCGAAACTCACTAGGAACGTCTTATTTGGACTCTGCCATTGCAGCGTATTATAACAGAAGAGATTACATATTACAGATTGTAAGTTACTATCTTTGCTCAACTTCACTTGGTGAAACTGAAGATATCGCTGGGAAAGAGAAAAACTCGCTTTCAATGTTTTCTAATGATAGGAAGTTCTTGATTGACGAAATATCGAAACACAAAGATTACTCAGTCGATATACTTTTGGAATCTTTTCGAGGAATCGAGAAAGAGCTAATTTCCATCAAAGAATCTGTAGAAAGGAGCAAGTTGCTAGGGACTTTTCACGAATGTTCGCCTGAAATGAAAACCACCAATTACAGAAGAAATATGCTCTTCAAACAATACCAACTGTTGGGAGAAATACAATTTGGTTACGTTTCCTATTTCTCGAAAAGCGAGACATTTTCAGTTGCAAATTTCCTACGCTTATTAGACCATGTGTCATCCTTTCAGCCAGAAGACATTTTCTCAATTTGTTACATCCCTAGCTTATTTATTTATGTGTCTAGGCTTGAGGCTTTGTCTGATCAATCTGTAGAGAATTTGCACAAAAATTTCATCAGCACCATAAATGGAATTGAAAAACTATCTGAAAGTCCGTTCAAAGCTTTGATAATCCTTGTTTTTCTGACTCATTTTATTGATTGGTGTAAACAACAACCACAGAGAACTTTGAAATTTGAATTCAATACGTCGGTAGATGAACCAATGCAGAAATGTATTTCTGTAGGTGCACTAGAGCAACTCTTATCAATCACAGCAGACACCTCAATCATAACTAAATCTACAAAGCATAACATCAAACCGTTTTATGATTTTAGGGCTTTCTTGCAACAACACATTCCAAGGTTCCTCCCAATTAGAATGTTTGATATAGATCAAGATGCCACTCTGAGAAAGAAACAGTTATTACAGCAGCAAAAAGTTTCAGGTATCGATACTTCTGACTCCGATCTTTTACCTGTTTACTCAATCCCTGATGACATTAGTTTGACTGAGAATTTCATCAATTTTTTGGTACCTGTGTTATCAAATTTTATTCACTCATTTATTTCTACGGCCGCATTTATGATGACCCAACTGAGAGATACAGAGGAAGATGTTCTACTTTCGTCGGATGACTTCAACTTGGAACTTTTGACCGAAAATGCCGATCTTGAACGCTTGTACATGTCAATGTACTATCTCTATTCGGAAAGAGAACAATACAGTAAAGAATTTTGGGCCGATACAAACTCTGCTTCGTATGGGTTTTTACAATGGGCATCACGCTGCAACTCTCCATTGATTATGTCAACATTTTCAATGGTCTTAGCTGCCTTAGCATCTGGAAATGAAAATGCAATAAATTTGTTCAGCTTTTTACAAATGACTAACTCGAATTATAGTAATATAATGACAAACCCAAGAGAAAATTCAACTTTACTTACCAAATATTCATCAATCAGCTGGTCAACAATATATTCTACGTTGTCATACTATAATGAATCGCTATCAAAAACTTCCGATCTTACAATCCAGAATAACTTGGGTGAATCTATGATAATGGATCTAAAATCGAAACTTCCAGTGGTTACAGAGCTAGGGGAAGATTCGATAATATATATTTCGGGCTTTTTCCAAGTCTTATCACAAGTTTCAATCAATAGTACAAAAGCTCGAATTGAATTACTTGAAAGTGACAATTTTCAATTATTTACAATTCTCTCAAATTTGCTGAACTTAAATACAGTTTTGAATGGTCCGATTTTAACCTTACTGAGCTCTTTAGTCGGGGACACATACACCGAAAGGTTTAAATTTTGGCAAGTTTTAGATAACTGGCTGTTTACGAGCGGGAGAAGCAACTCATTTATCAGTTTACCAAAAGAAAGGATGTCAAAAAAATTGAACAATTATCAGATGATTTCTGGTTTCATTGATTTGATCGCAAAGCTTTTTCGGCCTTTAGATACTTCAGGAAATATGTTTGTACCATATTCCCATCCATTTCCACTAGACCTTGGTTCAGTCGTAAGAAAACCTGGCATTTGGTGCTATATTGATTACTTATGTACTGAGATTTTACCCGAGGTCGATTCTTCCCCCATAACCGAAGATGAGAAGGCATCGCTAAAATTTTCAGTTTTAAGTGTAATGGAAGTATGCCTTTCACAGCTTGACCCAGATCTGGTGCTAAATGCTACGGCTTGTCACGTAAAAGATATGGACTACATTACGGAAAATAAGAGCATAATTCGCTTTTTTCAGTCCCATCCTGGTTCTGCAGTACTGAATTATTTATACAACAACAAAGTTTACAACTCTTTGTTTGAAATCTGCAACTTGGGTATTGATCAGCTAGATGAGTTGTCAGGAAGCTCAGTTTGGGTGAAACTTCTACAAAAAGCTGTTAAGATTATTAACATGACTCTTTCTAGGGAAAAATTTTTTGCTGATGAACTTATTCATATTTTGCGTTTACCAGATAATAAGTTTGTTGATCCAACGGCAATAGGAATGTCAGGATTGAAGTCTTTTTACGAATCTTTTCTTCTGGATCTCCCACTGATTGCGAATTTGTCATTATACGTTGGGTCTGCCAAACTCGAAATTGCAAAGACTTCCTTAGAAATAATTCATACTGTAATTAGCTCAAAAATTTTCAGTGGATCAGAAAATGGAATTCACTCCAAGTTGGTCAAAAAAAATCGTTTACTTTCTTTGTTCGAAACCATTGACGAGTCAGTTAGAATTAGATCTGCATTTATTGACCAGTTTGAATCACCATTGTCGTCACCAGTATCTATTGAAGTGAAAATTTCACTTCTTCGGTTTATCAACAGCAATCTCTCTGTCAACATAAACGTGGCGACTGTAAGTCACTTTCTTCTTGGATTTGATACGAAGAAAATGTCTATTGGCAGCTCTGACCAGGAGACAACGATTGCCTCTAGTAGGTCACTTTTGAGATCTATCGTCAACATTACGAAAGAAATCATCTCTGTATTTTCAAAATCTGCAAATTTGGATTTAGCTCCTATTAGGCTATGTGCCTTGTGTCTGGAAATTTTACTGAAGCTAAGTAAATCCGACATAACAGGGAAGGATGTACTGAGTTATCTTCGTACTAACGGTGAATCGGCATCACCTACTGAGACAAGTACCAATTTCATTTTGTTTCTGCTGGAAAATAGTCATGCTATCAACAAGAATATTTTGTTTTCAAACCAGTTTTTTGATGGGCAGATAAAGACGCAAAATGAGTTTTGCTCAGGTGAAGGAATTTGTGTTTTGAATGCTTTTATTTCTTTTAGAAGTTCTCTCATTCAGCTAACTGCAATCGAGGTTCATGTTTCGGTATTGTATGGATCTTTATCATTGAACACAAAGTATCTGGAAGTTTTAACACACTCTTCCGGATTTGCATCTGGCTCTTCCAAACTCATGGGCTTATTGGACATTCTGGATTTCAAGATAGAAAACATGATTGAAAAAATGAACAAACTGTTTACCGGCTTTGATTATGAGTACGCTCTGCGCAAAATTAAACTCTTGGAGAATCTTAACGGTGACAACTCCGAATTTCCATATGATTTCACCGTTATTGACAAAATGATTTCAGTGCATGCAAAGGATTTGAGGGTTATGTCTCCTGTACAAAGAAAGGAATACTCAGAGCTATTTCATAGAGAGGCCAAAAACCTAAAGAAGTTGCTAACATGTTCTTTGTCCTATGATAACTATAAATCACTTGTTTTCAAATATCTAAGTTCATGGACTCTACTAGTTCAAGTTATTGTAACCGAAACCGATATGAAATGGAACAAAAGATCGAGTTTTATTCTTGAAGTTTTCCAGAATATTATCCCAAAAATTGATGAATATTTAGAGGTTGACCCAACATTTGCCGAAAATTGGGTTTCCTTGTGTGTTCACTTGATGCACACATATAGTAATGATAGGAGAAAACTGCTGACTTCAAGGTCTGAGTTACAAACCAAAGCCACACTTGATTTCGAACGTCTTTTTCCAATTCTGAAAGTGGCTTTGCATGGAATTTTCTTGCCTACATCCAGCCCTTCTATGAGGTCGGATCTCTATATTCTTGCTGAAAGCTTTCTACAACAAACGATGCATAGCCAAGAAGTCATTGCGAAACTCACAGCCTTTCTTAAATCCTTGGACGTTAACGTTTTTAATATCATTTGTCACGACTCACTTGCTGGCGAAAGCGCTAATAGGATAACAGCATTGATATTGTTGGAAAGTTTTGTCAAGGCTATTCTTCAGCTACAATCACCCCAAGTAAGAGAGTGTTTGATTTTTGAAACGTTTTGCAGGGACAATTATCTTCTTCTTTTGGGTCAAAAACTCAAATTGACGGACGAGTGTTTTACACGTGCGATGGAAACAATTGTACTTAATACAAAAAGTCATGGTATTACGATCCAGGAGTTACTTTATGAATTGACAAGTTTCAAAGCAACAGTTAGTTTTTTAACAAGAATTGCTCAGACAAGGTTAGGTGCCCAGCAATTGCTAAGAAATGACATTTTTGGAACTATCAAAGAATGCAAATTTTTGGAGCTAGATGCAGACTTAGGGTTCGAATTAAATTTGGTAGAGTCGATAAGCGAATCCAGCCGTGAATCAGTCACAACAGTCACAATATCCCTAGATCAACCATTGAGCTCTAACGTCTCTTTGGGTAAAAATAATTATAATGACACAGAGGGTAATGTTTCTCGAGATAAAATATCATACTATGAAATTTTCATACCGATAATTCAACTTGTTACGGCTATTGTAATCTCTTTAGGGCCTCAAAATGACAGTTGCTTGATGCAAGCTGCTTCCCTGCAAAAACATTTTGCTAGGCTAACTTCGGCTGTTTTGAAGAGAGAGCTCCTTTATGAAAGGAACAAACATAAATTGAAGGAAAGTACTGATTTTGCGGAGATAGAGGAAGGCGCTTTTTCTATATATAATGTCAAAGGATTGCAAGAGCTTACAAAGCTCTTCACCTTATTTGACTCCCTTATAAACTAGTTACTTGACCACCAAAATGTTTTGGTGAATAGCTATGGGTATAGCATAAATTATATCTAGATAAACTTTCCGTCATTGTGTAAATTTGAGTAAGTACTCGGAGTACAAACTAAAAACGAAAAAATGCATGTATCACGTGATTTCAATACTGCAGGCATTAGTATGTAATATTATCTTTGTTGTTTATATATTCCGTTTTGACATCAACCTTTTCCTAACAGTTCCGAGGCATTCCAAGGCCAAATGATTCACCAGGATACAACAGTATCACTCTTAATTTGTGATTAATATTTGACACCTGTTTCTCAGACAGGAGGCTTATAATCAATTTCGGAAATACGATTAGATGAACGCACACTGAAGCCTTCATAAGAATCTGGTAACTTCTTATCATAAAAATGCCTACTCAGTTCACGACACCCTATTTTAAACATGTGGACTTGTCTTCCAGTGGAAGGCCTATTTTGAATGATCATGAACATGATATCATCATGAGAAACGGGATTGGTTTGTATCAGGAGGATTACAAGCTGAAAAATTACCAATGCGGAAGACTGTATTTGACAAATCAAAGGATTATTTTCGTCAACGATAATCACAGAGACAGGCATGTCTCTCTTGATTTGGGTGAAATTGACGGCACTGAAATTTACAACGGGTTTTTGAAGTCCAGCCCCAAAATAATATTAAAACTAAAAGATCAAGATGAAAATGAAATGAAGAAATCACAACGAAAAAACGAGTTGACCATGGCATGGGTTTGTCCTATTTGTTCTTATTCTAACGAATCGTCAATAAATACTTCTGAAATTGAAAATATGAAGTTTTCTGATAAAAATCGACCAGCTTGCAATACATGCGGTGTAAAATGTACTTATGACGTAATAAATAAGTATTACTCTTCTAACATTAACACAACCCATAATGGTTCAATTGACTTGGTTTCTTTTGATGGCTCACAATGTCCAAATTGTACATTTATCAATCATCCGTTTATGAAAAAATGTGAAATATGTGGCTCTCAGCTGGTTGGCTCGCCAAGTGCTTCAAGTTCTGAGCTACCTATCCAAAACCAGAGCCAGAAACTTATAAAGTTCACTTTGCTTGAGGAAGTAAGTGATGCTATCAATTTGAAAGTAGTTAAATTTTCATTTAGAAACGGAAACCAGAAGCTGTTTTATGAGTCCTTGAAGAAGGTTCTTGAAGACAGAAATCGACAGAGTGAATCAGTTGGTGATAATCAAGAAAAATCATCTGGTCATACGAAATCTGATACAGTTGCTTCCCAGTTGACATTTTCAAATGGAATTCATGGTCTCACAGCAAATTCGAAGCAGAAAAACTATGAAGATTCGTTACTATTGGGTAAAGCTGTGCAAGATCTAGATCAGTTAATGTCCAAAGCAAAAGACTTGATTTCCTTGTCGAAAAAATATCAGAACTTTTTGATGAAAACAAGCAAACACGACAAGGATTTTGATCAAAACTTTGAATTGCTCGAACGCTCGAAGTCTTCTGTTGCCAACTTGAATCACATCATAGACAACAACAAAATTGGAGAGTCTATCAATAGTGCAAAAATCACTAATGCGCTAAACCTTTTGAGATCAGGAAAGCCTTCAACGAACACTATTTCGAAACTTCCAACTGTTTATTTGGAGGAGTTAGCCAGAAACATATGTGACTTTCTTATAAACGACGATATACTTGACAAAAAAAATGGCATAATAACTTTTTTTGAGCTTTATTCGATGTACAATAAGACCAGGCAGATAAACCTAATAACTCCGGAAGAAACTTTTGATGCGATGATGAAATTCGAAGACTTGAGAATAAACATAGAGGTCACTAAGGTACTTTTGTCTCGCAAAGAAGATGTTAAAAGCTCGCCATTCTTTTACATTGTTTCTAAGAAAAACAACAGCTCGTCCATCACTGCAAAAATATTCAATTATATAATTATCAATCCAGGAATATCTATACCAAGATTACAAAAACTGCATTTCAACATGAGCTTCATTATATTGAAAACGATTTTAGATAACTTAGTTTACAATGGTGAATTGGCAATTGATATCACACTGGAAGGCGATACTTATTGGCCCAACGAATTTTTAAATATTGCGAGAAATGATAGTAATCATCCTACAATTGTTAGTAAAGATGTTCAAATAGATGGAGACAATTTAGAGCAGCATCAAAAAATAGTCTCAAACAGCTCTGCGATATCTGATTTGTCTAACATTTTCAAAGCTTCTCATATATACAGTAGTGATATAACTTCAGAACGCTTTAAAGAGTTAAAAGATTTGTCATTTGCATAGAGAATAAAGCTCGCGTTGAACGATGAACCGAATTATATAGTAGTTATATACTCATTCAGCAATTAGTTGTCACGTTGGGCAAAAATTTGCTTTCCTTTTATGATGGTTGTGAATTATGAGCAGTTGAAACTGAGTACTATGTGAAAAAGCTCACCCAATCTCTCAGTTTTCGACTACTTTCTCTGCAACTATAATTTTGGGTAATGCCTGTATCTGTTGAATTATAAAATCTTTCTCAGCTATGAACAAGTCATCATTCCTCTCCTTATTAAAGCTGCCTAAAAATTGCAAAAGTTTATTTCTGTTTTTTGCTAGTATATCTATAACTGCTTTTTCTTTTTTAGGGTTTGCGACAAAAACTTTAAAAACATTAAAGCCCTCCAACTGAATATTTTTAGACCTGTCGCCCAGTATCAACATAATAATCTTCAAGTTTTCCACATCATTGACGTATCTTGTCATCAGATTATAATTAAGTTTGATCATTATCAAATCCGCTAGTAACTTTGTGGACTCCCTTTTCGTTACATAATTACCATTCGTTATTAACTTGTTGATTCCGGAAATAAACTTTGATACGATTTGATCATTCGAAAAAAAGGATCCAACTAGCTGTTTGTGTTGCGTTAAAAGGTCATTTAGCGTGGCGAAAGCATCTGTCGATGTTTCAAAAGAGTCTGTGTTAACATAATCAAAGTATTTCCAAAATAGTGGGTCATACAAAACGCTTTTGGCAACTGCTTCATGCTTTATTGCCTCACGTAGCATCAAGCCTGTATTAAGAGAGATTTCGGGTGTTTCGGGGCCCCGCATAAGAGTAACAACAATTTTATGCCTGCTTAGTAAATAATCAACCGTGGGAGAACGATTACCCACTTTTCTCTTTAGCAAAGAGTTGAACAGAAGTACAACAATTTTTCGTGAATCAAACTCAATGTTACGAAGATTTAGAATTAGGTTGTACATCAAGTCAAAGGAGTAGATTTCCTGACTCAACTGAGTCAAAGTTTCTGTTTGTGAACCATGTGACGCATCATTGAGAGGGTTTTCCTCTCCGTTGATGATTGTTTTTATCGTAAAGAGGTGGCGGGAAACTTCGTCTTGTGCCTTCTTTCTCTCTGATCCATTGGTTGTTTCGAGTTTCACCACCTGTTCATTCAAAATTCGCACCAAATCTCCAGCAGTTTTTGGATTCCTTTTGAATAAAAACGACATGTGACAGCTCAATTATCTCCTGTATTTCCCTACAGTTCTGGTTGCTCAAAATCTTGCCCTGTGGTAATCCGATTCGCCTAGCTCTTGTTGAAATGCGAGGTTTTAAACAGCTCAAATCGGTAAGACTCTGTCAATTAATTCAAATGATGACGGCAACAATCTTTTGGATCTTATCTTTTATAACAGAAGAGACCCTGGCTGACAGTAAAAAAAGTCTTACATACAATCTAGTCATGTTTCAAATAAACAACAATAATCTCTATTCGGCTCACTGAGGGCGACCAGGTTGATTTGCAGCACGTGACTCTCAAAAAAACTCTCTCGCGTTGAGATTTAGCGAAACGAGAAACACAGATAAGTGAATTGAGAAAACTAAGGAACATGGTTACCAGGATTGGGTCGGGGTTACTCTGATACTAGGTTGGAGACTGATAAGTGGTCAACATATCTCACCATTTTGAAAACTATCGGAAGTGTTCTCTCTCAGATGTGTAATTGCTTTATTTGTGTTGATGATTTGATGCTGTTGTCCAGCGAGTTCACATATCCTGGTATCTAGCTTGTTTTTTGGCCAGTTTCACCCTCGAAGTAATCTCCACTTCTAAACTATGGTACATAAATTTGCTAAGAGTCAAAAGAGGTTTTAATTTTGTTTATGCGGTTTTTGCATCTTGGATTCGTTTCAACTGATAGCCAAAGTTATGAAGGAATCCACAAAATGAGGTTGAGAAATCGAAACCAACAAAATACTGAAAGCACTATCTATAACTGCGATCATAACGGTCAGAAAGGGCAATTGCGAGGTGTTGAGATAAAATACCATGATTGATATGAATCTTGCCATAAGCAATACAGAGAAAAGTAACAAAACATCAACAAAAGAAAACATAAACTAAGTACATATGAGTCAGGACAGGTGTACTCAAACATAAAGCTTTCACTAGGCAAATCTGTTGAGATAAGATGCCGAAGTCAATATCAATAAATTAGAGAAAGAGGCTTATAAAAGACAAGGCATTAGAAAAGAGCTTTGTAATGGCAAGGCATCAAGTGATCTAAAACTGGAAAGATTAGCCGACGTCATGAGTGTATAAATAGGAGAGGTTTTGTCTGCTATCTGTGTTTAGAATCATTAGTTATTAAGAGTTGTATAAGTTGTTTTTAAATAAGCAACAAGTATAATATAAAGTGAACAATATACAATGGATATTCATAACAGAATAGCTAGATTACAACAAGATGCCTTATCATGATAAGATTCTTATCTCTTATCCCTCGATCATTATTGGCTTCGGCATCTTATCTCAACAGTAGCCTTTATAAAACGGTGGGTTGAGAACAAGAACACTTTCTTTTGTTGTGTATTAGCTCGTATGGCCAAGTTGGTAAGGCGCCACACTAGTAATGTGGCGATCCTCAGTTCAACTCTGAGTGCGAGCAATATTTTTTCTCTTGACAGGGAAGATACCAAAAACGTGTAGCAGCTCTCTACACCCGATGAAAGAGATAAACGGTTGGTTCTGCCTTCAAAGTAATGAGTGAAATATATTTCAACCCATCAGCATTTTGAATGAGTATGCGACATTGAAATTTTAGCTATTGAGGGAGCAGCTAACTTCTAATCGACACTACATCAAAAACTTCCGAGATTGCAGTCACGAGACCTATAGTAAGGTAAAAACATCGACAACTGCAGGACTCGAACCTGCGCGGGCAGAGCCCAAAAGATTTCAAGTCTTTCTCCTTAACCACTCGGACAAATTGCCATGATCAAACTTTTGATAGCTACCTAGATTATCAGTAATAATGTTTTAAAAGATTCTGCAGGCATCATTTATAATTGTTTCACCTCTACTGACTCTTGATAATCAGAGAATTGTTGAGATAAGATGCCAAAGCCAATCATGATCGAGGGATAAGAGATAAGAATCTTATCATGATAAGGTATCTTAGTGTTGAAATAAGATGCCGAGGCCAATAAGGATCGAGTGATAAGAGATAAGAGTCTTATCATGATAAGGCATCTTGAGTAATCCAAAACTGGAAAGTTAGCCGCCATGATAAATGAATAATGGCAAGTTTAACCGAAGGTGTAAGTGTATAAATACAAGAGGTTTGTCCCTTGTATTTATGTTTGAGAGTTTTAGTTTGTAGGTTAGTTATATTAGTTATATAGTAACAAGCAACAAGTATAATATAAAGTGAACAATATACAATGGATATTCATAATAGAATAGCTAGATTACAACAGGTTATGAGCCAATTCGCTCTCACTTGCCCTAGAGATGAGAGCTTGAAGCTTTCTTCGTCTATGAACTATCCTAAATGGAACAGTTACACTGGTATGCTCGTTGCCACTCAAGGTGCTGGCCTTGACGTTTATTTTACAACTGGAGATATGATGTTACCTCCAGCTGAACCGATAGACGACACTCTAGTTATGCAGCTCCAAGTTGCATTGAACAATGCGATTCAAGTTGTACTGTTGAATACTGTGTCGTCAAAAGTGTTGTTAAAGTATCAGTCTGATAATGCGTTCGGACTTGATTTACTCATGTTGATTAGACGTGATTACTCCCAGGTTACATCACGTCAATTGTATGCTATGGTTAATAAAGCTTGTGATGCTTCGGTCAATAAGTCTGCCGGTGATGAAAGTGCTCTGTCCTTGTTCAGAGATATATGTGCTCATTTTAACCACTCCTCAGAAATTACCCAAGTGATGGGTTTGTTTTACTTAAGGATGTTTAAGTCCGACCAAGCGAATGCTCGAGTTTTAGATGTGTCAACTCCGAACATTACGTTGTCAGCGGTTGAGAACACTCTGCGGGATCTCGTTCCTACTACGCAGGGCTCAGTATTTGCGGCTACTTCCAAGAAGCCTTATGTTAATAAGCAGAAGTGTTACCGATGCCAGAAACGAGGCCACGTTGCTAAGGATTGTCCAGCTGCTGCCCCGATTGCAGCCAGCAGTTCTAGTGCTAATACAGTAGCTGTTGTCAACTCCTCATCCAAACCTATCTCTAGTATCTCTTGGGCAATTTCCAACTCAAGGGGAGACTCAGTTATGCCAAATCGGAGCTACATTTTGGATTCAGGGGCTACACTTCACATCTCAAATGAACGGTCTCACTTTGCTGAGTTTACTCCGGCGTCTGGCTGCATTGCTAGGACCTCATCCAATCCTCTGGTTGTTGAAGGTACTGGGACTATCCGCTTTGTGCACCCAGTTACCTCAAAAGTTCTTATTGTGTCTGATGTCTCCTTTGTCCCCGATGCCACCCAAAATCTTATATCCATCAAAAAGGCCTCCAAATCTGGTTCGTTTACATTTTCTCATGAAGCGGTTCACTATCTGTCATCTTCCAATGATACAGCTAGTGAAATTGCGACCGCTTGTGGGTCAGGCCTGTACGAGTTTGATTATACTCCGGTAGTTGGTGATGCACTAACAGTTCCTGGTGATATCAGTCATGCAACCCTCGGTCACCCTTCGCCCGCAGTTATGGCTCAGATGGGAGTACCTTCTGGTCCCAAGATGGTTGAGTGTGCCTCGTGTGCTGCAGGAAAGATGACTCAAATCTTTCCCAAGCAAGCTTCATCACCACGGGCAAAGGCACCGCTCCAACTACTTCATGCTGATGTGAGCGGACCTTTTTCAACACCGGGTTTTGCTGGTGAGAAATACTTTCTCACAATTGTTGATGACTTTTTCAAGATGGGCTCACATAATTCCTCTCAATACGAAGGATGAAA